GGAGGACGCTGGATGAGCCTGTGGGGAAATGCCCCTTGAGGCCCACGTGCTCTTTGTGGGGTAAACCACTGCCTCCCACTGGGTTTCCCATCCCCAGAGAAGCATTTGAATTTGATCTTGGTCCAAACGGCCTCCTCTGTCCTCCATTCCTTCCTCTGAAGTTCTCTTCCTGATGTTTGAATTTAGAAACCACAGGTTCAGGGACCAAAGAATCACACCCAGAGTGGGTGGCCTAGATCTTGAATTTTAAACAACTGCGGAACTCCCAGAAGTACTTTTGTCTGCCTCAGTGAGCAACAGAAGCTAACTCGGGCCGACTTCAGGTGAATTTATTCAAAATACACAAGGTAGCCCGTGTAATTAAGGAAGAGCTAAAGAGCGGGCCAGAAAGGACAGGGACGCAGATAGTCACAAAGACCTGAGCGACAGGAATGAGTGGTGCGTGTGGCCAGGGTGTTGGGGCTGTGATGCACCCGCTCCCACTTTCTTTCTTTCCCTCCCCATCTCATCACCCTCCCAGCTGTTTGTTTTCAGCTGCAGGCAAGAGATCGTGGCTAAAAATGCCTTAATAATAAAGGTATTTCAGGGGCGCCTGGGTGGCTCAGTCGGTTCAGCATCTGCCTTCGGCTCAGGTCATGATCCCCGGGTCCTGGGATCGAGCCCCGCATCGGGCTCCCTGCTCAGCAGGGAGCCTGCTTCTCCCTCTCCCTCTGTCTTGCTTCTCCCCCTGCTCATTCTCTCTCTCTGACAAATAAATAAAATCTTTTTAAAAAAAGATATTTCAGGGCGCCTGGGTGGCTCAGTTGGTTAAGCGACTGCCTTCGGCTCAGGTGATGATCCTGGAGTCCCGGGATCGAGCCCCACATCGGGCTCCCTGCTCAGCAGGGAGTCTGCTTCTCCCTCTGACCCTCTTCCCTCTCGTGCTCTCTGGCTCTCATTCTCTCTCTCTCAAATAAATAAATAAAATCTTAAAAAAAATAAAAAATAAAAAAGATATTTCATTGTCTCACGGAACAAGTATTCTGGAGATGAGTGGTCTGGGGTTGATGTCACGGTCTACATCGCTGACTCTTTGGCTGTTCTATCTCAAAATGGCTGCTGCCGCTACAGATATATTCTCCCCCCGGTATTGCAAGCAGGAAGAAAGATGGGTAGTAGAAATAGGGATGTCCCTTTTTATTAAGGAGGCCTCCCATCACCCTTCCCTTTATAATTGGTTGGAACTGGGTCCCACGGCCACCCCTAGCCACAAGGAATGCTGGGAATGTGAGCATCTGGCATAAGTCATCAGAAGAGCAGTGACTGGCTTACACCAGGGCTTCATCTCCTGGGGTTGGGTATATTGCTGCACAAAACTAAATCAGGGCTCTGTTAGCCAGGAGGAAGGGGCAGGAGTTCTCATGATTCAGATTCCCTGGAAAGAGAGCCAATGTGCCTAGCTTGGGTGACCATGTCTGAGTCCCGATGCATGACTGAAAGGTACTACTCAAGAAAGCAGGATCCTGTGGCTAGAAGAAGGGAGATGAAAGCTGGGTGCCAAAGGGATGTGTCTCTACCTCCCTGTCATTTGGCTTTTCCAGATATCAGAGGGGATTCCAGCCTAGCAAGACTCTATAATTTGTGGGACTCAGTACAAATAAAAATACAGGAATGCCTTATTCAGAAATTATTATGAATTTCAAGATGGTGGCAGCAGAGCGTGAAACAAATATGGGACTCTTCTGACCACATGTGGTAAGCCTTAGGTAGGGTCTGTTTTTGTATGCAATTGGATGAAATACATTCGTGGATGGTGGGGAAGGCTGTGATTTATACTGTTACAATTCACGTATGTCTAGGTGCTTGTGCAAACTCTCAGTTAAAGAGCAAAGGAAGGGGTGATCACACCTCTTCTGTGTGTATACTTGGGCAGAGGCAGAATTCAGGGCAGAGTTCTCAGGGAGCTTCCACTGTACCCCAATCGCGATCATCACTGTGGCTATGTGCAGGGCAGTGTATCATCTGTGTCTTCTAGATGAGGTTGTTGGGGCTCAGAGAGGTTCATGGTCATCTGTGGTCCATGGTCAAGCTAGGATTGGAAGCTGGGCAGTCTGAATCCAGAGTCCATGTTCATCAGCACATTACATCATTGGACAAGTCTAATGGAGTTGGGTCATCATAAGCAGTTGGTTTGGTGAGACCAATAGGGTTTGACGTAAGGGGGCTGTTTTTGAGGGTCTTCGAGTCCTAGGGCCCATGGAGAGGTGTGCCACAAGGATGTCCTTCCAGCAACAGGAATGCAGGATGGATGACAGCCCCAAGGACGTCACTTGCAGATAAGAGGAGCCTGAACCAGGAAACAAACTTAGTTTTCCTCACCAAAGGGTCTGTCACACATGGTCAATTTCTGAAATGAATCCACAAGCCAGGAACATTTGTCTAAACACTTTAATTAAAATGCATTGTAACAGGATGAAAGCCAGCATCTAAGTACAGTGTTCATGTTTGCTAAGAAAACAGATGAAAATATTCCCGGTAGCCAAACACATTTTGATAATGAAATTTTACACAGCTTCTTGGTTTTAATCTTATTTAAAATATTTATATAGTTTAAAAAATAGTTTGCTATTCATTTTCTACCACAGTCCAGGAAACGTGGAGACATTTGAAATCGGTACAGATTCAAACACAGAAGTAAAGATTCTGTTTCAGCGGCAAAATTATAGTGTTCTGAGCTGCGCCACCCGTGCCTTGGTGACTAACCAGTCCAATTCTATTTGGAGAATAACGCTAGCCTCAAGTTCAATTTATCTGCAATCCAACTTTCGTGAAAGCATCAAGTTTAATGAAAAATCACAGTGAAATTAAGACACCGCTAATCGCATTTCAAAATCAATTTTCTTTCCGGGACAATTCTTGGGAACCTCAAGAATCTCTCGCTTCATATAATAAGCAGTATATATTCAAGGGTTGATATCTAAAAGAATGAGTGTGTTCATATAGAAAAAAAAAGATTCCTTATAAAATAGGATCTCACAGTAAAGGTGCCTTTGAAATATTTTGCCATCTACTGCAGGGTAATACGTGAACTTTATTGATATATCTGAAATCCTTGGCTAAAGATGGAAGCATTCTCTATGCTTGGATCTTAGAATACGTAGTGCAAACACGAGTATGCTAAATGGGGATGGTGAAGACAAAAATTAGCCCAAACTTCCAGACTTCCCCTATTTAAAAACAGTGCTTACTGCATGAAATTATGTATAAGATTTTTGTGTATTGCAGCATTATTTTTTTTTTTTTAACAGCATGAGATTGGAAACATTGCAAATGCCTGTCCGTGGAGAGCAATTCAACATTATGGTCCTTGCATACAATGGACCAGATTGCAGGCATGAAAAATCGTCACGCCCTTGATGTACTAAGAAGGGAGGATCTTCTAAATCAAATGAAAAACAACAGCAGCTCTAGTATGTTACTATTTATGTAAAGAAAAAAGGAAGGGTACAAGGAACTGATGTAGTGGTTTGCTTCCAGGAAGGGGACCACAGAGGTTGGGCACCAGGGGTAGGAGAGATCATTTTAACTGGGTAGCCTTTTGTACCCATGAAAATATGTTATTAGCTATTAAAGTAAATTAATAAAAGCTTTTTAAACGGCTATAATCATGCCGCTCATCATTATATTCAATGTGGTGATTACTCAGATCATGTGGCATGTCATCAACTAGATAAATCTGTTATCCTGGGATTTGGAAATGTTTAGAGCAGCCTGGCAACTCCCATATTGTGTCATTTTTTCACAGGGGAAATGAATGTTCTGCTTTTAGTCTGATGGACAAATACACAACATTTGCAAGCCCTCAAAGGCCCCTGTTGCAGCGCGCAAGGTCCTGTGATTTTATATAAAGTGGGCAGTATCTATTGGAATTCCGGGCCTTTTGTGTTCATTGTTGCTGGTGGAAACAAATAGCCCAACACTAGTTTTTGTTGTTAATCACCCACTGCCCCAAGAGCCATTAGGTATGCAAATAAAATCCTCCCAATATTCAGTGACTGAATGACTCCTCCCCACCCCACCCCCCTTTTATCTTGAATCATTACAGCAACATGACTTGATCTGGAGAAACTTCAGGAATGTCAGTGGTGTCAGCCGTGATTTCTGTCTCCTAGGAGTAATGGAAGTTGCTGCCATCATCTTTATAGCAAGGGTGTCAAAAGCAAGCAAGCATGAACCCCTGCAGACCAGACCTGAGGGACCAGTAGGGGTGCCCAGAATCGCTCACGGTTACCGTGGCCAGTAAGCCCACTTCCATTTTATCTGTTCTGAGATGCTGGCATCGGACTGGGAACTGAATCCAGCCTGGGGAAGATCCGTGCTAACCACCCTAAACAGCACAAGATCCCTAAAGTGACTGCCCAGCATGGATCATCAGGTCAGGTGAGCTGTAATTTAGTCAAATGTAATTTAGTCATTTAGTTAAATGAACAGCACAACTGTCCTTTCTGCTGACAAGGTTTTTTTTTTAAAAAAAGTAATCTCTACACCGAACGTGGGGCTTGCACTCAGGACCCTGAAATCAAGAGTCGTATTCCCCATGGGACGGAGCCAGCCAGGTGCCCCATCTGCTGGCAGGTTTTCTGTCCTTGAAATGTGGGAGATGAAATTCAAACATTCAGTAATAACCCTTTAGCCGCCAACAGAGCTTCCCAGGTGTTGGAGCCTCGTTCTCTGCTCTGCCTATAAACTTTTAAAACAGAAAAGAATTTTGTTCTTAAAAATCATAGCTGGGAGAGGTAGGGTTCTCAGGTGACGGTGGGAAATTAGGGACACGAACACTACATTTGTTGACTTCAAGACCAGCCCTGGCAGGAGCCGATGCCCGGGCAGGAATGACGGACTCTCTGTGCCCGGGGAGTCTGGGCCTGCGCAAGCCGGGCGCGGGGCTGGGCACCGGCCTGGGGCGCGGGGAGGACGCGCCTGCACCCGCCCCGCCGGGGAGTGGCGCGCTGGGGGCCGACTCACTCGGCCTCCTTCTCCTCCGGGATCTCCACCGACAGGATCTGCTCACCGGGACCCGGGCCCGGGCTCATGCGGATCCGCACTGAGGGCTCCTCGGGCCTGGCCTCCCCCTCCCCGCCTTCCTCCGGCTTCCCAGGGGAGGCAGGTGGCGGAGAGCACGGGGTCGCAGGCTCCGGCGTTGCGGGCTGCTCCGGGGCGGCCGGGCCCGCCTCTCCCGCAGCGTCTTGGGAGCTCTTGGCCTGAAATCCGGAAAGAGTGATTGGTGAGGCAAAGAACGTCTGAGAGTTCTTGGAGGGGTCTTGAACACCTTCCCATTCCCCTTCTCGGACCCCCAAGGAGGAGGATGGCAGAGGGCCCAGGGGTGCAATCTAATGGGTGGGAAGTGGGGGATGGGAGCGGCATCAGGATTATTCCGTAGAAACAGAGTATATTATGGAGAAGTTTAGGGATTAAAAGTCCCGGTTGGATTTGGTGGATATTTTCGGTCTCCGTTGATTGGCCGGGCTAGAAACCAAGTGAAGTTGCAGGTTCAAGCCTGCCCCTGAGCTATGGAGAGAGGAGAGGCTGTGACCAGAAGGGAGCGCCAGAGAGGACTTTGCAAAGCTGAGCCAGCTGCCGGGTCCACCCGGGCTGCCCCGTCCACCCCGGATACCAGGGCTGGATGCTCCTGGGTGAATAGAAACATTCTAAGCAAACAAGATAAAGGCTGAGATAGCAGAAGCAGCCTGGCGCCCTTTCTGGAAGGTCTCAAAGGTGGAGACCCCCACGCCCACCCCCATGCCCCAGGAGAATGGGCAGGGTACCACTGGCATTCGGCTGGGCTGAGCCCCCATGTTTGTGGACTTGGTGGGGACTTCCAGCCTCCATGCTTCTGGGTTCCTGTGGACACTGGCTGTAGTCTGTGTATCAGTAAAAACCCAAGCCTTTGTGGATACCCGTGGCCTGTCCTGCCCTGTCTGACCCACCTCTGCCTGGACATAAATGGGAGGGAGTGGCCCCCAGAGGAGGAGACCTGAATGGTCCATAGCTATCCAAGACCCACTTGAGATAGTGGTAGTGAATTTAAAATGAGAGCGGTCAGCATGCTTCTGAGGAAGAAAGATCCCCTGAAGTTTGCTCAAATCACAGGGTGTTGAAGGAAGGGAAGTGGGGTGGGGAACCCCACTCCTAGAACCCAGGGCAACTCTGGGAGGGACAGGTCCCTCCCTCTGTTTCTGTGTTCCTGCATGCTCTGGTGCACCTGTTCTGCCTTTCCCTGTCCGTCCTAAACTCTGACAACACACTTCCAGGGCAGGTGCCCATTATGGGACTTCCAGAAGCATCCTGCTATGAACGGAACCAGAAGAATCATGGGGAGGTTGGTCAGGGGCTTTGCCAAGTTCAAAAGACTCTTAAAAAGATATCCAAGGTATCCTGCTTCATCTCTACAACCCCATGGGGCAACCATGAGTAATCTGGGTCTCAGAATGCATGAGGAGCTTCCCCAGGTCACAGAGCTGGCCGTGACAGAGCTGGGATTTAGACCCGTGTCTTTGGATTGTTATTTCGGAGCTCCTTGCACTCTGCCATTCTGCCCTGATTATTCTGAAATTGCTTTTTATTAGCACTCTCATACAAATTTAATTCACCCTCCAAGCTGCCTGGGTGGAGAGCTAATACTCAGGAGAAATAAGCCCCATTTCAGATAAAGCCTTTCACTGTCCTGAGAACAGTCTTGGAGTTCATGTACACTTATTCCCACGTAGCAGCCAGCACTAAAGACCCCAACTTGCTGGCTCGACCTTGACCCTGGCACTTGGTGAGCCAGGCAATCCTGTCTGTCCTCTGTCTGGGGCCACGGGTGGCTGTATATTGAGAATATCTTGGAACCCTGGGTAGCTTTGATGTCACCTCCCGGACTCCAGATGTCAAACGATCTCCGGATGGGTCCCCTGGACTCTGACCCCAGCCTGGATTGAGACTGAGTTCCCTGGGCGCCTTCGAATTCTGTCATGTAGTCTGCAGCACTGTCCCTGCCACCGAGCTCCTGCCTACCCACCGCCCCCCTTCCTAGCAGCCTCCCTGAAGGACAGTCATGAATAGTCATAATTAGTGCAATCATTCTAATTGGCATTTTCGGCATTAGTCACAGAAAAGAGTCCCAGAACTAATTTTAAAATTCCCTTCAGATTTCCGAGGGCGGGGACAGTCAGCACTGTGCTGGCCGGCAGGGTTTTTTCTCTTCAAATCTCCTAAACTGTCACAGACACAAAGATTAAATATGAGAACATCACGGCCATCTGGGGAGAGACCTTCCCTGCCCACTGCTCCCACCTCTGCAGCAGCATGGACTCCCCTCGGGGAAATGGCCTCCCTCAGCCCAGGGACGGGCACGGGAGCCTGGCCTCCCCCAGGGCTCCACAGTGAATGGCTCTGGAAGTGACACGAGATCCGATTCTGTCCAATGACAGTGAGCCCTGGGACTTTGGCTGGAATCACGGGGCAAGAGAGGCTTCCGGTGGGCATTGCTAAACCAGGAGGTGGCAGTCCTAGTGCTCTTGCGATCTGAAGCCATCCTCGAGGGAAGCAGACATGACAGGATGGCAAAACGAGTCCCATTGGCAATATCTGAGCTTTTGGATCCAGCCTTGCCTGGACTTTGCAGCTACTTGGCCCAATCGATTCCCTGTTCCCTTAAGCTAACTTGAGCTGGCACGGTGACCTGCATTTGTCACTTGCCACCAAAGGCGTCCCAACCGATAGGAAGGAGGGGGAGACATTCCCTCAATGAAAGGTGCACAGTCCAGGCTCTGGCATGAAGTTGAAATGGGGGGGGGGTGGCCGGTTCCCCACCGCGTTACCTGTTCCAGAAATTGTTGCTGCCTCGAAGCTGACTCCAGCGCAGCGAGCTCCTTGAGCCGGGACCTCAGGTGGGCAAGCTTGCCAGCTATGGCCCCCTTGCTGCCCATCTTTCCTGCTGCGGCCAGGGCGGCATTGAAGAGCTTGGGCGTGCCTGCCCGGGGAGGCAGGATGAGCCCGCTCTTCGGCTCCTTGGGCTTGTTGTTATCTCTCAGCATGCACCTGAAAGAAAGCAGCACCCGCGCACATCACAAGCATGCTCCGGGAGAGAAGAAAGGCCCGTCTGTGGAGGACTCTGCTGGAGCTGCGTGCTGGGGCTGGTCGTTCTGGCTAACAGTCTGTGAGCAAGCCCAGCGTTAGGTGCTTTATGCACAGCATCTCAGTGAAGGATCGGAACAACCCCAGTGACATGGGTCTTACTGTCTGGACCTTATAGGTCCACGCCGCAAGAACCGAGGGCAGCCACCAGTCACCATTCCCCAGCTGGGAATGGAGGTCCCCAGTCCTACAACCACAGGGAACTGAATTCGGGTGACCACCATGTGACCTTGGAAGCAGGTCCTTCCTCAGGGGAGACTTGAGATGAGACTCAGCTCTGGCCAGCACCTTGATGATGGCCTTGGAGCAGACCCACCTAAGCCATCCCAGACTTCTGACCCATAGAAACTACCTAACATGTAGTAATATTATTATGCAACAGATAACCGATTCACACTTTGTCATTTAAATCCCACAGAATCCTTACAGGGAGGCCCCTATTTTTCTCCCTCATTTCAAATAAAGATATGGAAGACCAGAAGGGGTAAGTAATTTTCCCAAGTTTACACAGTTAGGAAGTGGTGGGTGCAGAATTAAAACTCAGATCTAAAGGCAGTATGCCACCCTGCTCTGTAAATAAGGCTAGAATCTGCCATCAAACAGAGCCCCAGCCTTTGACAGGGAATTGTTCATGCTACAGATATGTGATGCGTGGTTTGGCTCAAGAACAAATGAATTTCGTCTGCAGTCTAGTGGGCCTAGACTCCTAATTGGCAAATTCATTCATCAGGGCTCCAGCAAAACTTGTTTGTTTAAAAATGAGGACATTATTGGCTGCTTATCTAATCAGAGGCAATGGATTTAAATTGTGCATATTGATATTAATTGGCGAAGACTTGCATTTTCTGGCTGGGGCTCCCCCAGGAGAGCACAAACATGATAATTCATCAGAGGCCTCTTCATGCCTGGCACCATCACCTGTGTTATTCAGTCCATAATTCACAGCACGACAGTCTGTGGGAAGGCTCAGCGTGGTACAAAAATGACACAAAAGAACTCTGTGGGACCTTTGCTGATGGCCAATGGCCATCTCTCTTCTGAAACATTGTGCTGGCTTCTGGGACATTGGATTCCAGAGTCAGGAAATTCAGCCTCACTTTCAGATGACATGTTTTCCTATAAGCAGGATCGCACGTTCATCCCTGAAGAGAGTGGCATGCCCCATTTCTTGGACTGGCCAAGACAGAGAGCTGAGCCCTTCACGTCTCTGGGGCCCCAGGTCCCCCATCTGTAAAGTGAGGAGTTGAGACAGAATCCCACACATGGCTTTCACCAGCTCAGACGTCCCCAGGCCCTGTGGTTCTCAGACTTCATCTTCCCTTTGATGGGCAGAGCTCCCGCATATTCCCCTGCCTCTGTCCTGAAGCTTGCTTATCCAGGGAACCTGGCTCTCTGATGAACCATGCTAGAGCGCTGGCCTCAGGGCCTCTGTGCTGCAGGACCCGGGGGCTCCTCCTCTTTCCTCACCTTCTCCAAGCGTCTGGCCGCCGGCTCACCGAGCATGGTCAGCAGCCTCGGCGGGATCCTAGCTGATTTGCCAACCCCTCACCTAACCTAGCCAAAGGAGTGGGTGGTGGCTACAAGCGTGGCTTTCTTGGGCCTTGCTCCTCATGCAGGGGGAGGAAGGGAGGGCAGGGAAAACTGGCCCCTGCTCTCAGACAGAAACAGTCGATTCTCAGTATTCGTGGTAGTGTCGTTCTAGAGAGTCCCTGCAAATACTGAATTAGCGAATACCGAAACCATTGCTTCTGGCGGAAATACAGTTAGGTTTCTGGTGAGCCTCTCATGACAACATTTCAGCAACTGATCAATACTTGTGTGTGTTTCTGTTTAAAGACATCTGATTTAATATACAGTTGATTCATTGACATCGAACTCACGACCCACAGCTCTATGAGTCATGCCTGAGCGAAGCTTATCTAAGCCACGTCTTCTCTGTAAGGGACATTCCAGCCTCCTGGCCCTCGGGAACGTACACAGCACCTCAGCACCACACTTCAGGGCCATTTTATTTATTTATTTATTTATTTTTTATTTTTTTATTTTTTAAGATTTTATTTATTTATTTGAGAGAGAGAGAATGAGAGATAGCACAAGAGGGAAGAGGGTCAGAGGGAGAAGCAGACTCCCTGCTGAGCAGGGAGCCCGATGCGGGACTCGATCCTGGGACTCCAGGATCATGACCTGAGCCGAAGGCAGTCGCTTAACCAACTGAGCCACCCAGGCGCCCTTCAGGGCCATTTTAAATAGCAAAATCGCCAATGACAATCACAGAAATGTGAAAAATGCGGTACTAAATAGACCACGAACAGACTCGCGTTGTCAAGTGTTCAGATGCTTCTGAGCTGAAACAATAAAGCAGTGCGTCACCTTGGTCAGCTCCTGCTGGGAATGTGCACTTAGGGCAACTCAAACTTCTCACTGCTGTCTCTATGCACGTCCGCGAATTACTGGGGATGCCCATGAGTGCTGATTTTGGGGTTCCAATACATTTTAGTGAGTAGGTGAATTGCAGATACAGAATCGCAACTCTGTGAATCATGAGGATTGACAATACTTCCCTGCTCCTCGGGAGAGTCAGGGGAAGTGGGCAGAGTCTGTGGGAGAAGTTCAGACAGATCAGTCTTTGGAAGGGCCCAGTAACTTCCTTAAGAGCAAACGGGTAGGTTGAGTTATGGGGCAGCTTCCTTCCTGTGTGTATTATGCTCTAACCTCAACACAGCATCCACTCACCTGGGGTTGCCAAAGGGATCCTGTGAAAACCTAAGTCACCTCAAGTCACCAGTCTTTGTAAAACCCTACATAGCTTCCGTCTCCCTCAGAGCAAAACCCAAAGTCACTGCAAGGCTTCACCTACAAGGCCCTGCCCACTCTCATCCCCTTGACTTCTCCCATCCCGCATCAAGCTACACTTATTTTCTGGCTGGTCTGCACACACACCGAGCCTACTCCCCCCCAGAGCCTTTCCACCTGCTGTTCCCTCTGGCTGGAATGCTCCTCCCTGCAAGCAGTCCCACTCACTCTTTCATTCTGTGCAGGTCTCAGCTGAAATGCCACATCCTAAGAATGGCTTTTCCTGACCAACGTCTCTCAAGGAACTCCTTCCATCACCTCCGTCTCCTCAATGTGGCTTTTTGTTTCCCTGTAGCCCTGTCCCCAGCTGACACACCACAGAATCGTTCATTTCTCCGTGGTCGGCCTCCCCTGTTAGAATGCCAGCTTTATTTGGTCCCTGCTGTGTCCCCAGGGCCTAGAACTATGTACTCAATAAATGATTGTGCGCGATGAGTGAATGCTGTAAGTTTGTGCCCTTTATCATGACCTCTCTCTGTGCGGTTTATTTATGGTGCCATTTCATAGAGTGAGGTAGAAGACAGGAATATGGGGAAAAGGCATGGAGGAAAATCCAGATATGTAGATTTGAAAGGCTTCATCCAATGGGAAAATTACAGAGAGGATTTAATGGATAAAGAGGAACAATTATGATTGTGAATATTCAGTGAGCTCTCCCACCTGCTGGTACCCTGCTGGAGACATTCGCACACACGCTATTTTATTTAATTTTCCCAATAACAAAGTAAGGGGTTAAAATACCCTCATTTTACAGAATTGCAGAAAACTGAGACCAGAGAAGTTAAGTAACTTTTCCAAAGCCACACAGCCAGTACCTCACACAGATAGGGTGTGAGCCCCTCACCAGCTTCCCGAGCCTGTTGTGGATTTTCTACCACAACCAAACTGCCTCTGTCACTCAGCTTGAAACCTGATCCTAAGGGTCAGAAAGCAAAAGCCTGCTTCTCTAAAAAGTTACCCACTCTTCACCAGTACAAAATACAGATGCACAAGGTTATTCGCTGTGGCACTGTTTATAATTGCAAAATATTAGAACTCTAACTGCCCATTCACAGGAACACTCTGCAACTGTCAGAGGAACGAGGAAACTGATGGGTCTATGGACGGACAGAGAATGTTTTCCAGGATTGGTTGTCAGGTGAAAAAAAAGCGAAGTGCAAAAGAAAATCTACAGTATGCTACATTTTGTGTAAGACAGGGAAAATAAAATATTCACCGATCTGCCTATTTTTGCAAAAGGAAACACATTAAGGAAGCAGCAGAAACTAATGAGCCTGGGCTCTTGTAGAGCCGGGGGTAACAAGCGGGGGAAGCTGGGACACTTCTCCGGGCACACCATTCTGTTGCATTATGACTTTTGGTACCATGTTAATGCGTGACATATTCAAAACAACAAAAAATCAACAAGGGTTGGGGCAGGAGGAATCATTAAAAAAAAATGGAGTGCAAACCGAAACACACGAGCCTGGGTACATTTCAAATGAACAAACAACCACACTCAAGGGAGGCAAAAGAAAATGAATCCAATTAACTCTGAACACACACTTACCTCATAGGTACTTAGGCTAAGACAAAAAGAACAGCACCAAATATTAAATTCTGCTGAGAAGGCTTCCCCACCACCCCAGTGCTTTGGGATAGCAATTTTGAAATCGCTTTGTCTGTATTGTAGGACTGAATAAATGAGTGAATGCAATGAGGGCAAACAGATCCAAATCTCTCAGTGCTGGAGAAGGAATTTACAAATAGGGAAAAGGAGAAGATTTGAAAGAACTCTGTGGTGTTAGACTGAAATTGTTAGATAGATACAGATGGAAAAAATAGATGTTGAGATATATATACTTATATGACTGTATATATGTATATTTGCATTTGTATATATAGGGGGGCATGCAGGTGTGTTTCCCAGCTCTGTCCACTCGGGAGCCTAATAGCACCCTAGTAGCCATGAGCACACATAGTGCTCAGATGTTGGTTTCTAAAAACCATTCCCACCTGCAAGGAATTGGGCTCCTTGGAGAAATGGCCATTCCCAGGGATGTGGCAGGAAAGTCACAAGATGAGCCCGGAGCATCTTATTGTGCTTGTAAGCAAGGAAGTGCTAAAATGGTTTGGGTACATAACAAAGAGCCACAAGGGCCAGCCTAAAGAGGTCCCTGCTGGCTAAATCTGAAACAATTTGAGCATCAAAATAATGATTATAACATTATAATGGAACAAAACAAATCCACATTGATATAGATAAATGAATAAACAAATTCATGGGAGAGAAGAGAAACCTCTTCCTCACAGTAGAATGCTCCTAATAAATGGAGAAGCCATGATGAAATCAGAAAAATCACCATTTTGCAACCATGATGGCAATCACTGATTTAGCAAGGAGCCCTCAGTGGATGCTGAACATAGAGAGTGAAGGTTTGATGGGAAACAGGAGGTCTAGATAGCCTCAGACTGACTCCCTGCTAATTACTTATTAATTACAAGGAGAAAAATGTTAACTTCGGCATGCAAAAACCTAAACCAAGTGATCAAAGGGAAAATCATCAATACTAGGAGAAGCCAGCATCCCGTGCCTCTCGGTACACTGTACTAAGAAGAACACAACATCACTTTTTTTAAAAAAGTAGGCTCCATGCCCAATGTGGGTCTTGAACTCACAACCCTGAGATCAAGAGTCACATGCCCTACAGACGGAGCCAGCCAGGCGCCCCCCCAACATCACTTCTGAGAAATTCCTGCCCCCATGCAGAACCTGAAGGTAATCATGAGAAAACATCAGAACATCAGCTAACCCTAAGTGAAGGGACATTCTACAAAATAACTGGCCTGTCCTCTTCAAAGAAATCCAAGTCACTGAAGTTGGAAAAAGGTTGAGGTGCCATCCCAGATCCAAGGAGACTGAAGATATGAGGCTATGTAATGAAACAGGGGGTCCTACACTGGATCCAGGAATGGAAAAGAAGACAGGAAAGGCTATAAAAGGCATGATTGGGACAACTGGCCAAATTTGAAGATGGATTGGGAATAATAGCATGATTTCAATACTGAATTTCCTGACTGTGACAAAGGTACTATGGTCGGTAAGATAAAGGTTTAGTCCTTAAGAAATGTGCACTGAGGGGCGCCTGGGTGGCTCAGTTGTTAAGTGTCTGCCTTTGGCTCGGGTCACGATCCCAGGGTCCTGGGATCGAGCCCCACATCGGGCTCTCTGCTCAGCGGGAAGCCTGCTTCTCCCTCTCCCACTCCCCCTGCTTATGTTCCCTCTCTCGCTGTGTCTCTCTCTGTCAAATAAATGAATAAAATCTTAAAAAAAAAAAAAAAAGAAATGTACACTGACATATATGTGGATTCTTTTTTTTTTAAATAAAAAAACGTACCTGGCCTTCTTCCGGAGTAACTTCTGAGACTCGGGATAATGCACCAAAATTTCATTGAGGTCTTTCTTGTCCAGAATGAAGAGGTTGGTAAACCCGTGGGCGACCACATTGGCTGTGCGCCGATTCCCGCCCCCAACGGCCAGCAAGCTGGGACAGGGAAGGGAGGAGGTGACACCTGGCAGGCTGGGGTTGGGATCCCACTAAAATGTCCCTTTCCACCCCTTGCCCGGAGCACAGTGGCGGCCCCACACGGGCGAGAGCCGAGGCCCACCCTGCATATGTCAGCATCCACAGCGGCTTACTCAGACCCACCAAAGGGCCCTTGAGGATGAGGTAGTCCCCTCCCCCACTGGCACCCCCCCCCCAGCTTGGGCCCAGGTCCGCTCATTTCACCCCAGCTCCCCACTGACCTTATTTCTCCAAACACGGATCCAGGCTTCAGTGTCACCAGCACAGCCTTCCCGTCGGGGCCACCCAAGACCTGCACCTGTCCCGCCTGGATGATGTACATTTCTCGGCCTATCTCCCCCTGAAACAGAGAAGGGGTGAGCCCCCTGCTGTCGCCAAAAGTGACCACAAAGGCGGCAGGGCTGGGCCCGGAGGCTGCTGGCACAGCACGGAGGAACCTGGGCTGGTGTCCAGCCCCACCACCGACTCGGTGTGTGGTGCGGAGCCAGTCACTTCCCCTCCGGGGCCTCAGTCTCCCCATCTGTGGATTGGGGAGAGTGGCCACCCCTGGCCTGCCTAACTGACAGGATTCTGTGGGGAGGTAGTGGTGTGATGGAGAGGAAAGTACTAGGTAAGCTAGAAGGCACAGCTGTAATGGCATTTTGGAAATTCCCAATTATGCACGCCAATGGAGGGTCGGGGGCATGGAAAAAATTAACAATGGTTCATACAATACATTGATACCTGTGCCTAGCACGTGTCACTTCAGGAGCTTGGTAAGCGTTTGCTAGCTGAAACAGGAGTGGTGACAACATCGGTAATGAAGTCCAGCTGTTGTGCGACATTTTTCTGTGCGAGGCATTGCTCTATGTGCTGGGCCTGCTTAATCCTCCACAGCTCTGGGGTAGGAACTCTTTGCCCCAGGTCGCAAAGCTAGGCCACGGGAGAGCAGGGATTTGAGCCCAGACAGTCTGGTTCCAGACCTCAGGGTTGCTGTGGGTTGAACGCTGTCCCTCCCAAACCCATATGTTGAAGTCCTCATCCCCAGGTGCTCAGAATGTGACCTTTGGAAATAGGGTCACTGCAGATGTCATTCGTTAAATTAAGACGAGGTCGTACTGGAGTTGAGTGAGCCCCTAATCCAATATGACTGGTGTCCCTATTAAAGGGACATTTGGACACAGAGATGGGCATACCGAGAAGACGAGATGAAGTAACACAGGGAGAGGACAGCCATCCATACGCCAAGGAGAGAGGAGCAGATCCTTCCCTCACAGCCCCGAGAAGGAACCGACCCTACCGACACCTTGATCTTGGACTTCCAGCCTCCAGAACTGAGAGACAATGCATTTCTGTTGCTTAAGCTGCCCAGGCTCTGGTCCTTATTTAGAGCAGCTGTAGCAGACTAATGCAATGGTCTTAATCCCAAGTTAAAGCAAACGAACGAATGAATGAATACATGCATGAATGGCTTGCTTTGGACTGCAATCAGAAATACCCAGTCTGGGGCGCCTGGGTGGCTCAGTCAGTTAAGCATCTGCCTTCGGCTCAGGTCATGATCTCAGGGTCCTGGGACTGAGCCCCACATCTCACTCCTGCTCAACAGGGAGTCTGCTTCTCCCTCTCCTTCTGCCGCTTGCTCATGCCCTCTCTCTCACTCTTTCTTTTAAAAATAAATAAATAAATAATTTTAAATAAATAAATGAGATCTTTTAAAAAAGAAAAAAAAAATACCCAGTCTGCCATGCACCTTCCAATCCTCATGCCCTCACAATCCCCCGGCTCCCTGTCCATCACATCTGGCATGTTTATGTTTTTGTTTTTTTTAAGATTTTATTTATCTATTTGACACAGACTGAGAGATAGTGAGAGAGAGAGAGCACAAGCAGGGGGAGTGGCAGGCAGAGGGAGAGGGAGAAGCAGGCTCCCCGCTAAGCAAAGAGCCCCAAGCAAGGAGCCCGATGCAGGGACTGGATCCCAGGACCCTGGGATCATGACCTGAGCCAAAGGCAGCCGCTTAACCAACTGAGCCACCCAGGCGTCCCATATCTGGCATGTTTAAAAGGAGAAAGAGCAAGGATAGGTAAATTGATGACACTGGATTCATTCGACAAACGTTTCCTGGGCACCTCACAGAGGCATGAGCTTCTGAACAGACAGGAAGAAAGTTCCATGCCCTGTTTCTGTGTCCAATTTGACACGGGGCTGAAGGGTCTAGAGAACTCACCCTTGCCTCACTAACCAGCCTTGGGGTGGGCAGTGGGGGGGATCCCAAGGGTGTCTCAGCAAGATCATCGCTGAGCGAAACTGGACAGCAGAGGGCGCCATTCACACTTGCTCATCAAGTGCTCACTTCAACGTCCCCCTGCCAACTCCCACCATCTGGTTCAGTCTTCCTCATTTGCCAGCAAGTTCTACATACCCCCGGGGATAGTAAGAGCAGCAATGGCACCTGACTCTGTAGGCACAGCTGATTCAGTTTTCACAACCACCCCATGAGGAAGTACCGGCAACATCCCTACTTTACCCATGAGAAGAGACTCAGAGAGGGCAAGCCACTGCCCCAAGGCTGCACAGCGAGGAAATAGCCCCAGTGTCAGACAAATCATTCTATTGCTCCTAAACCCCTCTTGGCCTCTAGGACTGCAGCTTTAAGTTTTCAACCATCTGTAGCCTTGTTTCCCCATTTCTCTGGGCTCTCTGCTTCTAGAAACTTCGCTGCTATATAGCATACAACTTGGAGATGGGGGCCTTCTTGGGCTGAACTTTCCTGAGTCTCACAGGGGTTGCTGGGGCATTATTTTCACCCCTGTACACACACCCAGCCTCAACAGCTCAGTAACAAGGGGACTGAAATCTGAGTTCTTGACGTTCTGCCCAAACCACTCACTCCAGGTGACCCTGGTCTCACCTTGCGTCCCAGGGAATGGGAGCAGAAAGGGCCCTCGACACTTTGTAGCCCCAGGTTCAAATGCAAATATTTTCCAGGATCAGATGGGCGGTTTAAGGACTGAAGGGAGCCTGGTATGGGGCAGTGGGGAGGGGTGGGGCCTGCGGCATCAGGAGGGAGGGCGACGTCTCCCTTCAGGGGCAGTGCCTTCTCCACCCCAGCTGACTCTTGCTATTTGGGAAAGTGGAGCTCTGTTTTCAACCAGAAATCTGGATTTTTATGTGAAACCTTCAAATTTTTAAAGGCTGGGGACTACTTCAACATTTTTTTAAGATTAAGGAAAAAAAAAAAACCACCTAAAAAACCATGAAACAGTGTATGGGCTGGCCCCTACGCAAAGGCCATCGGTTTGCAACCTCTGACCTATCCCAGCCCTTCCTCTGCTCCATTTTCCTGATAGGAAGACCAAGACCCTGGAAACAGTTCCATCAACACAGTCAAGGCCCCACCTCTCGCGAGGCTCCTCACTTTCCTCTTCTGGAAAGTGGGGCTCCTTGCCCTGGCTCCCCTGGTCCTGTGTCAAGGGAACAAAGCCTGATGCACACCGGAGTGCAATGCCTGGAGCTGGACAAAAGCTCCTCATGCCAAACAAGCCGTGAGCCCTGGGGGCAGCTCACGGGTGCAACATCTCCCCTCCCTCCGCAGCAAGTCTGCTCTCCCTGGGGCTTGCCCTCCTGGGCCTTCAGAGGCACCCGCTTCAGCCCAGCTCCTGGCCGGCAGGTGCGCTGTAAATCCCAGATGGCCTTGCAGCTGCCTGGGGCTACCCACCTTCTTGCACACGTAGTCGTTGGGCAGGTAGACGACAGAACGGAGCCTCTTCAGCATGTCAAAGATCAACTGTCGGTCACAGCCCTGTCCCCAAGAGGAGGGGGAAAGAATGCCCATTTAGAGGAGGGTGGGGGCTTGGGGCTCCCCAGAACCCCCGGGGGGCAGAGGTGCTGGGTAGGCTGTACCTGGAAGAGAGCCACTTTGCTGACGATGTTATAGTTGACGTCGATGGCAAGGTCCAAACGCATCTTGTCTGGAAGCTGCACCATCAGTTCTGACTCGTCTGCAAAGGAGACACTGACAATGATCAGAGGCACATCCCGGCCTCCATCCCCCGCCCCTACACATGCACACATGGGGCCCTGGCCACACCATTCCTCTGCCCCTCCAGAGCCACGCAGTATTGCGAGAGTCCCCCCATCTGGGCTTTTCGGATGCTATTCCCTCTGCCAGGGAAAACCCTCGTGTACCTCCCAGGTTAACTTCTACCCATTCTTCAGAACCCAGTACTAATGTCACCTCCTCCAGGAAGCCTTCCTTTGAGATCCCTGCACCAGCTATTAGGTTCAGCAGTCTCTGCACTATGTAGCACTGATCACACCCCTTATGGCAATGGTTTGTCCATGCTAGTCTGCGCTTCTCACACTCTAAGAAAGTCAGCAGGGACTAGAGTATATCAAACACTGTTTTTACAGAGTGCTTTACAAAGATGATTGTATTAAATCCTCCCAACAACCCGACAGGTGCCCACTACTATAATGCCCACTTTACAGAAAGGGAGGCTCGGGAGGGCAGGGACTTGCCCATAGCCTCGCTGCCCAAGGGGAATGGAGTCAGTATCCCACCCAGGCCGTGGGGCTCCAGGGCCTGTCCCAGAAGAGCAGGGGCTGAGTCTGTTTTGTCCATGATGGGGTCTGCAGTGCCCAGCAGAGAGCCTGGCATGGAATGAATGTCGGTACTAGGGACAGGAAATGCACTAACTTGACCCCCAATCCCAATGCCCCTCCCACTGCACCACAATCATTTACGGGCTCAAGAGTGGATCTGCACGACCCTGGGCAGGTGGAAGCCCTCTCTGGTCCTTCATGTGTGCCTCTGTGGAGGGGGGCAATGATTCAGATGTCACAGGGCTGTCCCTGGAATGGAATGAGGCGATGGATGAGGGACCATGCCTTGTACAGAGTGAGCGAGCCAGCAAAGGATGCCAAGGACACCTCGACCACTCGGCTGGCCACAGTTGTGACAACGCCTTCAGCTCAGGAGAACTTGGAGCTGAAGTGTGGCTTCTTCAAGGCCAGAGGGAAGCCCGTGGAAGCAGGGGGGCCCTTGAATTAGCTGAGAGCATTGAGGGGTCCTAAGACACAGTGCCAGTGGCCCCCGGCTTGTCAGGGCCCCCCCCGAATGATGTCTAAGTTCTGAAAACAAAAGTACTAGCTCCCAAAGATAAAAAGAGAGAGAGACTGGGGGGGGGGCCGGAAATCGTGACTTAATTAACATAGAAGTAGTATATTCACATTTCATTAAGGGTTCCATTTAGAATTCAGGAAAACATCACTACATTTGAAAAGAGTGCACAAGTAAGATTCTCCCACTTCACAGGAATCACTGAGCGCATCCCATCATTGACAAGGAAGCAGAAACAGTGGGGAGTTAAACGCATTGTTGCGGCCAAAGAATTTCAGAAGAAAAGCATAACATCAACAAATTTACAAAAAGTTTATGTGTATGGGCACGTGGGTGGCTCAGTCGGTTAAGCGTCTGCCTTCGGCTCAGGTCACGATCCCAGGGTCCCGGGATCGAGTCCCACATCGGGCTCCCTGCTCGGCGGGGAGTCCGCTTCTCTCTCTGCCTGCCACTCTCCCGCTTGTGTTCTCTCTCTCTCTCTCAAATAAATAAATAAAATCTTTAAATATATGTGTGTGTGTATGTATGTTTATGGAAAGAGAAGGAGAGAGAGGGTCTTCCTTCTGTCCTGATTTCAGCCGTACTTCCATCTCTGATGGGGATGCATTTCAAGGCAGGGGAAGGGAGGGGAGGCAGGGTGTCCAGAAGACAAGGCTCTCAAGCCTTCAGGGGTCTCCTGACGGCCCAGCTTGGGGCACCGCATGGGCCTCCCTGGGTGCCCCTCACTTGAATATGTTGGGGCCACAGCCAAGAGGCCCCAGTGCTCAGCACCTCAGGGACATGGGTCAGAGGCAGGGCCCTGGGAGGAGGGGGCCAGGGGATAGCTGGTGGCAGCCACGGCACCTGTCTTACCCAGCATGCCTTGGGACTGCCAGGTGTACTCGTACCAGGTCTTGACCCGGTTCTGCACGGACCTGGGGATCTTGTAGAAGTTCATGTACTTCACGGTGCTGTCCATGCAGCTGCGGTAGTAGGCCTGCCCGGCTGTGGCGGCCCCCACCACGTCTCTCATCTAGGCTCAAGGAGGAAGAGTCAAAGGGCAGAGTGGGGCTTTGGGGGGGTGTGTCACAAGCACGTGTACTCTATTCGGACTAGGGGTGTGCGAGGGAGGGGGATCAGGAGAGAGGGAGACCCATGTCCACACACAGAGAAGGTTGCCAATGGGAGAAAAATTCTGCCCCCAGGGTGGACACGGGACGGGAGGAGTGAGGCTGCTGAGCGCAGCCACCCACTAGAAGGAAATGCCTCGCTGGGCTGGGCTGATTCTGGTACGACCTGGCCCCTCGGTGCCAGAGGCCACTTTGACCTCACTGGAGGAAATGTGAACCCGGTAGTGCTCCTCAGGGCAGGACCCAATTCTGAGGCCACCTGACTATGGCCTCATGCATTGATTAGAATAGGAGATGCATCCCTGCACATTAGACACCCCCAGGGGTTTCTCTCTGAGGGAACAGCCCAAATCCCCAGCCTTTGCAGAAAGCCATTCAGCCCAGCTCTCCAAAGACATCCCAGAGGGACCGACTTTCCAGTGGAAGCAACCATAGAGAAGAATGGGACCCAGACCTCCATCCCCATCCCCTTTACCCAGCAGGTCCTAGAGCTCCAGGCTCCTGAGTCCAGGTCCCATGGTATTTCCTGGATTTAGTCCGAAACGAATGGCCACAGATGATGACATTTCTGGCAGCAGTGGGAGGGAGGGGGTCCTGCAGGCAGGTGGGTGGCAAGTCAGACTAGTGACCCAGCTACCTGTCCGATCATCACAGAGAAAGCGAAGACACCCGTGAAATAGTTCAACCCCTGGAAGACGATTTCAAAGAGCGTTCTGGGGTCAGGCAGCCCACCAATGGTGATGAGGGTCTTCACAGCCCAGTAGTAACAGCGAATGTAACTAGAGAGAGAATAGGAAAGAGACTTCGGTCAGCAAAGGCCCCCCCCCCTTGCTGAGCCTGGGTGGCCTGGCTCTAACAGATGTGCAATATGCACATCTGTTTCTATATGCAAGGAAAACAGCCTCACACCCACAGAGCATGCGGTTTGCAGAGTGTATTCATAGATGCAGAGGCACGTTGTCACCTCTATTTACAGATGTGGAAACTGAGGCTCCAGGAGATTGCTAGAAAGACCTAGCAGGAGGGAAGACCAGGGTTTTCTGACTTCTGATGTCTGGGATCCCTCAATATTCTTTCAATTTCCACTAACTTCCCTTTGTCATCCTGCCATGTTGGTTCACGGAAAGCAAGAGTGACATTGAACTTGGAAGATACCTCGAGGACTTCGTTTTCTGACCCTCTCCCTTGCCCAGACCTTTTCCAGACCGGAAAACTGAGGCCCCAGAAGGCAAAGGAAACACTCATGGTCACCAGTGGGCCAGGTCCAGAGCTGGGATTAGAATTCAGTCTGTCATCTGCTTCTCTTGAGTTGTCACCCACAGTTGGTAATGTCGCTCCACGGGCGCATGAACCAGGGAAGGGAGGTATGGGCCCAGGAGGTGCCCGAGCTCATCTCATTATCACAGAGAAGTAAGAGCCCCTCATACATCTGTTCGGACCTTGAGGCTGGGCCCTCCCAGGGGTCAGCAATGAGTGAGGTCACCAGGGCTCAACGACAGGACAATCCCAGCTCGCTTTCCTGTGCCTTCCTGTCTTCCTACCTGGGCATGCAGGAGGCGTCCAGAGGCTGCCCTGGCCCCAGTGTCCTGATACACCCACACTTCTGAGGTCCTTGCTCAGCTCTAAAATCAAGACCATCATCCGGCTGGCAGATCATCTAGTCTGGGGATGACCCCAAACGGGCCCTCGCCTGGGCTCTGGTCACCACTATTTATGCAGAGTCATAGTTAGCACACGCGATCTGGACTGGACTGCCTGGGCTCAAACCCAGCTCTGTCACTTCGTCACCGCCTAACGTGGACAAATTACTAATCTCAGCAAGCCTCGGCTTCTTTCTCCTAAAAGGGACATGGCAGCAGCACATCCTTCACGGGGAATCACGAGGACAAAATGCGGCACTAGAAGAACGCCTGGGGCATGACGGGCTCTCAGTCAATGTCAGCTACCAGAGCCTTCTCTGTCGCTGGTACCTGCCACATGCCCCCAGTTAGGGAACGACAGGCTCACCTGTGGCCCCAAGAACCTCACCGTCTAGTGGGGACAGGCAAGAAATCGTGCAGAGAGCACTGGGAGGGGGAGGCAGAGGTTGGTGGGGCTCTGCCTCTAACTACTGGGGCTGGCCGCTGGACCACCCTGCACCTCATTCCCACTTGGTGCATAGAAACCTCAGGACAACACGGGCCTCCCCCACAAAGCCCCCCATCATACTGTTCCTGGCCACCAGAGGGCGTGCAAAGCAGACTGAAGCAGGGACTGAGCTGAGCGCTGTCTGGGAGCGGAGTGGGTGCTCCTGGACTCCCAACAGAAAGGCGACAGGAACAATGACCCCAAACCTTCCCCCAAACTCTTTCTGATTGGAGACATTCTATTGGCATGGCACGTCTTAGGGGCCTCCCTGAAGTCCTCGTGTCTTCCATGCTCCTGGGCCTGTGGGGACCCCCCCCGCACGCTCCAGGGCAGGAAGAAGCAGAACAGGGTGAGGGACCCAGATACGTGGGAACTTGGGTCCTCAAGCCCCTGGGCCAGAGCAGACACTCAACAAATGGTCACTATTTTGTAAGTGATTATTACCCGTGATATTGGACTTCTGGATGGATCCTTCACTCTTTGTGCTTTTTTGCACATATTGGGGGTTCCCTGTAGGATCTTTGTCTGGAGAAGAATGGGACTGCTAAGACAGCGTCCCCCTTCCAAGTCGCTGCAGAAGGAAGTCCCTGCCCTCCCCTTCCCTGCTTGCCCTTTCACTGCAGGCCTGCCCGTGATGGGTGTGCCAGGCCCAGTCCTGGCACCTGGGTTCTCGGCTTGTTGGGGCACAAACCTCTTTGAGAATCTAAGGAAAGCTAGCAAACTTCTCCTTAGGGAAGCCAGTGTGTCCTCAAAATTTAGCTCCAATTTCCAGGCGGGTGGTGGTGGGACCCCCGGACGTGTCTGGATCCCGGCTCAGGAACCCCTCTCCGGGTACGTGGGCTTCCCCATAAGAATGGCCATAGCTAGGACATGGTCACTGACTCCTGTCCACATGCTACACACATGAGTTTCTCATTCCTCACAAGAAATCTGAATGTAATACCATGCTCGGGTCGTAGAGGAGAAACTAAGTCTCAGAAAGGGGAAGGGCCTCAGCCAAGGTCACGGAGCAAGTTTTCATGAATACCTTCTGTTCGTTCCTTCCCGGGACTCCTGTCCCTTAAGCCTGTGCCCTGGCTCTCCAGGCGCACAGCCCTGACCTGGACCCCAGATGCTTCTGCTGCCCTTCCCGCACTGCCCTCCCTCCCCCTGACCACACCAACGCTTTGTCTGTTGCTCCCCCAACCGGTTCCTTGGCTTCTCCCCATCCCTCCAGCCCCTCCTCCCCTCAACCATCACCAGCAGAGTCACCTTTCTGAGACCCCTCTGGGTCCTGTCATCTTCCTGCTTCCAAGGTCTGGAGGCAAGAGGTCAGAGGGGAGCTGGGTTATCTTTCCATACCCATCCGACCTTTAAAACTATGGCAGCCTATGGGAACGCCCTGTAATTTCCCACCTACTCTTCTGGAAACCTAGAACTGCTCTAAAAAAATAGTGTACTAATGACAAGCATAATAATTTTTTTTAAATCTTAAAAATGTTCATATCCTTGGCCAGGCCATCCCCCTTTAGGAATTTATCGTGAGGAAACAATCAGGCCAGAGGACAAAGATTCAGATACAAAGATGTTCACTGCAGCGTCACGCGTCAGACTGAGGAACTGGAGACCCCTCAGTGCCCAGGGATGAGGCCATAATTAAATAAACACTGGCCTCTCTGCACGGGGAGGGCATCAGTATCGTGGTTTTTTAAAAAAAAATAATAATAATAGGCAAATATGCACGATATCATGTTATTCTCTATCCCTGTGGGTGACCTATTTTTCCACATTTTCACATTTCTAACATTGGGATGGATCTTACAATCTATGTGTCCATTTATTGTAATATTTCTTTTTTTTTCCCCCAAAAGCTGCATTGACTCAATGTGTCATAGAAGGAACTGCATCTTAGAAGCAAAGAAATATAGTAAAGAATGTTTCTGATCCTTCTTCAGTAATCAGAACAAATAGATATGAAACAAAGAACAGCAAAAAAGAACCCCGTACTGGCTCCCCATTGCCTAGAACAATGCTGTTATCCCATTAAAATACGATGCGACCCACCTACATAATTTAAAATCTTCTAGTTGCTACATTTTCACAGTCAAAAGAAACGGGTGAAATTAATCTCAAAAACAATCATTTTTTTTTTAGTGACCCAAAATATCAACATTAATATCATTTCAACACGTAACCACTATTTTAGGCGTCAGTAATAAGGCAGTTGACATGTTTCTTCGTATCTTCTGAACCTGTATTTCACATCTCAGTCACGCTTTGTCTCAAGCACTTGGTGGCCCCCTGTAGCTAGCGGCCACGCTATTGGATAGTCCCCACCACCACCCAAGACGGCTCCCAGAGCCCTGACTCCACCATTTTGCAACTCCGCGCCTTTCTTCCGGCTGCTCCCTCCCCCAGAGCTTTCTCTGCCCCTTCTCTCCACCTACCAAGGCCAAAATCAAACGTGGCTTTTTGGAATTGACTGTCCAGTGCCACCTTCCCCACACCTCTCCAGCACCAGGCAGAGGTTATGCTGGTTAAGAATGCAGCCCCGGGGTTCAAATCCCAGCTCCGGAACTTATGGGCTAACTGTGTGACCCTGGGAAGTGACTTCCCATCTGTTACCTCCTCTATACAATGGGAATGATGATAGCGCCTATCTCGAGTGATAACTGGAAGGATTAAGTTACTATGTTAAGTAGTTAAAGCAGGGCTAGTTACAGAATAAGCGTTCTCTGCTCTAAGTGCTTGCTGCTATGATTAGTAGTAGTACCACTGCCGTTGTCATTACTTGAGCATGTCCACAACGTATGGCAGCTGTCTGGATTGGTCAGTAGGTTTCACCTCGTTTTCCAGCTCCCGCATGGCTAGTGATGCCCAGGGAGCTATGCTGAGAGTGTGCTCTGGCCTCCTTCCCACTTGGCCGTGTCCACGGGGTAGAGGAGTGGAGGCACATGGGAAGCAAATGTGCCAACTCTACTAGGCTTTAGGAGGCTGAAAGGATCTTTCTAGCAAGTCTTGTTCCTGTCTGTGCCCCTCCGTGCCTGGTACACGGAGGGTGCTCAGGAAATGTTAGCTCAGTGAGGACACGGAGACACGGTCCTCAGACTTCCTCATGTCAGTGGTTCCTTGGGAGCAAGGCAGCCTCAGCAACATGTGGTGGCAATGGTATCTCTTTCTGGGACTCTCAGTGAATTATAGCCCCAGGAAGAGAGTGTGGCTCACCTGTTTCCCACGCCATCGTAAACCCAGTGAGTGGAGCCGATGCCCTGATAGGCTGACGCCCAGTAATACAGACATGAGTTCACATGTAGGCTGTAGAGCAGGTAAGCCGTGGTCCTGATCACCCTGCAGAAGAAGGAAACGCATGAACAGAGCGGCAGAGAGGGCGGCCGTGACCTCTCACCCCAAGGGTTGGAACTGCAGGGAACAAGCCCACCTTCACCTCCCCTGACACCCGCCTTGGACATGCCCCTGGTGGAGCATCACAGCCCTGCCCCGCTGCCTGGCAGGATGGACACCTGGCAGGATGGACTGGGCCAACCGCATGCTCTTCGGAGACTTCGCCAGCTAGGGACGGTGGCGTGTGAACAGCGAGTTGTCCAGGCCAGGGGCTGGGATGGCCCTGAGTTCCATGTGCAGACAGTGCTGGGGCAGTGAAGGACAGGAAAGGACAGCAGAGGCTGTATCCTTGGAGAGGGCCGGGGAAGGGACGGATGCGTGCAGGGAAGGGTCCCTCTGTGAGAGACATGGAGAAGCTTTGTCCCTGCGTGTGGCCCGGCTGGGCTTGTGCCCCACTCTCCGACATCAAGAGATGGCCCGCTGTCCTTACAAACACCCCCCCCCCACCGTGTTCGAGCTGGATTGAGGGGCCCAGTTCCCTGCGCTGAGATCAAAATGACACCCGGCTCCCTGGAAATAGCGGTGAGCCATGCATACGAACCTCTGTATGCCCTCCTCACAATTGGGGGAAATGGGACATTCCTGGCTCTCTAAAAAAACAACATCCCTTCAGAGGAGGGCCAGGAAGAGGCCTGGCTTCCGGTAGCACTGGGGCCCGTGGGGCCAGAGGAGCTTGAAAGGGGAAGAAACATGAGTAGAGAACGCCTTGCTCCGTTGTTGCTGTGAACGGCCCATGTCGTGTGTGCATGTGTGTCTCACCTGTAAATATAGGCTTTGCTGAGGATGGATTCCAGGCGGCTGTTAAACTCGAAGAAGGCCATGTACTGGGAGGAAGAGCAAAGCATCAGGACAGCCCGCCATCGGTGGGGTGGGGCGCTACCCTCCCCTGTCCCCCAGCACGGAGGCCTCTTTCTGCAGCACCCCCCAGAGGAGGCTGGACAGTGAGCATTCAACATCAGAGGTCCGTAGCCCTCTGAGGGGTGGGGGCCAGAAACTCCATTTACCAATCCGCAGGAAACCGTGACCCCTCTTGCCATAGAAATTACACCTAGTCCTGTTCTCACAGTTTGCCGACGTGTGAGGCGACTCCTAGACCTCCCGAAGCCTATCATGACATTTTCAGGGGTACACACATCTCAGGTTAAGGACACTGTTTGCAACGTTTAGTTATAAAGGAAACCATTTTATAAAGAAACAGCATCCCTATCACCCCTTACGTACATCCTTCAAAGGCTTGTCTATAATAATAAAAGTATAATAGTAGCTGCTCTTCTTTACTGAACACCTTTGATGACCACACTTTATATTCATTACCTTCTTGCTTATTTACACGCGAGGTACGTGGTAGCATTCTCCTTTTACAGAGAGGACATTGGCACTTCGTGACGTTGAGTCACCTGCTCAAAGCACACAGCTGCTAAGTGACAGAGGCAGGATTCGAACCCAGAGCATACTCAGAGCGGCAACACACCGCACACGTGTTGTTGGACATTGGAGAATGACCGTGAGGAAAGTTCCCCGAGCCATGGGCTGGTCGGCCTCCACGGAGTCCTTCTGAAGTCCCTCCAGGGTTTATATCGGATGCAGGGGGCTGTGGGCTTGGATCTCCCTCCCCTGAGGCTCAGAGTTGTGTCCTGAGTTGTGCTAAACACCAGATATGGATTCCATTGCTCTGGGGGGCGGGGGGAGGCTGTAAAACTCGGCTTGTGGGTCCACAATTGGTCTGCCAGGAAAACCCATTTGAGGGATCCCAAGTGCTCCGACTGGCTGTCGACCCTGGTCACATTACAAGGATCACTGCCGGGTCCCTCTTTTACCCTGTGTCACCTTCACAGGGACACCGGCTCTGCCCCAGCGGCAGGAAAGATAGCTGTCATGACACTGAGCAACAACCAACAATGAGAACAGGTATTGGGCTGCACGACCAAATCTATCCCGGGTACTTCCTGGCTTCTGTGACCTTGGGCAAGTCACCCAAGCTTTTCAAGCCTCCGCGTCCCCATCTTTTATTTATTTATTTATTTTTAAAAAGTTCCTTCTTTTATTTTTTTTTACAGATTTATTTATTTATTTTGAGAGAGTGAGAATGAGAGAGAGAGTACATGAGAAGGGGGAGGGTCAGAGGGAGAAGCAGACTCCCTGCTGAGCAGGGAGCCCGATGCGGGACTCAATCCCGGGACTCCAGGATCATGACCTGAGCCGAAGGCAATCGCTTAACCAACTGAGCCACCCAGGCGCCCTGCGTCCCCATCTTTTAGACGCAGACCATCATAAAGCAGAAGTCCCTCTGTTGTGTTTCTGTAATTACTGAAAGCATAGACCGTGGAGGCAGACTGCTTGGGTTCCAACCCGGACTCCATTCTTTCCTACCTGTGTGACCTAAGGCAAATTACTTAACCTCTCTGATAAAATGCTGCTATTAACAACACTAATCTCTGTTAAACTGTGGGGTTGAGGAGTACGTACTTGTAAAGCTTCCGGAACAATCCCTAACACACAGCACAACGAAGAAGCTCTAACACTTTTAAGGAACTTCCCATCCCCCCTGGGGCCACCCTGATGCCCCCCCCCGCCCCCGCTCCCCAGTGCTGCTCAAGGCAGACATTAAGATGCTAGTGCAGAGCACGGGGGAGCTGAAGGCCCTGGATGGGAAGCCTACCTTCAAACAGCGGGGCAAGCGCAAGAGGGGATTCACACCGAACTTCAGGTAGAGCAAGTCCAAGGGCAGGAGGCAGAGCATGTCCATCTGAAATCCCAGTGGGACACCGCAGTGTATAAAACAGGCAGCCCGCAGGGGGTTGGGAGGTAAGGGGAGTGACAGGGTCTCTACCTTCCCTGGAAGGGTGAGGTCAGAATGCCCCAGGAGTGGGCAGAGAGCATTTTACCCACAAGCCTCCGTTTGCCTACCCAGTGTCATTCTGGTGGGAATGACATCGCACTGGCCCCAAAGCACCCAGGGCCCCCAGTAACACCACCTTCCAAGACCCGGCAGAAGCTTGCATCCTTGGCACACACCTTAAAGCGATGAGATTTCAGGTAGTTATCGCGCATCTCCTTCTTGTCCGTCTGAAAGAAATGGAATACTGACCGTGAAATGGCCCAAGAGCTTAAAACCTGACCCCGTGGGGAGCAGCATGGACATCCCTGCAGAGTTTCCACCTTCCTATCAGAGTAACAGCCCGGGGGACAGCGGAGCTTTGGTGAAAGAAAGCCTCAGGGTCTGCAGGCAGTGAAGCTGGACCTCCGGGAGAGGAGGCTGGACCTCCTGGGGGAGGGGGGGGGGTTGTCCAAGCTCATCCGGCTAGATTCCGATTTCCTAGCTGGAAAGTCAATATTAGGCTCATTCTCTTAGCATGTGGGTCTTACCTGGACCATTTGCAACCTGGTTTACTGAGGAACCACCTCCTGCTCTGATCAGGCTGGGGAAAGAAGCTGCCCAGGGAACTCTTTTTCCTCTAAATTGTATTAGAGACACAACCCCAGCCCGCCTGCACATAGAGGAGCAGATCCCACCAGTGTGGCATTTCGGAAAGTGACCTGCACAGAGAGATAGGGACTGGGCCCTCTGCCTTCGCCAACTCAAAATCAGGACTCAGTTTCCTCCCCAGGAAGTGGGGCCTGCACCAGGGCACAGGGTCTGATGCTGGTCCAAGCAGCATGCTCTTTGCAGGACCCCCCGCCCCAGGAAATGCCGTTCGCCCGCAGCTCCCGTGCTGACCGCTCTGCGGACACCAACTCAATCCACCCTCACTGCAACGCTATGAGGTGGGAACAATGACTCCCCCCATTTTACAGATGAGAAAACTGAGGCTCAGAGCGGGGCTGCAGCTAGTGGTCGTAGAGCTGGGATTTGAACCAGGTCCACCTAAGAGTCGTTCTCTGGTCCTTTTTCCATCTTTAATTCTGTCAGGTGCTGCAGGAGCCATTTCACCCATGAGCAATATTCGTGGGTGTAATTTGAACAAGGACGGGCACACATGCCCGAGATCTTGCTCCCTTGTCTTGTCTATCAGAGCAGCAGCTGGGGTCAGACTCCCAAAGGCCCTGCTGCAGGGCCTGCCCCCCACCCCCGGCCCCGCCACCTGCCCAGGACTCACAATGATGTCTCCGCCTCTGACAAACTGCAGGCGCAGCTGGAACACGGTGATGTCCAGGAGGTAGATGAGGTCACACAGATAGTCCATCAGCAGCCAGAGGAGGATGTTGTCTGGTGTCTGGTAGGGGAAGGCCCAGCGCACAGGAATCAGCCAGCAGTTCCAGTTCCAGGCCAGCACCACGAAGAACAGCCACAGGATGTACATCAGGTCTGCGGGGGGGGGGGGGGGGGGGGGGGGGGGGGGGGAGGGGGGGCGGCGGGTTGGAGCAAAGGGGCAGGAATGCGCTAGAACGACCATCGGAGGAGGGCTCCTCTTAGGAGCATCAGGGTAGGGCTTCCTTCTTTCCACTAGTCTCTTCCTAGATGTGGCACTTTTGTAACGGGAGTATGTGTGTGTGTGTGTGCATGTGCGCCTGTGTGTGTGCGTATGTGTGTGCGTGTGTGCATGTGCGTGTGTGCCTTGCTTATGTGTGTGCGTGTGTGCATTTGCGCGTGTGCCTGTGTGTGCATGTGTGTGCATGTGCGTGTGCTTGTGCGTGCGTATGTGTGCTTGTGTGTGCATGTGCGTGTGCCTGTGTGTTTATGTGTGCCTGTGTGTGTGTATGTGTGGGCATGTGCGTGTGTGCTTGTGTGCCTGTGTGTGTGCATGTGTGCGTACGTGTGTGCATGTGCGCGTGTGTGGTTGTGTGTGTGTGCATGTGCCCATGTGTGTACGTGTGCGTGTGTGCATGTGTGCCTGTTGTGTGTGTGAAACTATCTCTGATTTAAAAATAAATCCCTGCCAGGCCCTAATAAACCAGCGTACTCAGCAGGGGGACGATGGGGGAATTATTAGATAATAGGTAGCTAACTAGAAAACGCTTTTGCTCTCATTCTTACTGAAAGAGTTCCAAAAACGTCTTTCCTACTTTAGTAAATACACAATAGTAAATAACGCCTAGAAGATGGACACACAGCAGGTGGGTGGAGGGATGGATGGGTGGATGTCGTGGGTCACGTGGTCATTTTAGAGGCCCAGTGGACACCAGGGTTGGTGTCCTGTCCCCGCAGGACTTGTGTGACCACAGGAAGGTCTCTCTGTGGCGCCTACCCTGCCTCCCTGGGGAAGGCACAAGGAGAGGTCGGCTTAGAAAGGCTTGGGAGGTCCTTTGTCAACTGTAAAGTGCCGTGCCCATAGCACGGGTTGTCATTCCCGAGGAACAGAACGTGGGAGGGGAGTTCACTTTAGATGTCACAAGAATTTCTGCCCTTTTCTGCTCAGAGCAGCAGCTCCAGGAAGGGGCCCGCAAGAACAGAGTAGAAGGCAGCCTTGGCCAAGAAGCAGGGCTCCCAGGTCTGCCACTAACTAGTCGTGCCTCAGTTTCCTTGTCTGTAAGGTGGGGGTGATGGTAGGTTCCTAGTCGGGGGTTTTTTGTTTGTTCGCTCCTGACGTGCCCTTGCACTCCCCCCGCTTCTCCCGCTCGGTCTCCTGGCCTCGCAACAATACGTGGTGGGGGCAAGGCCTGGGCCCACCCAGGACTCACTGGTCAGCGGGTCGATGCTCTGGGGAAACCGGTACATCTTCCACGGGCGGCGCTTGAACTTGCAGCAGAGCATATCACAATAGTGGTCCTCGCCCTCCTCCTCCTGCCCCGGCCCGGCCGGCTTCACTGCCGGGGCCGGCTCTGGGGCTTTCTTGGCCGGGGCTGCGGGATGACACCGGTGACCATCTGACCCAGCCCTGAGGCTCGGGCAGAGGCTACAGAGAGAGGCCAACCAACTACAGACTCTGGACCTGGAGCCGAGGGGACCCTGGCGCCACCCCCAAAGCTGCAGTCAGCTCTGCGTGCGGAAACCAGGGTGCTCTCCACAGCAAACCCCACGGCACCCGGCCGGACACTCTCACCAGCTACTGGTCTGGAACTGCTTCTCAGGAGCTACCCAGAATGAAGTGTTTCTGGGCAAGTTAGGTGTTTCCAAAAGTCTGTTTGTGCGTCTGTGTTTGGACCCCCTTGGTTCTCTCGGGAGGGCTGGGGGCATTTCCTACCCCAGACCCCTGCCACCAAGGGCCAAAAACCAGGGAAACCTTGCTCTGGGTTTCTCAGAGCAGGAACCTGAGCTCCTTCATCTCTGAAACAAGACACTGAAGGGGACCACAGCCTCTCTGTGCATCAAAGGCGATGGTGTTGGTGACCTAGAGATTGACTTTTGTAGGTTCAATATGTTTGCGTTTCTAGCTTTAGGACTGTGGAGCCAGACCCTGCTAGGTCCATTGTTGGCGCCCTGAACTCTGAGGCACAGTCCTCCTTTGGAAACCCTCCCTGGCAGGAGAGCACTTCTCTCATTTCCTCTTGGAATCTTAAAAGCAGGAAACTTTCAGGTAGCCCCATGAGATTATGGCAAACGAGGCCTCCGAAAAATGAGACTGAAAAAAAAGCGGGGTGTGGACGCCATCTGTGTGTAAGCCCATGCGGTGCCTCCCAGGCTGGACTGCCTGCCGGCTAGTGGGAAAGGCCCGGAAGGGTCGAGGAGGGTACGTGCCCTGTGGGAGTGGGAGCCAAGTAAGATGGGATCATCGGTCGGAACTTTGCCCGTATTCCCTTCCCTGGTTCCAGAGCTAAACCTGTACATACAGGACCCCAAACTCCAGACAGCGGGGAACTTGGCTTTTCCCAAGCACCCCAACCATTTCCTTGGGGGTACCCTCACCGTGAGTTTACAAGGGGCTTTAGGGGACCCATTTCTGGTGGGGTGAATCATCCCAGCTCTGGACTCACAGGGCTTAGGGCTCTCCTCATCAGACGTGACGTCAGGGTCGATGAGCTTCTCCTTCACCTTCTCTGTCCGCTCCTTGAAAAGCTTCACCAGCTCCTGGAGCCGGTAGTTGACGAAGACGCTGTTCTGGCTGGCCGCAGACACTGCGCGGTCCCGGCCACTGTGGACACACCACCCGGCGCTGGGGCGGGCTGGATAGGACAGGACCCCTGTGCCCCCCGGGCCAGAACCAAACGGCATCCGTATCCCACCCAGCCCGAAGGAGGCAAAAGCTACCCCAGTTTCCTTCGGACACCAGAAACATCAAACCCGCTTTAATAGGTCCTAGGAGGAAATTCAGTCTGGGGCTCACACCTGGGGGCCCAGCTTTTAGAAAATGTACCACGCAGGATCTGATTCAGATGGGCAGTTCTGAGAAAACTTTGATCCCACTTGCGATTTAGGGGGAAACTCTTGGAACTCAGGTCAGGACTGTTAGCCCCAGTTTGGGGTTCCCATGAGATTCGTGTCTGGGCCAGATCAAAGAGCAGACAGGGCTACGCTTCTGGCTCAGGAAATAGCTGATGGAAAAAAATAGTGCGGATACATTCTATATCCTTTTAAATTATAGGAGTTTAAACTGTATGCACTCGCAGCGAGAAAGACAGATGGACAGAGAGACGGACAGAGAGAGAGAATGAATGTGAGTCTGCCCGGCGCTCCACTCACGGGGCAAGTGCCCTGGGTGGCCTGGGACAGGCTGTCCTCTGAGCAGCGTCGCTCTGACCATCGTGCTGAGCTGAGTGCATACAAGTGTTTTCACACCTATTTGTTTTCAGACACGGGGGCACCGGAACTCAAGCCAGCTACTCCCCTGGTGCTCACTTGATGAAGCAGGCTGGGGACAAGCCGTATGGGGGTCCCAACAAGAAAGGGCACACAGGTATGGTGGAGACGCTAGCTGCTCACCCACATCTGCTCCCTCCCGTGGGGAGCGGTCGCTGGGACGCAGACACCCAGCGAGGGTGGCCGGGCGGGCTCCCAGCAGGGGAACATGAGTGGACTTGCTACACGCATCTCTGGGCCCCTTGTCTGGCGTTCTCCCCTTCTAGGGCTGACCAGCGGGGGCTTGGAAGCCACACAAAGGTGGCAGAGCTGCTGTCCGCAGGGTCCCTAAATGACTGCATGGAGCACAACCCTCCACTGACCTGAAACAGTGACATGATTGTGATACATGAGACCTCTTGTTGCTTAAGCCACTGAATCTGTGGGGTCTATTTGTTACAGCAGCTGAGCCTACCTTGCTAATGCATGGACCCGCACGCTGAGCTCCTTAAGAGGCTTCAAGGGTAATTTTTATTATTATAACTGATTTCTGCCTTGTTTTCTGATACTAAACTCTGACCCTATCCCTACCCTACTGCATGAGGTGGGATTCCACTGTATAGTCAAATGGACCAACGAACTAGGGGTGAGGTTTCGATTTTTTTCTTTCTCCTTCAACTTTTCTGGACTTTTCACAACTCTGTAAAACAAACTCCATAAAATTATGGGTAGGGGGGAGAAAAAGGCTGGAAGGCAAGCCCAGTGCCTCCTGTGGCCGCTCCAGGAGCCGAGGCTGGGAATAGGATGGGAATCCCAGGCCAGAGCCTGGGGCCGGGGAGTCACCATCAACCAGACACCTCACACTCCTCCAGAAAACATCTTCCATTGGCCCAGCCCTTGGAATAGTTAGATGTCAGAGACCCAGGTCCCAGTGCCCTCACTGTGGCCTCTAAACATTGTCCCACACACCAGTTGCATCAGAACCAGCCAGAGGCTTGTAAAGATGTGAATCCCCCAGGGCCCACTGTCTGAGGGTCTGATCCAGCGGGTCTGGGCCGGCAGCTGGGAATCTGTACTGTTGACAAGCTCCCTGGGTTCAGATCCCTGGCGATCCTTGTTTTCCTCACTCCTGACCCTCTCAGGGGTTTAGAGCCGGGAGCCAACCTCTGCCTGTGGGCCAAGAGCCTCTCCTTTACAGCAAAGCCTCTGTGCGTTCTGCCGACTGTACAGAACTCCTAGGCCAGCCAGAAGCAGCCTGGACAGGAGACCCAGCCCTGTCTTAAAGCTCAGAGGCTGCTGGCCAAGTTGTGGTGGAGGGTTCTAGAAACGTCCACGCTCTCCCCCTCAACCCCAACCCCCTCCCCTTGCCTGCTCATCCCCACCCAGACTTCCAACTCTCTGAGACCCCAGAAGTGGTCCCTACTCACTCAGTGCCCTGTGGGCTGGGCGGGTCCAACCAGGCGACCACGGGCGACTCAGCTGGTGACAGTGCCTTGAGCTCTTCAGCCTCATCATCTTGGGAGGGCAGCCTCTTCCTGCAAGGACACAGACATGGAGGGGCCTTCAGCGAGGGCAGAGGCCACAGGGGGACGTGAGCCGACCTCGACCCCTGCAGATCAGTCAGAGCCGAACCCTGGCGGGGGCGGGGGCAATGGGACAGGGGGTGTTGGTGCTGCAAAGGGTCCTCACTTGCCCGCAGGGAGACTAAAAGGGAGAAGAGAGGGACACAGCCCTCTCTGGACCTCAGTCTCCACATCTGTTCAATGGCCTAGTGTAAAAGTAACAACACTGACTTGGTATCAGGCAAACTCGAGTTTGCACCCCAGTCCTGCTTCCTACTAGTGTATGATCTTGGCAAGTGACTTAAACTGTCTGAGCCACCTCAGTTTTCCCATCTGTAAAATAGGACTAGATTTACTCAACTCATCGAGATACTCAGGACTCAGTGGGGCCTCAGCTTAAATGTTCTGCTTTCCCCTCCCAGGCCCCAGCACACCCTATCTGAGGAAGGAAGACCAAATCCTCCCCGGGCTCCCCTGTCATTCAGTGCATGTCTGCCCCAGGACTGTGCATTTGGAGCCATTGGAGTCCTGGCTGATGGTGTCTGGGTGGGAATCCACCTGTCCTTCTTCCCATCCTCAACTAGCGCAACCCAGGATCCCAGAGGCTTCTAGAGGGATACGGATGGAGGGATGTGTAGCACTTGCCTTTATTCCAGAAGGCTCTGAAACTATCCTATGACCTTCTGCCTACTCACTGAGGACGGCAACACTCACGGATTCACCTCCTTCACACTCTAATTAAAATTCCCAGCCACGAACACGGAGACCAGAATTTGCACAGGTGGAGGACCCAGCTCGGTCCTCCTGCGCCCAGCCTGGTGCCCTCTCCTGAGTCAGGTGCCATCTCCTGCCCAAGACACCGAGTGTGGAACTCCGTCAGCAGCTAGGCTCCCACAGCCCTGTTTCGCGTGCAGCCCTGTGCTGAGCGCCTTGCACGAGTTAGTTCATTGAATTCTTCCAGCAGTCTAGTAACTGTGGTGTGTCTATCCCCATCTTAAGTAGGAACACGGAGGACTAGGAGTGTGCATTGGCTTGCCTCGAGCCTCCCATTGGTGAGTGGTGAGCTGGGATTCACCCCAAACCAAGGCTTTCAGCTTTTTAAGGTTTAAGCAAACCTAGCGCCTGTGCCCCTCTGTCAGGGTCTGTGGTTTCCATGGATTTTTGGTGCCTATCAGTTGCCCACAATGCTCATTCCATCCCTGACCATAGGCAGCCCCATTGGCTTCCCAAGTCAGGTATCAGAATTCTCCCCTCTCAGGGCCAAGGAGGCTTAGGTAGATGTTCCCCTGGTTTCTCGAAGTCATGTTCAACTTAGAGCTCTCTGGGACAGTCTTGTTTGTTTGTTTAATTCCTTGTTCATTGCCTATCTCAGCCCCGTGAGAACATCAGCTCCATGAGAGTAGGCCCCTGTCAGACTGCTCCTTGATGCATCCCCAGCACCCAGAGCAGAGCCTGACACATAAAGTTGTTCAAGAAATGTTTGTGAATGAATGACTGAGTGAATGAGTGAGTGAGTGAATTAATGATAAGAACAAGAGGAGCCTTGCCCATAAACAGAAGGCAGAGGGCTTGGATTCTATCCCCAAGGGAGCCTACTCCCCCTCTCTGTGCCCAGATATCCACCCCCAACCCAGCCTGTATAAAGAGAACAGAGAGAGGTAGACCAGACGTCTGCAACAATATTGGCTCTGTTTTTTTCTGCTGTGTTCTGCATAGTTCAATGAATGAAACAAGAGGATTGATGGGACAGTGAGCTATGTTGCAAGGCTAGATGAGATTATGACTCTTCTCTTCACATTAAAATCAGAGAGCCTTCAGTTGGCCACATCTAGCTATCTCTGTTACAACAGGCTTTTTACCTTGGCTGAGAAAGTCCTCAGGGACAAATGGATGAGAGCAAAGATTAATCAAGAAAAAGGAACTATCTCCTAATCCAACCACCACGGGAGAAGCACTGGCAGCTCCCCTGCAGCTTAAATGCAGTCATTCACAAAGCAGTGCACCTCACTTCACAGTTTGCCTACAGCTGTAGGCAAGACCTCTCTGTTACCTGGCTCAGGTTGTTCAAAACCAACTCTAATCATGTAACAAATTTGTATCAAAAAGCATAAAAATGTGCACAGCCTTGACCAGGATTCCCACTTTTCAGAAAGGAGCCCAAGGACAGAGAGAAGCCCAAAGAGATGCCCATAGCTCCATTATGGACAGTGCCCAACAAGAAAGTATTTGTTAAGTTCACTCTGGCACATGGAGCTGGAGGAATGTGAGATGTGGTCTCAAATGAAATGTGGTCCAAACCACCCCTCCAGTTAAAACCACACAAAAGCATGGGCCCATAGACAAGGTACAGAAGAGAAGGCAGTAAAATGAAATCACTACCTAGTGCGGTGGGACAAGGGATGCTTATTTTTCTAGTGTTTTTTGGTATCTCCATTCCATTATTTTAATAATAAAACGAGGGGGTGAAAATTAGCCTTGTCACATTTATTACCCCCTTCCTATAGTTGAGGGTACTTGGGAGAGGACTTCCTTGGAGAACTTTTTAGAGAGTCCTAAACCAGAGTTGAGGACTAGGAAGTGGGACCATAGTCCCAGTTCTGACACCAGGTCACCGAGTGACCTTGAGCCGGCTGCTTTCCCACTCTGGCCTCAGTCTCCCTTTCTGGCAAATGGACAGATGGCATGGTGCTGTGAAAAGCCCAAGAGAAGCATAAAAGGTGACCTTTCAGTCCCTGCGGCAGATCCCGGGACCGAGAGGGTGTCGGATTTGGCAGGAGAAGGTGGTGGCGGCTCAGGTGAGGGTGGATTCTCCACGATGGGGGGGTGGCTGTCCACATCAGCATCTTCCACCTGCACTTCCGGATGCTCTTTTGTAGCAGGCACTTGGAGAGAGGAAGGAGAGGACAGTCAGAGAGAGAGAGAGAGAGGCCAGGTCCCAAGGGCCTTGCTCCGTTCTTGATAAAGCCACAGAAAGCATGTCTGGAGGGGCCTCTGGCAGCCCCACCTCCCAATGGGACCCACGGGAGAGCTCCATGCAGGGGGTGCAAGAATGGAGAGCCCGGGGGCCTCTGAGGGCCTTGGCTGCCCCAGACCCCAGCCCAGGGGCTGCAGAAGAAGCCATAACACCATTGAGGCCACAGAAGTCCCTGAGCACAGCCTGGAGTCCAGCTCTCCCAAGCTCTGCTCTCCCCGGGCCTAGTGAAGCCTCAAGGACTTGGGGTTTGGCGGGAGTGGGGGCGGGAGGGCGGCAGCAGCCAGAGAGGGCAGGGGGAGGCTGGGAGAGCCCAAGTCTGAGGGCCTGGCCTGGCACAGCCTCAGCTGCTTCCCCTCGCTGGGCCTCAGTTTCCCCATCCCAAGGTAGGGGTGACAAAGGCACACAGCCTCACACTCTTAAAGGGCCTCAAATGGAGACATTGGGCAGTTTCTTGCAACCAAGGATAACAGCGTGTCCTTGGAGTGTGTGTCACCCCTGTTTGGGAATCTGTTTGGATGTCTCCTTATTTCCAGACCCACTGGGAGGCCCTCAAATCCATCAACCCAACCCCTCTCCTGACCTCTGAGAAGCCTGGTGCCGGGTCCCACGTCCCAAGGACCAGGTCCTCCCTGGCCAGTCTGGGGTGGCCCTGCCTCAGGCTTCATCACCCACCCCAGGGGCCGTGGGGACAGGCCTGCCTGAGGCGACGCTCAGAGGATGCCAAGGGGCCAAGACAGGGCTCCCTCTCCCGGCCACACTGGGGTGGGACCACTCGCTAGCAGCCAGGCCCAACGCACCCAAAATGAGGAGAGGGAGCATTCTGAAGCCCTTGGAGATGCGACTTTCTTCTTAAATGGCCATCATGGGGTAAAAGCCAGCACTTCGCAGAATGTGGCAGAGGGAACCTAAGCGAGACCTTTGAGCATTTGTTGTACTAAGCCTTAAGCCCGCAGAGGAAGAGCATGAACAGGAATGGAGAAGTTTCTAAACATTTAAGGAACAAGTGTTGCCAGACTAACAGGAGAGATACCCCCAGGCTGTGGAAAGCAGGAGAGAGCGTGAGGCACCGGGGCCCTCACCCTGCTTCTCTGGGCAGGGTGAGCTCAGCGCCCCAGACTGCCCCCAGTGTGGCCCCCGGAGCCTCCGTGAGGCTGTGTCGGGGAGCCTGCGAGGGGGCAGGTGCTCCCCCACCCTGCCTCACCCTGAGCAAGACTCTGCAACCTCCATCGCCCCCAGGAAAGAAGGAAAACCCCTAAGCCTGGTGTTTCATTTTTATAGAATGAGAATAGTATTATGAAAAATCGAAGAACACAGCATGACTACATTGGTTGAGAGAAGAATCATATTTACGTAGAGCACGTCCTATGTGCCTGCCTGCCATTCGTTTCACCAAACTCTTAGTGCTTTATATAGATTAATCCTTCCCCCCTTCCCGGCCCTTCTAGAAGGCCACTGTTATCACTGTCCCCATTCTGTGGATAAACTGAAGCACAGAAAGACGAAGGAACCGGCCGCAGAGCCAGGATTTGGACCCAGGCAGCCCAGCTCTAGCACTTAGCCTCTTCCTTCGTCCTGAGGTTGGTGACCAGCTCGCAAAGAGGCCTCCATTTAAACAAAACCTCGCTCGGGGCCAAGCAGCATCACTGAAATGGGGATGGTGTTCTTCCTACATGCTGCCCTGCCTTATCCGCAGCATCTCACATCACCGCCGGTCATACCACCATGGCTGGAGCAGCCCACTGTCCCAACGTGGCCATGGGACTATTTCCCCAAGTGAGCATCATGGTCCCCATTATGGCCTGCGGGAGGGGGGCTCCTGGGGACCTGGGCACAGACAAGGCAAAGGAAATGTGGGACGAGAACATTCCTCCCGTTTCAATTCTCTCTAGATCCTGAATGCACAGAGACGAAGTCACAGCCTGGTGCTCCCCGGGCCCTAATGCGTCTCGGACACAGCCTGATTCCCCTTTGGGGCTAAGAGGGCAGGTCTCCGCTGGGAGCCTTCAGCAGGTCATCACCCTTCGCCGAAACAATCAGCACGACTTTGTTTTTAGTTCATTTGCAGTTGTTTCTATTTATGCCTTCTATTTATGGCAAGCGATGCTGGTTTCCCACTGGAATAGTATGGTAAAGCTTCCTGATTGAATAAACTTAATTAAATGTAAAAAATGAATCCACTGAAAGAAAAACGGCAAGCCAATAAAGGTAGAATTGGTATAGAATACAGCAAAACTTGAGAAGGGATCCATGGGGGGTGGCAATTGGGGGATGTTTCGGAGTGAGTAGATGCAGGGCTTGCCCAGAAGACCGGGCCTGGGGGTGTCAACCCTTGTGGTGGGGTCGATCACCCCCACTCTGTGCCTATTGCAAGCTGGGAAGAGAGGACAGCGGTGGATCTATTCTCATGAAATGTTCAGTTCTGCCTGTCTACTGACCTCACATGCAACCTTGCACACTATCCCCCCCAAATAAACAAATGAAAAGGGAAAGCGAGTGGGTCTGGCTTGAGTTAAGGCAGAAAGGGATAGGGGTTAGTCCAGAGGCACTCCACTGTGCCCGAGCACTTTGTCATCAGGAAGCAAGCAGCAGGAACCCAAAGACTGTCACAGGGACCTTGTCACAACTAAATGGATCCAGACAGGCTCTCCTTCTTCACTGGCCCCTAGGGCTATCTCTCCTCCTGGTCTGCCTGCAGACACCTGGGGGCCTCTCCTTTCCTGAAATGGGATTTGCTGGGCAGATATCAACAATCCTCCCAAAGTCGAGCTCTAGAAAATCCTCAAGGTCTAGGATTCTGTCTGAAATGGGTCCCCACATTCCTCTTCTGCCCCATTCCCCTCAATTTATTCTCTTCCCCCACCCAAGTCTCTTGGCCTAGAGATCTTAGTAATTTGTTTAAGCGAGGGTGTGACTGACTAGCTGTAAAAAAAAAAAAAATGATGATCTGCAGGATGCAATGTTTTACCCAAAGAAATTAATTGTTAATTGTGGGATTTTAGGCACAGAGATAAGGGGACTAATATCCCTTAAGTTACCACAAAGCAAGACGAAGGCATTGACCAACAGAGGAAGGGGGTTGGTTTTCCAGGAGTTCAACTGGTAATCCCACACCTTGACCATGGCACCCATGCGAGGAACAGCCCAAGCCACGCAGAAGCCCACACCCCAGGCGCAAGCATGCTGGGTGCACAAGATCACACTACCTAGACGACGGATGGGACTTCTGGTCTCCTTGGCGAAGCCGGAGTTGGACAAGGCTGTCCTCCGGGAGATGAGAACAGGGATGCGGGTGACTGAGGGGCGGTAGCTGGGCACATTGGGGAGGTGCTCCGCCAGGGTTGGGCGAGCAAGCCCTGGGGCCACCTGGCCAGGTGGCTGGTCCTGGACCAGGCGATTCAGCTCCACATCCTGGCCTGGTTGAGCCATGCTGCTGGGGCCAGTGGGGGTCAGGCAGATGTGGGACCCTGCTGCAACCAGGAACAGAGGGTTGGGGGAGGCAGGGGAGGTGGGCTCCTCCCCACTAGCACCAACTCAGACCAGCCCGGTGCCCGCCTGCCCTCGCAGCAGCTGCCTCCAAAGCCCAAACATCACTCGTGTCCCTGGGGTCAACATCGAAAGCATCATCAGGTCATGTTGGCTGGTCTACGTGGCAGCTCTGAGGGACAGCACCGGGTCCCCCAACTTCTTGTGCTTTCTCTGTTAACCAGCCACTGGTAGCATTTCCCACCTCAGACAGAAAAAGTTGGAATCAGGGATGCCTGGGTGGCTCAGTCGGTTAAGCATCTGCCTTCGGCTCAGGTCATGATCCCAGGGTCTTGGGATTGAGCCCTGCCTCGGGCTCCCTGCTCGGCGGGGAGCCTGCTGCTCCCTCTGCCTGCCACTCCCCGTGCTTGTGCTCTCTCTCTCTGACAAATAAATAAATAAAAATCTTTAAAAAAAAAAAAAAAAGGTGCTTTTCAAAGACCAGGTGGGGAGCAAGGTTGGGACACCTGGGGTCAGGACACCTGCCTCCAGTCCCGTGTCAAGTCGCCGGCTGGCTGGGACATGAGCATCATGGTCCCCATTATGGCGGCCTGCCTCAGTGCCACGCGGTGTTGGGTACCTTTGACACATTGTCCCCTCCTACTCTGCCCCATGCCCTGTGTGGCAGGTACGACTCTTGCCCTGTCTTTCTGGATTTGGGAGTCACAATTAAGAGAGGTCACACACCCGGCTCCAGGTCCCACAGGAAGGAGGAGGGAGGAACCAAGAGTGAAATGCAGGTCTGTGCCCTTGACCGCTCAGCCACATCCTGCCCACTTGGAGCCTCAGGTTTCTCATCTATAAAATGGTCTGTCTGCCTCAGAGGGTGGTTTGAGGAACACGGAGGCCCAAAAGGTCAGGGCTCCGTGTCTGTCTGTCTCAGGCTCCCCAGGCTGGCTCTCCTCGGCTCCCTAGCCTCTGCCGCACCAGCCCTGGAGCTCTCGGGTTTGCGGTTGGAGGTGGTAAATAATAGCCAAGTGCGTGTGCTGGGTACAGCCTGGGGGTCTGGGCAGTAAGGAAAAGCTCATGAAGACACGTGGGGTCTAGGACGGGCCCTTCGCAAGCTCGGGTTCCAGTTTTCATTCAGAGATGCTACATTTCAGCCAAACCGTCTCCAGATGGTTGTCCAGAGAAGAGTGGCAGGAGGCGCTGACCGGGAGTGGGGTTTCCACAGGCCTAATGGAGTCCCGGGAGCCTCCCATAATTCCCCTGGGGCCTTGAAATACATCACCAAGCTCTGAAAATGTGGCCCCCAGACGCAGAGGATGGGTTTCACCTGAGGATGAGACAGGTGTAGGGGTGTGGGGATGGCAGGGATGGAGGGAGAGGGGCTGAGTGCCCTTGTCCCCAGGCTGCCCCCAGCCTGAAAGTGTCCGCAACGCTCTGACCCCCCACCACCACACACCTACCTTCTGGGCTGGCAGTCACGGCCTCCTCCTGCAGCTCCTACAGACAGGAAGGGGGAAACAGAAGGGGGACCATCAAGGCTCCTCCTCGCCCCAGGCCAGCCCAGACCCTGTTCGGAGATCTGTCTTCAAGAGTCCTCCCGGGCCCCGAGTCTACTCCTTGCCCTGCCTGACTGTCGGGCCCTGCCCCCCAACCTGCTGGGGACTCCAGGGAGGCGGCCCCCACCGTGTAGAGGGGAGGACACCCAGGAGCCCAGCGCCGGGACTTGACACAGATAAAGGGGGGTGTGTTCTCATGTAACTCTCCCCACCTGGGCGCCGCATTTGACAGTGCATAGCTGTGTGGGACACCCTGGGGAGGGGTTTTCGGCCGCATTTTACAAAGGTGGCCACAGAGGCCCAGAGTGGGGAGGTGACTCGTCCAGGGCCACACAGCCACGTGAAGACTGGCCTGCAGGACAAGCTGCTCCCCCTGCAATGGCCGTGTCACCCCAGGCCCTCCCTGAGCCCACCTGACCCCTGGTATAAGCCAGGTCCTGCAGTACCCACCACCCTGCTCCCCTCTGTCCAGTGGGCATCTCACCAGCTGAAAATCCCCCTGTAAACAAAGTAGACAAAGCCTATCCAGGCCTCAGAGGTAATCTGCTCATACCTGGTCCGGGGCCCTCTGGGGCTGGGTCCTGCCTACTCCGCTCAAGTCCTCGCCAGCCTGTTCCAGCAGACAGCTATCCAGCAGGACACTGTGACCCCAAGGGGGAGGAGGAAAAGGCTAGTGTTAAGGGTGTTAGACATTTCCCGAGCCCCGCCTGCCGAGAGCCAGCCCATGTGTTGGGAGCTGGTGCACAAAGTGGCCAAGAATAGGTCCTCACCCTCAGGAGGTTCCCTGCACGGGGCAGGCAGACCACGACTGTGTCTAGGAAGAAGGCCTGCCCATCATCAGGGACGATGAGGTGACCCTGAGGCATAGGTGAGGAACGGTGTCCAGGACAAGGGAACAGCATGTACAAAGGCAAGTGTGGTGGATGGTTCGAGGAACCATCCTCTGGGGGGTGGGACCAAAGAGCACTGGATAGCGTTCAAAATGTACTCCCAGCATTTGCCCTCTGCGAGCCTCCTGGCGACGTTGGTGACACAGTCAGGGCAGGGAGTAGGAGAAAAATGAGGCCCAGAGAGGTGCTCTGACCTGGCTAAAGTCACACAGCAGATTGTCTGACACCACACAGATCTCAAATGCAGGCCCTGGTTCTTTCCAGGCCACGAGATCAGAGCCACACTTCGGCTGCTGAAGATTTCAGGGGTCCCTGGCCCAGGCTGCAGACATACACGGGTGACAGGGACCAGGGGTGCAGAGAGGAGTATAGCCAATTAAAGAACGTGTCCCCATCTGAGTCTGCAACCCCACTTGGCTTGGAAAAATCTGATTTTCTTTTTTTTTTTTTTTTAAAGATTTTATTTATTTATTTGACAGAGGGAGACACAGCGAGAGAGGGAGCACAAGCAGGGGGAGTGGGAGAGGGAGAAGCAGGCTTCCCGCGGAGCAGGGAGCCCGATGCGGGGCTCGATCCCAGGACCCTGGGATCATGACCTGAGCCGAAGGCAGACGCTCAACGACTGAGCCACCCGGGCGCCCCGAAAAATCTGATTTTCAAGAGGAGCCTGAACTACATGTTTTAAAGGTGGAATCTCCAATCTTCAGATGCTGATAATTAATCCAAGTTAATAGATTCATAGCAATATGTAGATAATCAAAAGGCCTGTCTAGAGGTTAAATTGGGCCCTTCGATGCCCGTGTGGAGCCTCTGGGTTAAAATGGTGACTCAGAACCAGGGGCCGATGGGACTTACGTAGTTAGAATTGGATCCTGGGTCCTAGTGGCCCACCCCGCCCCACAGACCTCTGTCAGCGAGGCTCACGGCAGTGTCTACCACCCAGAAAACCCGGATTCACCATCTCCTACCCAGAGGGCCAAGCTTCAGCGCTCCCAAGGTGGGTGAGGAGGTGGGGACAGAATTGCAGCCCTGGTCAGTTTGGAGCCAGCGGCCTGGGAGCAGGATTCAGTCGGTGATCACATGGTCACAGCGGGCCCCATCCTCACCTAAACCACCCTGCGAGCCCGGGGCTGCGGCCGGTCCCGTTCCATCTCAGCAATCGAAGGCATAGATGGCCCAGCCACAGTCACATGGCTGGCATGAGGCAAGCCGGGATAAAACACGAGTATCTCTGACCCCAAGGCCATGTCCGCAATACTTGGCTGCCTGTCTCCAAGCAGCCCCATGTGACACGGGGGAGTGAGGCAAGTGTCCTGAGGACCCAAGCACCCAACCCTCTTCACTTCCCTTCATCATCACAGAGCTATTTCCATCGTAAGGGCCCTCAGATGTCAGGATCACAGTCCCCACCCTGCCCAGGAAGAAACAGATTTTCATAAAGAGATTCAAGTCACAAAAGCAAGGGCACATGATGACTTTCCGGGGGCCTGTGTGCTTTAGCCTTTGTAGGCCCCTTTGTCCTTAAAAATAAAAATTAGATTTTGTGACTGCATTTATATGAGATTCAATATTACATATATTCTCTTCCATCGAAAAGTTCATTTTGGGGTCTGACGTTAAAAGAAATTAAAATGTGCTTGAATGCCCTTCCCGGTTCTCAAAGCACAAAGGCCCAGGGCATGAACATCTGCAGCCCCATGTGGGGCTGCCTAGGGCCTTGCTCATTCCAGAATCAGGCCACGACATCTCTGGATGGCCCTGAGCACGTCACTGGGAAGCCCTCAGGCTGCCTCTGTTTGCCCATCTGTCAAATGGGTAGGACTTGCTCAGCCTGTCCAGCCGGACTTACTTGAGGGAGGTCAGAAGGGCCGGTGAGAATCTCATGAAAAAGTCAAAAAAGACTTCCCATGTCTGGTGTCATTCTTGATCCTCCATCTGTCGACACTGAGAAGCAGTTCTCCTTGTGTGGGGCACCGAGGGTTTGCTTTACTCCCAGCCCTGCGCTTGCCAGCAGCGCAGCCCTGGACGTTCAGGGGACCGTGTCTGAGCCCCAGTTCTCTCGTCTGTGAGACGGGATGAATAACCGGTGCCCAGAGGCTGGCATGGACACCGAGTGCTATGCAAATGGCCACTGTTGTCAAGATTGCTCTCGTCATTATTATTACTAATAGTAGAGGAGGAAGCATCCTGCCAGGTTATGAATCACCCACGTGGATTGGGGAACATCTTGCACAAACCTCTCCAGCTATCGAGACACCTAATGAGCCCTACCATGGCCCTGTCAGCAACACCAGGGGCTGCTTTGGGAGCTGCGTACCCAACGTCATGTTGCCCCTGGTCGGCAATGTGCCCAAGGCCCCCTCTTGCCCAGCCCAGAAGTCGCAGGCCAGCCACTTCTAGAAACCTCCCCAATCCCAGGGATTTCCAAGCGGAGGATCAGACAGATGGGCTGAGGTGGGCATCCCGGAGGACCTCCCTAGCTGGCTATCCGAGTTGAAGGTGCAGGGAGTAGCCAAGAGTTGGCCATCCCGCCCTTTGTCCCCCAGGTCACCTGGCAGGCTACACCCCTAAGCTAAAGTCCTCAGCACACTCCTCACCAGGCACGCCAACCCTGCAAGAAAGAAGGGGAGCCCTTAGGAAGAAGCAGCCACCTACTTGGGTCTCGCTGTCTTTGCCGACAAGAACGCCCATGATGCAGGAGGTCAGCTGGGGGCGATGACATTCATCCCAAGCCCCAGGTCGGGTGCGCACAGGGAGACAATTGGGAGAGCCCCAGCCCAGCCCCAAGCCTGCCAGGCCAGCTCTGGAGCCAGTGTGGCTCGGGTCGCTGGTGAGCCACTGATCCTTCCTGCTTCTAATCAGATTGAGGGGATGTGCAGGGAACGCTGCAGAAATGTCCCCAGGGAGGCCAGGTGGGGACCAAAAGGCTGCGGTTGCTAGGAAAAGCCGAGCTGTTGCCGGCAGAGACCAGGTCGCTAGGCGACCGTCTGCCTGTTACCAGGGCCCGCGCGCGTCATCAGTAACCCCTGTTCCTCTGCAAAGCCGGCCAAGAGCCTCCCCCACCCAGCCAGTGACAGCCCAGTCCACCTGCCCGCGCCCGACGCCCTCTGGCCCCAGCCCGGGCATCTCTCACTCTCTCACCCAGTGCCCTCGTCCCGACCTAGGGCCCCGGGCCCAGAAGTTCCCTGAGTTTCAAACTCTGGATAAACATTTATGTGAATACGTGTGTGTCTGCAGCATTTGTGGGTAACTATATACATGTGCTTGTGTGCACGAGCATGCGTGTAGGGCGTAGCGTGCCCACGTGCAAGTGTGTATCAGTGTGCCTGTGTGTGCACATGTGTGAATGCGTGGCTGCGTGTGGGTGTGTGCGTGTGCATGTGTGCATGCTGCGTGTGGGTGTACCTGTGTGCACACCTGCACATGACCCAGCGTGTGTGTCAGTATCTGGGTGTTGGTGTGTACGTATAGTGCAGATATGTGTGTGTACCAGGCAGAGAACACGTGTGTAGTTGGTGCATGTGCATGTGTGTGAGCCCACTAACTCGCTGGCCTCCGAGGCGGAAAGCAGACGGCTGATGGGGCTACACTAACGGGGCTGGGCCGCACCTAAGTTTTCACCCAGGAGAAGGGGTGTCACCTGTCAGTGAGAGCAGCCTGGCTCTGGGAGACCCACAGGGCAGAATTCGGACTGCGTTACAGAAACCATAAGGAAACATGCTTATTTTTGGTGCAAGAAATATTTTCATAAGTCAGAGGTGTATAAGGATGTGATGGACAGCCCTCAAGAGGTTGTGAGCTCCCCGTCACTGGAGGCAAGCAAGTAACTGTGTGGCCTCCTGCTAAGGATGAAAAAAGTTGTATATGAACTAGGGAAAGATGGACTAAAAGCAGAAGCCACTGAGCAGGCCTTCGGCCCGGAAGTCCTGTGTTGGTCTCATGGTGTAACAATATCCTGCCTGGGACTGGAAGTGACCCTCAGTGGGGATGAGAACATCAACGACCTTTGATGGGGTGCCCACTGCAGGCCAGGCCCTAATATGCCCCCTACACAGCTGGCCCTGCCACCACTCTGCAGGGGCTGTGAGTGTCCCCGTTCCTTGGACGTGGAGGCAGAAGCTCTGTGTGGTATGCACCTGCCCAGGTCACTCTGCCAGGCGGAGTGGAGCCCATGTCTCAGGCCAGGGAGGAAGAGTGCAGGCCAGGGGACACCACACAGGGCCCAGTGACAGGGACAGGAAATAAAGCAAGGGACAGATTAAATCAGTCTGGCCTGCCCCCTGATAACAGCCTCCTTGAGGTCTCCCTGCCTTAGTCTCCCCACAGTGCAGCTGCCATATCACACCACTCACCTGCTCATGAACCTTCAGTGGCTCCCCATTGCTCCTGGGAGAGCAAGTCCAAGGCCTTCACAATCTGGCCCCCTGCCTCTGAAGCACCATCTCCCCCCGTGTCCACCAGCTGCATTGTCACTGTCCCCGGACATGTGGGCTGCTTTTGAGGCTCTCTTTGAAACCCCCAGGCTCCACGCTGTTCTCGTCTCCCACTCCCCTCATTGGCACCTCTTCCTCAGGCCTTTCTGGTTCCTCAAAACTCCCTGGTTCTGATCTGGCCTTTGGGCCTCTCCTCTCTCCACGCTGGCTCCCCCAGGATCTCCTCCAGCCCCCTGGTTTCTGGTTCTGTCTACACGACCAGACTCCTGCCTTTACATCTCCAACCTCTTACCCCCAGCTCCACACTCAGGTCCAGCTGCCTGCTCTCCATCTCCCCGTGGGTCCCCCTCTCTGTCTGTCCTTCTGTCCATCCCACATTGCCTCAAATCTTCTCCCTCTTAGTGGTCTTTTGTATTACTATTGAAATGTTTGACATAGAACATTGTGTAAATTTTACATGTGCAACACATTGATTTGATGCATTTACAGATTATAATATGATTGCCACCATGGTGACAACACCTCTATCGTGTCACATAATTATCATTTCTTTTTAGTGGTTGGAATAATTAAGATCTAGTCTCTCAGCAAGTTTGATGATTATAACTTTTAGTGGTTTCTGATCACCATTCTTTAACCATTACCTTAACTGACTTCTCTGTGCGTTCCTGTGAAATCCTTATGGATTGGGGTGGAGAATCAACCATTCATGAGCAGGACAGAATCCAGGGCGGCCTTCATGGTGTCAAAAGCCCCCATGGGACCGCTGTGGGCGGGGTGGAGGGGGACACAGCCCTATGTCCTGGCTCTGTTCATGGCAGGGCTGTGAACCCACTGCAGGGGCCCCTTCGCTCCTCCAGCCATGCATTCAGCTGACATTTACTTGGCACCTAGGATCTAGGGACATGGGAGTGAGCGCAACAGACAAAACCCCCCACCCCCAAGGAGGCTGCGTTCTAGTGTGCGTGCGTGCGTGTGCGTGCGCGTGCGTGCGTGTGCGTGCGTGCGTGCGGGAGGCGTGTGGGAGGCTGTGAAGTGGTGGGCCATATAAGTCCCAGGTCATTTTGAGCACAGGGGGGACCCCCAGCCTCCCCAGCCTCTTTGGTCAGTGCCCAGCAACACACATCACAGAACAAAGGAAGGAGTACCCCCGCCCAGAAGCCCGCTGCCCCTCACTGTAACCCCTCCCCAGGTCATCCTTGAGGGGAAGACGGAGAACACAGGCGCCTTACTTGGGCTCCTCCTCTTCTTCCTCCTCCTTCTCTCCATCCTCCTCCTCAGCTTCTCTCTCCTCTTGAATCCGGGGCAGTTCCCTGAGTTGAGGTCAGAAGCAGGAGGTGAGCCCACCTGCAGCTCCACCCCGAGTCCAGCTGCTGCCCCATTTTCAGGAAGATGTTCCGCAGCCCCTGACACCAGAGCTGAACGTCTCAACCAAGACTTGACCCGGGGAACCCCACCTGAGCAGCCTTGGGCTCCCTCCGGCAGCAAGGCCTTTTCACGGAACGAGGGGCCCGGCCCAGCCCCCACTGTCCTAGGGGCAACCCTGCGTCAGCCCCTGAGCCCCTCTGGGCCTCAGTTTCCCCACCTTTACAACGTAGGCCATGGGCCTGAGGACCTGAGACCTCCCAGCCCGAGAGGCCATCGCCAAGATCACTAGCGGGAACAAAGATCGTGATGTCCCTATGGAGGGCAAGTGGGCAACCATTACCACCGCCACACGTTCCAGTGACCCATGACCCTATAGCCCCCCTTCTGGAAATTTCTCCTGCACACCTACTCACGTGGCTGTGTAAGGACATCCGTGCCAGAGTGTTTGTTGCAAAATTGTTTATGATAACACGATTTCAGAATCATAAATGTCCAACCACAGTGGGCAGATTAGATCAATTCTGGCACATTCACGCAATGGAAGATCTCTCTATGCACTGAAGGTGGAAAGAGCTCAAGGTATACTGTTGAATGAATAGAACGAGGTGCAGCTAGGAGGAGTGGAGGTGGGTTTGAATCCTGTTCTATGCCCTTTGGTACCTTTGGGATTCTCTACCGTGTGCCTGTTACCTTCCCAATCATTTGTTCCGGGGCTTTCTCTGGCTCCCACCTGGGCATCTTCTCCACAGCCTCGTTCTCGTCTTCATAGGCTGGAGCCTCCTCTGAGCCCTGCGGGCTGGTGCCACCGTCCTGATGCTCGTCCTCCTCCCAGTGAGGGTCAACCTCTTCTAGGACGAGATCAGGCTCCTCTTGGCCTCCGGGGAAGATGCAGACTGCAGGGGACACAGGGCGTGGGGGAGAGTGGGCTTGGGCCTCTGAGTCCCAGGGACCACATGGGGGGCCTTGGCCATCAACCGCCATGATATGAAAGATCCAGGTTCGGGGTCCGCCTTGGCACGTGCAGGTGCAAGGTGGCCTGGACTGTCCCGGGGGATGCAGAGAGAGGCTGCCCCCGGCCTGTTCTCTAGATGCCGCCCACTGGTGACAGCATACTACATGCTCCTAACCTCAGCTCCCGCTTCCAGGAGTCTTTCCCTCCTGGGCCTAGAGGCTCCAGCTTCCAAGGGGATTGACTTTCTGGTAGAGGTGGTCCGACCTTCAGATACAAATTGGTCATTTGCACTATTTCTCCATGTACCCAGGTCCCTGACAATGCAAACAGTGTGGGGCTGTGAGCTCGCCAGAAGCGGGCATAGGGGAGTCTCATCAGGAACCTAAGCCCCCCAACAAGCAAGAGAAAGGGGGGAAGTGGGGAGATTTGCCTGGATCCCAGACATTCCCCAAAAGCTGCAGGTCTTGGCTGGCCCTTCAACCAAGCATGAAATTATGAACAGCGACTTTAAATGGGAGTTGGTCTCACACCTTATCCTGTGACTGGGAATTATTGCTCATGGTGTAGAAATAATAATAATAATAATAATAATAATAATAATAATAATACAATGGCAGCTATATTTATTGAGCACTTACTATGTGCCTGGCCCTGTACTTAGTGACATACATGGATTAACTCAATGAGTCCTCACACCAACCTTTTGAGGTGGGAATAATTGTTACTCCCCATTTTATTTTCCCTCTTTTATGTTATTCCCCATTTTACAGGTGAGAAAACTGAGACCCAGGTTAACACCTTCCTTTACAGGGTGCTTCCCCTGTGCCCGGCTCAGGGTTGTCTGCTTTCTGAGAGCTGCATCTTCCTGCTCCCATCTCTAGCTCCCAAGTACAGACATTATCCTGCCTCACATAGGAAGGGCCAGCCTGCCCTCCAGGAAAGTCCCCCCACCCCCCGGCCACACATCCTGAACTAGCTAGCCTTTTCCACTCTGGTCCTGGCTCCTCCAGGCCTACAAACACTCCTGGGGTCTGACCAGGGAGGGTCTTCCAAGCGTGGCCCTGAATCCAGTGGTGAGGCACACCATACTCATCATTCTAGAACATTGTCCGGTCATGGTGCAGCATCTCTGCCTTGAGCAGCCATCTGGGGTGCAAGTCCCCACCTGACATAGCAGGGAACATCCAGGGGACAGGACAACCTCTGGCCCGTGAGCTCATTAGCTTTCACAGCAACCCTGCATGGGGAGAACAGTACTCTCGCCATTTGATAAACCACAGGGCCAGCTCAGAGAGGCTGAGTGACTTGTCCAAGGCCACACAGGATATCGGAGGCATTGCCAAGCCTCCTGACTCCCGATTCCCTGGTGTGCTATCGCAGGTGATAAACAGGTCCCTGTGAGTGCCTCCCTGGCATGGGGGTCTCTCCATAACGGGCACCGGATGAGCCCAGCATTTGGGTTCTGAAGAGTCAATGCCATCTTTGTTTACATCCTTGCTTTCCTTTTCAACCCTTTCTTTTTGGGTACTCTTTAGGGAGTAAGCATTTTACAAGATTTTCCTCCTTCCATGGCTGTGCCAGGCCTGTGAGCCATGCCCTATACTGTCCCCATGTTACAGCCAAAGATTCTGTGGCTCTGGGAAGAGGATGGTGGCCACAGCACTGGGCAGGAGGGGCGGGCACAGGGTTCTCTGCCACGCTGACCCAGGGGCGGGGTTCCAAGACCCCCTCTGTAGGCATCCAATTGATTCATAGCTCTCCTGGCTTTTCCAGGGCCCCACCCTTGGGTCACAGATGGGGCCACCGAAGCACTGTGGGTGCTCAAGCTCCCATGGAAACCCCTGCTCCCTTCTGGGCTGAAACTTTGCTCCTGAAGTCCCTCATTGGCACGCCACCTCCTGGCCAGCATCCTCTCTGCCAGCCTCGGATGTCCCTCAGGGCAACTGAATGGGGTTCTGACTCCAGCAGTGCAGGTCATCAGGTGCATCTGGGGAAGGAGCTCCTGTTTCCAGGATCAGCAAACAGGGAGGCTGGGGGCATGGATCTTAGGCCAAGGCCTGGGTTGCTGGCAAAGCCCAAGCTCTGGCTTATCCTTTCTGGCAGGCCTGGGTCCTAGGTTCTTTGGATGTGGCTCAAAGATCAAGAACCTTTGCTTCGATTGCTTCCTCTGCCTCCAATGCTTGCTCAGCCTCAGAGGAGTCTCTGTGAAGTCCTTCCTCTGCTCAACCACCTTCAGTGGCTCCCCATTGCCTACAGTCTAGTCCCCTAAAATCAGGCCCCAGCTTTTCTAGTTTTACCTTCTGCGTCAAGAACTCAGGATTCATGGAAGTACCCACCACTCTCCTTCTCCCACCTCCAGGAATTTGCTAACTTTATTCCTTCTCCCGCGTTGCCCTCCCCTCGCCGCCAGTTTGGGACCTCAGGGGTCTCCAAGTCAAAGGTCCATGTGGCCAGGGAGATGGTGTATGTGGGTGAGGGGGAGCGTGCTCCCCGCCTTCAGGAGGCAGCTGCTGATCAGACTGTCCTCACGAGCACGGCGCGGGTCCATCATAGCCTGGATAGTCCCCGTTTTTGAGAGAAACCAGACTTTTCCTCTGCAACGCCACCTCATTTTTAGATGTTGGCAACTAATTCTAATATTGAAAATCATTCCGTGCCCCAAACATAGACATCTGTGAACCTGCTAGGGCCCAGGGCAACCGGCTCGGGATCCCTAGCAAACTCCTCCCTGCTCCCCCCACACCACAGGCCACATTAACACCCCCATCTTTCGAACCTGAGGACTCATATTAGCTTCACCCGAAGCAAGGACATCATGCAATCACAGCTGTGATGTGTCAATTTATGCTTTTTAATGTCAGTGAAGGCATGTGTTGCTGTCCACTGGTGGACTCCAACTCTTTGAGGGACAGAACACGGCCAAGCCTAAGGGGATCCTCTTCTGGGAAAAAGCGTGTCCCGTGGGGGCACCAGCTGGGTGCCCGGCCCCACGCTGAAGGCTGTGCAGGCGACCTCTCAAAGAGAGTCCTCTGCGGGCTTTCCCACAGCCTTCTGGTGGGAAGTCCTCCTGCTGTCTAGCCTGAATCCCACCGGCTGCCCTTGGCCATCTTTCTCCTTGCTTCCGTGGAAAGGGGCTGGCCTTTGTCTCGGAGAGGCGGCTCTGGGACTGGCTCCCCTCGCCTTGCCCGAAAGCGTGGGGAGCGGCGGGGGGGTCACTGTTCAAGCAGGGTGCGGGGTCGACAGCCTCCTCTTCCCCTCCCCTGCAGGTCTTCAGGGCACCCTTCTTTCCTTCCATCCATCCATCCGTTTGTCCATCCGCGCTCTCCCAGGACCCCTTCTGTCTTGTTTCAGAGGCCACCCGCTGCCGCCACGCCTGAAACAAGACAGAAAGGTGGGCAGCTGGGTGGGCAGGCGGAGGGAATGAATGAGCAGGTACGTGAGTGAGGGAATGGGCAGGGAGGCCGGGGGCAGAGCCGGCAGCCGGGGAGGGCACTCGGTTCCCAGCCCCTTGGGCTCACCCCGTAGCGTGGGTTGAACAGTGCCCCCCCCCAAAAACATATATTCAGTCCTACTCCCTGTGACATGTGAAGGTGACCTCGTTTAGAAACAGGGTCTTTGCAGATGTCATTAGTTAAGGATCTCAAGATGAGCTCGGCCTGGATTTAGGGTGGGCCTTACATCCCCGGTTGGGGTCTTTACAAGAGAAAGGAGAGGAGATTGGAGAGATAAGAAAAGGCGGAGACCGGAGGCCAGCCAGAAGCCTGTAGGACACGGAGCACTGCCACCAGAAGCCAGGAGAGAGGCCTGGCATGGTTTCTCCCCAGGGCAGCAGGAAGCAACCCAGCCAAGGCTTCGAGTTTGGGCCTCTGGGTCCCGAGCGGTGGGAGAACACATTTCTGCTGTTTGCAGACGCCCGGTTGGCGGTCCTTTGCTCCGGCAGCCCTGGGGCACCAACACACCCGGTTCCTGGCCCTGGAGCCCCTGCGCCCACCCACGCCCCACACGCTCCGCGCTCGCGGGGAGGCCCTGTCGACAGCTGGCTGAGCACCCGAACTCCTTCCAGGGGAGCAGAGAGGAGGAGAAGAGGAGGCCAGGGCTTCCGTCTTTAGAGCTCTCCGGGGCCCCTGCTCCAGGGAACGTTTTCTCCACAACGGCTACCAGGCCACATGGACACTCTCTGCCGCCCCATGACAACTCGCTCTGTGACCTTGGGCACATCCCTGTGCCTCTGCCGGTCCCAACAGCCATACGGGGCTCACTGCTCTACGCAGGGTCTCCACGAGACCAAGCAAGCTCTGCGCTGAGGCCTGGCCCCCACAACATCTCAGTATCATACAAATCCCATCTCTTCTTCCCGCGGCCCCGCGGCCAGACCCCAGCTCCGCGGTGGCCAGCACGGCTGCACTCCAGGCTGCGGCGGCCATCCTCACCCGCAGGGCGCTCGGAAACACCACCATCAGCCTAGTGGAGCTAGGGTGGACAGCCCGAGGACACCTAAGGCCCAGGATCTGAGGGCCCGTGTCCAGGGTAGAGTAGGGACACTGCCCACAGGCCCTGAACTCTGCTCTGCTCACTTCTAGAACGTATCACAGGCCTGGCACATAGCAGGCCCTCTGTGACCTTTGTGAATGAATAAAAGCCCTGAATGCCACATGCTTTTCCTGAGGCCATGAAATGAAGGGAGGACAGATTTGGGACCCTGGCTTTCCCCTCCCGGCCTCCGTCCATCCCCTGATACTAGTGCGGGGCTAGGATAAAAGGCAGCACGTAGCTCCCCATCCCACCCATAGATGAGGGGAACCCTCCTGGCTCAAGACAGCCAGAGTTGGGGCGCCTGGGTGGTTCAGTTGGTTGAGCGACTGCCTTCGGCTCAGGTCATGATCCTGGAGTCCCGGGATCGAGTCCCGCATTGGGCTCCCTGCTCAGCAGGGAGTCTGCTTCTCTCTCTGACCCTAACCCCTCTCATGTGCTCTCTCTCATTCTCTCTCTCTCTCTCTCAAATAAATAAATAAATAAATAAATCTTTAAAAAAAAAAAAAAAAAAAGACAGCCAGAGTTTATGGGACCTAGTTCCCCCAGGTAAACCCCATGCCTCTCCCCTCCCCCCTCACCCAGGGACTCTGCTTAGCCCAACCCACTGGCCCAGGGAAGCAGTGGGGGGCTCTCTCTGGGTGCTCCCAGAGGAAGGGGGTCCATCCAACTTGGCCTCAGAACTGTTTTCTCTGCATAGAAAGTGGAAGGCAAGCCTGGTCCCCCACCACGTCTCTCCTCAGCCCCTAGGAGGGGCCTCTAGCCACCATCTGGCGCTGGGCCAGGCTGACCTGAGGGGAAGTCTGCAGGGCATGGGCTCTCTCAGCTCCAGGTCAGGAGGCCCTGACTGAACCCCCCAAGCAAGTCCAGGCCTGGCCGGCAACCGGCCCACTGTGCGCTCAGACCGAGCAACCCTCCCCGAGATGCCCATGAGGACCCACGAAGTTGTCACTTACTCGTCTGCACGTCACATGTTCCAGGGGAGTCAGGCTCCTGCATGAGGAGAAAGGGGGAAATGACGTGTCTCCTCACCAGCCTCCCTGCCCCCCCCACCCCTCCCAGCACACACAGAAGCAAGAGGGTTTCCCTCATCCTCTACCAGGACACCCACAGCAGGCCCCGTTGCTCCCGGCTCCTCTCCGGCCTGTTTCTCCCCTCCTGCCTCAGAGCTTACCCCCTGCTCCAGGCTCTCCCCTCCCTGGATCACCACTGGCTCCCCCCACCCAGCTCCTCTGCCTGGGCTGGGCCCCCTGCCTGAGATGCCTGCCTACCTACCACTCTCTTTGTGGGGAAAACCTCCTCCCAGCCTTCTGGGTGGGGGGGGTTGCCTCAAAGCTCTATCTGCAGGAGAGGCCTCTCCCCACCAGCACCACACCTTCCCCTGCCCCAGCCCTGTCCTCAGGAGCCCCTTCGCTCTGTGAGGGCATCTTCATGGACACAGTGTTCCTGCCACCAGGCCCCTCTTTCCTCGCCTTGGAAAACTCCAAAGCTGCATTTCCTCTGCCACCCGCAGAGGCCACTTGGACACAGAGCCTGAGGGCTCAGCCTGCAGGGAAGAGGGCCCTGAGGCTTCTTGTCCACCTCCTGTTGCAGCCAGGACTGGGACCCAGGCCTCCCGCCTCCCGGTTCCAGGTGCTGCTGTCAAGATACACAATTGTCTCCAAGGGAGAAGGGCCAGGTGCCAGGTCCTTTTTTCTTTTTTTTTATAAAGATTTTATTTATTTATTTAGAGAGAGAGAGCATGAGCAGGGGGGAGGGAGAGGAAGAATCTGAAGCAGACTTCCTGCTGAGCTCGGAGCCCGAAGCAAAGTGGGGCTCAATCCCATGACGCTGAGATCATGACCCCAGCCGAAATCAAGAGTTGGCCACTAAACCAAATGAGCCACCCAGGCGCCCCCAGGTGCCAGGTTATTGGAGAAGGAAAGAGGTGACAGAGGTCTTGCTCCCTCACCCACCCATGTTGGAGTTCTAGGTTCTCAGAAATGCACACAGGGCCTTCTGCTTTCCTGCAAGCCCCACTTCTTTCCAGAACATTCCAGGCTTCTCTTGTCTCTGGGCCTTTGCATATGCTGATCCTTTGCCTGAAGGGCTCTTCCTATACCACCCCCCTTCACTTTTACCCACCCCCATCCTACTTCTCCATCAGGTCTCAGCTTGCAAGCCACCTCCATCAGGAAGCCTTCCTTCATGCTCCTGGGGAGCTCCTCCTCTGCACCCCACATCCTCTCTTCCCTCCATGGAAGCATCTCCCCCACTGACTGTGACCCCTGGTTAACAAGGCTGGGCCAGCGCCCCTCAGCCCTGTGGCCAAGGTGCCTCAGAGAGTGTGTGGAAGAAGTGTGAGCTGAGCAGATGAGCAGGCTACATGGGCTACGCTCCCGCGACAGGCTCCCTTCTTCCTTCTGTGCCCCGCCCCCAGACCACCCATCCTTGTCTGAGCTCCCAAGACCCATGCCCCACTCTCCCAGCCCAGCACAGACCTGCTCCCCAGCCTTCCCATGGAGCACGGGCTGCGGCAAGGCCATCTCCAGCCTGTGCAGGAGCCAAGCCATCAACCTGCATGAGGGAGAGAACAGGCCATGTCTAAGTAGCCGGGCTTGTGGGGAAACTGAGACCAGGGTCGGGTCCCTCCCACGGCAGACAGCAAGCCCACCGGAAGGCAGACCAGAACCCAGGTCTCCAGCCCCAAAGGCCATTGCCCTCCTCCCTGGCCTCCCTAGGCCAACCTCTGGGGTACCACTCCAACCCCAGCAGGTAGCTCAGCAGCCCCCCACCCCACCCTGGAGGTGCATGCAGGTCTCTCCCACATTGCCAGGCCAGGAGCATTTGGTGACATGTATCCTGCTTTTTAAGGCATGCATCTTTTGGCTGAGCAATTCCAGTTCCTCAGATTTACCCCCACAGATTTACTTGCATGTGAGCAAAACGGTGCCCACACAAGGCCACCGAGCATAGCAAGAGGAGAAACAAACCTAAATGGCCAGCAAATGGCTAAGGAAAAGCTGGTGCAGCCACATCATGGGGTACTTGGCAGCTGCTGAAAGAATGAAGCAGGCCCATGTGTATAAAACCATCTCTAAGAGACACTTTTTGGTGAAAAAAGCAAGATGCGGAGCAGTACAGAGATCTTGCTGTTGTCTGGTACATGTGTTTGGCTAAAGGAGAAATGGATTCCCCGGCTTGTGTGTGCATACAGAACATGTGGGGGGACAGTGGCTGACGGGGCTGCCCGGGGAAGGGCCCCTGGGAATTTCCCCCTGGGGGCATATGTTTAATTTTAAAAAACTAGTTTGGTGAAGTGTTGGGTGTGGGGCCGAGGCAAAGTACTGATCCTGCTCCCCAGGAAAGGTGTAGCATTTGGGGGCCTCACCTGGCGGGGTCACCGGGGGGCAGTGGGGCGGAAGCCTGGGAGCTGGGCTGGGGTTCTGAGGTCAGCTCCTCCTCGGTTTCCAGGGGGCCAGCCATGGGGATGCAGGGGCTCTCCGGGGCCTGCAGCACAGTCTCCATTTCCAAGGTGGGTTCTGGGGGCTCTACGCAGTGAGGAGAGCAAGAGTCTAAAGAGGACAAAGCAGGGCTCCACGCGACCCCTCATGGGCACCGGGGGCCAGATTCGAGGCACCAACGCATGGCTGAGTAGGGAGCCCCTTGGGTCCACTCCAACCACCCCTCTCATCAGACAGACATGGTACCGAGACCCAGGAAGCTCAAGGCGCTTATCTAAGACTTCACAACACCTTCCCACACCATTGGCTTCCCAACCTGGACTGGGGAGGGGTTCCAAGGCCCACCACAACAGGCAACTCCCAGTGAGCCTGGGTGACGGCTAAGGTCCTCCCCCAGGATCCCTCAGGCCCCAGTTGCACCCCCAGCCCAGCCTGTGACCATGCCGGGCAGCCCTTCCCAGGTCCCCTCCCTGTACCTGGGCCCAAGGCAGCATCTGTAGGCTCATCTCTCTGGTCCTAGAGCAGAAACAGGGAGTGGGGTCATGGAACAAAGCAAGCCCTGTGCATTCTCTTCCCTGCCGGCTGTGCCCAGGGCAGGTGGGGCAGGTGACAGGGGGCTTCATCTGTCCCTACGAACCCCCTTGCTTTTTGCAGTCACTCCTCTCCATCAAGAACCCTCCAGGGAGGCGAATACCCCCTCTATGTGTCCCAGGGGGTGAGGATAGCCTGCTGGGTCCTTCCTGGGGCCCCAGAAAGCCTCCCAGGTGGTCATCTACCTGCTTCCTCTTTCCCTTGACTTACCTTGGAGGTTTTGTGGGGCTGAGGCAACACTTTCTCCAGATTCTGCTCAAGCCACCTGAGCAGCCAGGGCCCAGACCTGCAAAGGGGCCAGCAGTCAGTGGAACAGCCTAGTCACACTGACCTGAATGTCTGTTGGAGTCCCAGGTTTCGACCAGCCCTTCCTCACCTCTGCTCCCATTGTGCACAGTGGAGACCTTGTAATGGATACTCTGGAAGGGCCTCAGGTAAGGGGGGAATCTTCAGCCAGCCTCAAATTCTGACCCATGGCTGGACCAGGCCCAGAACTATAGGCCCAGCCCTGGCCACCTGGGCAGCAGGTGAGGAATAGGGGCTGCCTGGGAACCTGAATGCTGCATGGGGGGGGCTTCCCCGTGTCTGGCCCAGACGGGTCTGGCTCCATGGGTCCGGGAGCGGGGCAGTCACACAGGGCCCGATACTTAGAAGGGCCCAGTTTGGGTTTCATGCTCTTATCACAATCTTAAACTTAAATTTTTTTAAAAGAGTTATTTATTTATTTGAGAGAGAGAGAGCATAAGCATGAGGGGCAGAGGCAGAAGGAGAGAGACTCTCAAGCAAACTCCCCTCTAAGTGTGGAGCCTGACGCAAGGCTCAATCCCACGACCCTGAGATCATGACCTGAGCCAAAACCAAGAGAGGGACGCTCAACCGACTGTGCCACCCAGGCACCCCAAACTCTTATTAATTTTTTTAAAGGAGTCCTGCCTTTTAATTTTGCACTGGGCCCCACAAATTACATAGCTGGTCCTGGGGCAAATGGGTCCCAAATCCATCTGGCCTCCAGGCAGCCCCTCCGTCTTCAGGGAAGTTCCATGTTCCCAGGGGAACCCATCCCCCCAGGTTTGGCCCAAAAGATAGCTGGCAAATCTTCTGGGGGCCTTCATCCCTAAATTGCTTTACTGGTCTCGTGAGTCAGCAGAGTGGCCCTGGGGACCCCTGACCTGGGCAGCCTCCAGGAGACAAAAAGAAATAAACTGTGAGCTAGAACAATGAGTGAATGAATAGAGTACGTTCATTCATTCATCCCTTCTGTGCTGAGTCCCCTCCTTATGGCAGGCACTGTGCTGGGCACCGGGGTTCAACAGTGACGAGACAAAAACCCCTGCCCTCAAGAACCCAACAGTCTTAACAAATGAATAAGGGAAGGAAGGAATGAATGGGGTGAATAAAGATGAATGCAGAGATTGCAAACTGGAGGCTTTGGGCTTATTTTGGGGGTCCACAGGGCTCAAAAAACTTTTCAATTAGTTGGCAACAGCTAAAAATCAAGGATTACATAAAAACCTAAATTTCTAGCTTCTCTTGAAAAACTGGAAGATTAGCCACCTTGGGCCTGAACTCCTCCGAGGCAGAGGCAGCGGGAGCTGAGCAGGGACCCTCCTGGACAAGGACGTGGGCTCCCCTGTTTGCCATAGCCCTTACCCAGCTCGCTTCCCTCCCTGGCAAGACAGCTGCCCACCTTGGTCAAGTCTGAGAAGTCTGAAGCTATTGCCAACTGGGAGGCCAAGCTGGGTACCTCTATGTCCCCCACAGTGGTCCCAGGCCTGCCTCTGGGCTCCACATGACACCCACGTACACCAGCCCACCTTTGAGAACTCATCCATGCCTCCTCCCCGTGGCCCCTCATGTGGGGATCTCCCAGAAATCAGCACAACAAACCATGGGACACACAGGGCCCTTTGGCTCCATTTTATGGATGAGAACAGGGAGGTCCAGAAGAGATGAGAGGCAAGTCCAATGTCACACACTGAGGTGGTAGTGGACCTGCTTCTGAACCCAAGACCCTCAGTTCTGGGCACATTGTTCCCCCCAACTCACACACTACACATGAGGCTCAGGGGTTCCCAAACCAGTGCTCAGGGATGGGGACTCACCCAGTGTCCTGGGCCCCAGGGGCCTCCCCGAGTCCGTCTGCAGGAGAGAGGAAGGTGGTCAGCAGCAAGAAGCCCACCTGGACCCCCTCCTCCGGTCAGCCTCGCTCAAACCTAGCCTGGAATCTGGGGCCAGTCTGATGAGAGTCCCCCGCCTGTGGGCTCTCTGCAGGGGCAGGGCCCATCCCAAGCTCCCCCAGTGCCATCCCCGAAAAGCCGCCCTGCCTTCTGGCCTTACCTGAGCCCCCAGTGCTGCACTGCCCAGACGTCTGTGCTCCTGCCTGCCAGGACAGATGGTCACATGAGGACAGAGAGCCCAGATGCAATGGCCTCCCACCCCGCCCACCTCGGCTCCCGGCCCTGGAAGTACCTGAGCAGGGGCCCCCGAGCCAGCAGCAATGCTCTGCGCTGGCCCGCTGCTGGGGACAGGCTGTGGGATGACCTTCTCCATGCCCTTCTTGAGCCAGCTCAGCACCCACCTGCTGGAACTGCTGAGGGACAGAGATACAGACTCACCCGCAAGGTCCCCAGCCCCTCCCTGGTCCAAGGGGGCCCTCCCCAGTGTCCTAAAGAAATCGGTTTGAATCCCAAACATCTATCTCCCCAGTGTGAGACTTCAGATATGCCACTTTCCCCCTGAGTCTCGTGTCCAACTCTGGAAAATGGGGAACACTGACCCTTGGAGAGGCCAGGTATGTCCAGGGCCATCCTGAGCCCACCCCCATCAGATGCTGGGTATAAAGCAGCCAGGGAAGCATCCTGCTTCCCCCTGAGCCTGGCTCCAGGGGTCCCCTCTTATACAGGGGTTGAGGGTTTCCTATGGGGTGTTTCCTTGTGGCTGAGGCTGGGCAGCCTCAATGGGAGGGTCACAGACTCACTGCCTGAGGCTAGCCCCCCACAGGTAGGCTCACTTGGATAAACGCTAATGGTCTAAAATGAGCCAACTTTGAGATGTCATCAGTTAGGAAAATGGGAAGCTCTGGCCACACTGGATCTGCATTTCTCCCAAGCACTGAGAACACTCTGGCCCCTACTCACTGTTTCTCTTGGTCCCATTGTCCATTTGGCCCAGGAGATCCCTGTCCATTGCATGAGGCTCCCTTCAGCCAGTTCCCAGGATGTTCAGGGCACCTGGGCAGTTGTCTGTGAACGACTAGCGACCTGGGAGCAAGGCTAGTCCCCACCCCCAAGTGGCTCCCTAGTTTTTGGGGGGAAGGGGGGCTGGCCCCCAGGAAAGGGGAGGGTGGTGTGGTACCTGTTCACTTCGGGAACCATGGCGACCTGCACCTGGAGGGATGTAGGCAGAGTAGGGACAGCCTCCCGGATTTCTGGAAAAGAGTCCCCCATACTTTAGATCTGGAGCCTCAGAGTTGCCCATTTCTACCCTGCTAGGAAAGTCAAGGCAGAAGCAGGGGAAAGGGGAGGGCCCCAAGGGAGTCAGAAGGCCAGGGTTCCAGCTCAGCTCAACTAAAAACTCCCCAGGAGCCCAGCCCTCAACTTCTCTGAGCCTCGGTTTCTTGTCTGTGAAAGGGCCTGCCAGCCTGTGGACGCAGCAAGGTCCTGAGGGGAACCCACTCCTCCCCGCTGCCCGGCCCGCCAACCTGGGCTTCCGGCACTCACCCTGAGGGTCTGGGTCAGCTGCAGCCAATTCCTCCCCCTCCAACGGCTCTTCAGGTGGCTGGAAGGTTCAAGCCGGACCCCGTGAGCCCTCAGTGAGACCAGCCTGGTTCAGGCAGGGGCAGCGCCTGACCCACCCGTGACAGACCCCCTCACCCCACAGGACCAAGCAGCTCTGTTCTCACAACCGTCCCTGTAAATCCCGGCAGCTCACCTTCGGCTTGGGACGCTTCCTTCCTCACGACCCCAGGGATCCCTCATCCAGGGTTGGGCCCTCACCGCCCCGCCCACCAAGGTAGCCCCTGGGCCTATCACACCCCCCAGGAAACTGCCCCACCCCAGCGGGCTGAGAACAGGGAGGAAGACTGGAGCAAACTGAGGGGGAGAGGGAGGTGAGCTGACCCCCCCCAGGCCCCCGCCAGAGCTCTCCCTCTCCGCTGGGCCAGACCTTCCATCCCCCTCCAGCAGCTGGGGGGGCATTCAGCACACCTGCCGCTCCTACTGCTGCGTGCGCACACGTGTGTGTACAGACATGCACGCTCACCGTGACGTGTAAGTGTGTGAGCTCACGTAAATTTCCACATACACACAGACGCGGGCATACCTGTGCGCACATATGTATACGTGCAGTAACACGGAGATGGTGTGTACACACATAAACAGACACAAAACCAAGTGTATGCCCACACGTGCGTGTGTACGTGCAAGACACAAAACCACGTGCATGTACACTTGTATGTGCATGCACACCCCACCGCACGTGCGTGTGCACACGGGCACATGCGAACATATTCATATGCACATGTGCACACATGCAGACGTACACATGTGCAGAGACCTGCAAGTATCAGACACAAACGTGTGTACACACACGCACATACACATGCTCAGTCACATAGACATATACACACGTACACACACTGACACACACGTATTCATAAGCAATCCTTTCATGTGTGCATCAACACACACGCACGTAGACAAACATACATGTGCGTGTACACCTGCACACGCAAAGTTCTGCATCCGAACATGCATGGATGAGCAGACATGCACAGATGTACAAAGTATGCACATACACAAACATGTGCACACACAAACACATGAATACATTCACAGACTCAGAAACATTTGCATACAAACACACACAGCATGCCCCACATGTACACGGAACCACAGGGACACCAATGCATGTGTTCCCTGGGGGAACTAGGTCCCATACACATGCATGTAAATAGTGTGTGTGTTCACATGCACACAGTTTGCTAATGCGTATGTACGCGCAGACATACCACTAAGGACACAGAGCATGCACATACGTGTACACGTGTGTGCGCATGCAAACACTATGCACACGAACCCTATACCGGGGTAGTCACTGTTTCCTGAACGTGCCCTGCACTGCCCAGGACTCGCCCTTCCTCTGCCAGGCACGCCCCACTGCTTCATCTCCAGTCACACTGGGCCCAGCCCACCATGTCTGGGAAGCACTCCCCCACCAGCTTCCACTCTCCAAACTTAAGATGGTTCTCTCCCTCCTCTGAGCTCCCATAGTTCTGTCTGGTACACTTGTTTGGCCCTCCCGGGAGGGTAGAGCTGAGCCCAGTGTTGGAGGTCCCTGCATTTCCTCATCACCTCCGTCTGCTGGTAGAATGACCTGGCTGGTACCTGTCTGCTAACCCCTGGGGGCGATGCCTTATTCAGCATCATGCTCCCAGCAGAGTGCCCAGGCCTGGCATCAATTAGAAGCTAAATCAAATCTGTGTAATTGAGCTTCTGGATCAGTTGTCATCAGGCTCCTGAATGGATGGGAGGCAGAACTGGCAAGTTTGGATGAGCTGGAGTCCCCCTGTGGAAGGTCCCTGGGGGGCAGCTGACCCATGCTGGGAATCCCCTGAGCCGCTAGGCCCGCATGCCCTCCCTCAGCCTCAGTCTCTTACCGGGGATTCGTCCCCTCGCTCAGCCTCCTCGGGGGCAGTTTCAGGCTCCGGCTCTGGTTCCGGCTCCACCTCTGGCTCTGGTTCTGCCCCCTCCTCCTCCTCCTCCTCCGTCTTGGTCTTCTGAGGTGTCCCTGGGGGCTGAGGCAGCACCCTCTGGACCCAGCTCAACATCCTGACACCTGCAGGAGACAGAGTCCTTAGGCCTCCCCAGAGCACCCACCATTGCTCCCACCACTGGGGGGCCACTTTTGTGGGTCACACATTTCCCTTTTCTCTCATTCATCTTTCCAACTTTTCTACAAATTATACCTCCAGGTATTCACTTGATAGAAATACTCAGGCAAAAAAGAAAAGAAAAGAAAAGAGAAAAGAAATACTCAAGCCAAAAACATGTGTATAAAGAGGCTGGTCGCCACAGTGTTATAGCAAAAAATGAAAAGCATCCAAATATTCATCAGTAGGACCCTGTTTATTAGAAAATACCTAAATATTCATCTGTAAGAGAGACATGTATTAAATTACAATACATCCAGTAATGGAATATTATGGAGCCATAAAAAAAAGTGGCTCTATTTGAACCAGTACGGGAAGATGTACATGCGCTGGATGCCAGTCATGACCAAATCAGTTAAACTCTCTGTGCCTCAGTGTGCTTGTCTGTAAAATGGGGATGTTACAGAACCTATCTTGTGGAGAGGATTGTGAGGATAAAATAAACCAATACAAACATGACGGGCACACACTGGAAGCTTAATAAATGTTGGCTATGACTATTATTTGGTGTCAAGCAAAAAACACCAATTGTAGAATGTATCATGTTCAGCATGATCCCGAGATACATTTAAAAAAATACATTATGAATAGCATATGAATGAAAATATTTTAACATAAACATTAACCTATTTTATGATTTAAAAACATTTAAGATGATAGTCACATTCCCTTTTCAAGATGTATTGTCCTACCTTATTTGGGTCCAGTTTCTGGCATCATTTCCCTTCTGGGGTTGGGGGGCCTCTGCCCTTCTGACTAAACCCTTGCGGGTTGGCCCGGCCCAGTGGGCGCCACACAGGTTAATATGTGCAAACTCTCCCCCTCGAAAGGGCCCTTCTGAGGTGATGCCCAACATGACAGAGGGCCTCTCTGTCCCTCCTCTGCCAGGGACCCTGGCCCCATGCTGAAAAGGATAGGCAGAAGGCCCAGGATCCCTGCCCCAGTGCCCAGCTCCCCACAGCCCCCGGCCATGCTGCCTGCCCTTCTACTCACAGCCCTGACTTCTGTCCCTGCTCGGGCCTCAGCCGCCCAGCTCTCCTGGGAGAGGCCGTGGTGAGGGGCAGAGCTCCGGGTGGGAAATCAGATCTCTGACTCAGCGTCAAAAAGGTGAACCTGAGCCAGACCTGAACCCCTCGGGTCTTCCATTCCCTGTGGGGTGGGGGCAGAGACCCAGTGATTTCCAAGGTTGGGAAAGCCCAAGATCATATGTTTAGGAAAGCCGAGTCCACCGACAAGGCCAGCCCCAGGCAGCCCCTTGAGCCCAAAAGGAGCTAAGTGTCCTCCACCCCAGATCACACTCATCTTCATTCTCCCCACTGGCCACCAGCCTCGGGAAGATAAGCGCTACCACTGTACAGCTAAGGGAACAGAGGCACAGAGAGATCAGTAGACTTGCCCAACACCACACAGCCGGTAAGTGGCCAAGCTGAGTCACACTCAGGTCTGCTGACCTCCAGATGTCCCACATCTCCCTGTGGTATTGACATGTGCTCAGGGTTGGCTTCTGCAGGCCAGTCCTGCAGACCCTTTCCCAGTGGGCGGCACTTCTGGTTTGTGTTTCTGAACCTTCTGGAAATGACCAGGGAAGCCTTCCCCATTCCCAATTTTTCTTCTTCCCCCAGACCCAATCATTTCCTCCCACATGGATATATTTGCACATCCCTGCTGATTCCACATTGATAAGGGAGGCGAAGGCGAGAAGGGGGAGCTGAGAGCCCAGGGTCACTATGGTGCTGGGACCACCAGCCTTTCAGAATCTTCTGGGCAGCTGGTGAAAACACAGATTTCTAGGCTCCTCTCAACCCTCTGCGGGACCGGGAAGCTGCATGTCACAAGCTGCCTTGAGGATTCACTGGGGTTTGAGCCCCACAGGCAGAGAGGGAGGCTCCAGGTTTCCAGCCTTGCCCTATCCTAAGTGCCTTGCTAGAAGGAGAGCATGGGGATCCCACCAGAGGTCCCACCGAGCCACCACCTCATCCTGACTTACCTGCTCAGATGCCGACCACCAGGCAGGAATCGCCTTCTCCCCGCCACCGGCTGCTGGTCTCTCAGACACAAGGGGGGATTAGCTGGCAGCAGCGGGCCGTGTGCAAGGGATTAGAAGGTGCCCAACAGGGCTGGGGAGGTGACGGTGGAAGACAGGAGCTCCATGGTCAGGCAGCCAGCAGCAACCTAGGCCGTCCAGGGGCCAGCAGGGATCTAGGCCCCGGGGAAGGAGTCCCACTTGGCCCTGGTTGGAGCAGCATGAGTTGCCAGGGGACCCAGGGGACCACACACCTTGGCCAAGCCACAGAGTGGCCAGTGGGAGAATAACAGCTTTGTGTCCCTGTGTGAGGGGAGTGAGGTGCTGGGGGCGGGGGGAGTGATCACACGGGGCCCTGCATGAGTGAGACTTGGCCTATGCCCCCCTCCCTGGGCTGAGCAACCTGGAGGTAGCAGAGCCCCTGGGGAGTAGGCAAAGTCAGATGTGCCTGGGGGAAGAGGAAGGGGCTCTAGGGTGAGGAAAATGAACAAACTTTGGCCATACACAGTTGGATGACCCTCATGTGCTTATATATGGAGAGAAAGAAGCCAGACTCAAAAGACCCCGATGAGCCGTATAGACAAAGCTCAAAAGGGGCAAAACTAGCCCATCTCGTCTCTGGCTGCAAACATACGTAGTAAAACGACCAGGCAAATCCATGGTGATGTTTTATAGCCAGAAAGCAGTTACCTCTGCAGGGGGTTGAGATGGGGAAGGGGTATGTGGAAGCTTCTAGGGGCTGGCAGAGCCCTCCCTGTTTCTTGCTTTCTTTAGCTGGCACCAATTTTTTAAAAGCAACTTATGAGGTATAATTTCTATGCCATAAAATTCACCCATTTGTAATAAAGTGACTGAGCTAGACAATTTGCACCACCCAGTTTTAGACCATTGCCATCGCCCCGATGAGACCCTTCATGCTTGGTGGGAATCACTCCCCTCCTCAGCCACAGCTCCAGACAGCCACCAGTATGCTCTCCGGCCCCCCAAATGGGCCTTTTCTGGACATTTTCTATAATGGATCATACAACATGTGGAGTGTTTTTGTGTCTGATTTCTTTCATTTAGCATAATGTTTTTGAGGATCACCCACATGGAACCATGTATCAGGACTTCGTTTCCTTTAAATTCCTGAGTATTCCATGGGGAGGATATACCACAGTCTATGAATCTACTCACTAGTCAATGGACACTTGGGTTGTTCCCACCTATTGGCTATTTGAAATCATGCTGCTGTGAACATTTGTGCACCAGCTTTTGTGTGGACATATATATTTTCAGTATGCTTGGGAAGATTCCTAGGGGTAAAATTGCTGCGTTCTGTGGTAATTTTATGTGCTGTGTTTTATGAAACTGCTAATCTGTTTTGCAAAGTAGTACCTCTTGTCTTGGCCTGAATAAGAGAACGTGGTCTCTCGCCTTAGAAATTAGTAGTTACATTATATATTTACGCACTTGCTGTATTTTGTTTATTTTATAACTTTAAAAGACTTAAAAACAAATCGGGGGTGGGGTGGTGAGTAGAGGCAACTCTGGGAGAGTTTTCTCTAAGGGGTGGGGCTCAGGGTGCTCTCTGGGGGGGTTGTCTGGAGCCCTGGAGGTGGAACAGCGAGGGAGCCAGATCCTGCATGACCCTCCCAGGAGAGGTCTCCCAGGACCCAGCAGTCTCAGCACCTGGGCAGGTGTCTGTGGAGCATATTCCAATACAGGCATATAAGTTAGACTCTCCCCAGGTCGCCTCACCTATGGGGCCCAACGCCAGGGGTTGTGACCAGGGTGGCGGGCAGGCCCCAGGGCTTTTGGGTACTGGGCTTAGGCACTCATGACCTCTCTTTCCTGGGAAGGAGGGAGGGAGGCTGCAGGCCTGCAGGGGCCCAGGGCTAGAATATCACCTGCTAATCCCTAGCCTGCTGAGGCCACCGCTCTCCCTGATCCCTTTATGCTGACCCTGGATACTGGCCAACTGCTAATCGCCACCCTTGGAGACCCAAAGTCTGGGAGGCAGGGTAGTGCCCTCTTCTCTCAAGTCTGCAGGACGGCTCACGGTCTCCCTACATGGCAGGGCCTAGGGTCTTGCCTAACATAGAGCCTTGAGGCCCAGAGAGAGACAGCGACCAGCCCAGGATCACACAGCATGCCCTGACTCGCCGTGGCATGGCAACCTCCAGGGTGGCTTATGCTAACGCCCAGGAGACAGCAACTTTCAGGAAAGCCAAAAGTGGGAGCCAGTGCACAACACCCCAGGTAGCTGGCTCCTCTCCTCAGAACCAACAGTTGCCAGGGTTGCCGAGGAGTGGGTGCCCTCACAATCAAGCGGCAATGGGCGTTGTCTCTCTGCAGAATGTTCCTTTATTCTCCTATTGTGTAAGGCACTGGGGCCAGTCCATTTCCCTGCCTCTTCTCCCTACTGAGCCGTCAGAAGAGCAGGAAACCCTCACAGGCCTGTGTACCTGCAGACCAGGTAGCCGCTGTCGGGGGGTCAGGAGCAAGGAGTCCTTTCTCCCCTCTTCTCCCTGCCCCTCCTCCCTGGGGAGCCCCACTCCCTGAGACAGCTTCCCTAGGCCCAGTCCCCTTACCCTCTCCCTGCTCCTCCACGGTCCAAGGTCCTGCTCCTCCTGCGCACCTCCCACTCACCTCCACCTCGCACATCTAATGGGGTCATGCAGAAAGGAAGCAGACTCAACAAATTCTCACTAAAGTTTCAATGACCGACAAGCCGTGGGAATAGCCACTCTTTAAAGGGAGGCACCGAGCAACCAGCAATGCTGTTCTAGTTCATATCTCTCATGCCTCACCCCTTCTCTAAAACTTGCCTGTGTCTCCCTGTAGAATTTTGAGCAAATGCCAGACACTTTAGCTAAGGCCAGAAGTCCATAATTAGCTACCCAGAGGCAAACGGAGCTAAATTCTGAACCCACCTGCGGCTGCTGCTTCCCGATCCCGATTTAAGAACAGACTCCCATGCGGCCACTTTTAGACCGCTCCGAGCCACACACACCCTGTCCTGACCTGTCAGAGCCCTGAACACATCCTGCGCGCCCGCGTACGGGGGGGCGGGGCGGGGGGGGGTGAGTCTGAATGTCCCTGACACCGCAGGGAGAGCCCCCAGCTCTGGGTGTTGGACGAGTAGAGAAATCGGCCCCGGCCAAGGTTATGTCACCGCATAGAAGGGTGTTGGGTCGGGGTGTCTCTGCTCCTCTAGCCATGGCCCGCATCATCGACCTGGTGCCCTGGGACGACTGCTCCACGCACGCGTACGCGTCCCCCGCCATCCTGCCGCCGCTGGAGCCGCGGCGCAACCAGCTGGCTGGCGTGAAGCAGCAGCTCTACCACCCGGCCCTGCCCAGCCTGCGCCGCATGGACATGGACTCGGTCAGGGCCTGCCTTTCCGATGAGCACTGCCGGTCCACCACCTACTGCCGCAGAGGTCCGGCCACCGGGCTGCCGCTGGCCACCGGCCCCCTCCGGGCCTTGCGGGGCGGGCGCGGGGGTGGAGGTAGGGGGGAGAAAAGCCAGGAGGGGGGCGGGGGTGGGGGTTGGGGGTGGGAACCTGCCCAGGTCTCAGCCTCCGCTTCCTTATCAGGGAAATGGGGTAACAGGGCCTGCCTCATATTATGCTGAGATTCAAACGAGCTGGGAGAATAGGGGAAGAGAGGGAAAAATAAAACAAGGTGAAATCAGAGAGTGAGACAAACCGTAAGAGACTCTTAATCACAGGAAACAAACTGAGGGTTGCTGGAGGGAGGGAGGTGGGGGGGTGGGGGACCTGGGTGAGGGGCATTAAGGAGGGCACCTGATGTGATGAGCACTGGGTGTTACATACAACCCACGAATCACTGAACTCCATCTCTGAAACTAATAATACACTCTATGTTAATTAATTGAATTTAAATAAATAAATAAATAAATAACAAGCTAAGAGACGCACTTAAAGTCATGTCTAGCACAGAGTACATGCCCAACATAATCTAACGGTGGTTACTAACAGAGAGAGAAGTGTGCAGAAATCGCGTAGTAGGAGTGATCATAAAGCGACAGTGACAGCTTCTGCCCAATCTGCTCTCCACGTGGAAAAGGAAGAGAGAGACCCTCCTCACACTCCCCATGAATGAGAGGTAGACAGGAGAGTCTTTGGGGTGAAAAGGCCACATGCACCCAAGGAATAGCCCTTCATCAATTGAGAAGCTTGGGTGTGGAGATGGGGGTGCCTGTGAATGAATGAATGAATGAATGAATGAATGAATACACGTTCATTTCAGCACATGTATTAAGCACTTGCTTTGCGGCTGATGCTGCCCCAGAGGGAGGGAAACAGAGAGGATAGCATGTGCAGGGCCCTGGAGGGGAAATACTGCCCCAGGTGTTGGGGGAACTTGAGGGGTTTGGTTGGGCTGAAGGACAAGGTTGGGCAGCAGCAGGAGCTGGGGCTGGGGACCAGGGCACTGCTACTAAGCTCAGGGAACTTTGGAGGCAAAGGGGACCCTCTGAAGACTTGAAGCAGAAAAAGAGGTCTGAGCATCTGGGGGTGGGGAGGGGGTGGAGGATGGCTCAGAGGGACCAGAGGTGGATGGGGGCTGGGGGGGGGGTATGACACTGGGGAGGACCACAGTCTTCAGGAAGGAGTAACAGTGTTTCAGCCACTGGAGAGGGTTTGGGAAGGTATTTAGGAGATGAAGTAACAGGATTTGGTACCAGTGTGGGTGAGGGGCAAGAGTGGGAAGTCTGGAATGATACCCAGTTTCCAGCTCAGGTGACAAGTGGGACGAAGGTGTCAGAGACTGCATGGAAATTTCCAGAGGCCCCACGCAGAGCCCTGTAGGGCCTAGATGGGAAATGCTGGAGGTGGGTAGGGAAGCAGTGAGGAGGGAGGCCCCCACACCTGATCCTTTAAGGAGCAGCCGCCACGGGGCTCCGGCTAACTGCTGCGTGGGCAGGCTCAGCACGTTTCTCCCAATTTCCTGGGTTCTCTTGGAAGCCAGGAATCTAGGTTTTTAGGGACAGCTCTTGATTTAGATATGTATTTTTATTGCAAGCTTAAGCCTTTAATAAAAGTAATAGAGTCACAGGTTCAAAATTCAAATGCTGTAACAATGTAGATCTTAACATCTCCCTCTGCCATCCCCCACTTCTGCTGACTTACAGGTAACCTGCCAGTTTCCAATGTATCCTTCCACTGTTTACTAATGCAAATACAAACATAAATTCTTTTGCTCTCCAACTTTTTGTTATGAAGATATTCAAACATAGAGAAAAGTTGAAAGGATAATATTATGGACACCCAGTGCCTTCCACCTGCTTCAGTTAATCCATTACCATATTTGATTATTCTCTCTCAAGCACACACACACACACTCACACTCTCTCACACACACTTCAGCAAACAGTTCCCAGTGACAACAACCTCCTATATGACACGATACTATATGATCACATCTAGGAAAGTTAACAATAATTCCATAACACCTACTCTTCAGTCCATATTGAAATGTCCCAAATGACCCCTAAAGATGTCTCAGAGTTTTAAAATCCTTCCGGAACCGGGCTGCAATCTAGGAATACACACTGTAACTGGTTGCTATGTATCTTGTTTTAGTCTGAAATAGTCCACCCACTTTCCATTTTCCAACTGGAAAACTTCCAATTTTAATATCGGCTTTTTAGAGTTCAAAATACTTATGTTGTAGATAGTCCTACGTTGTGAATCTGAGTATTTCCTTACAATGTTGTTTACCTTGATTGTTTTCTGTAAACGAGAAACTAGGTGTAGAGGCTTGGTTAGCCAGATAAAACATTGGTGGCCAGAATCTTGCACAGGGGATGGATGCCATGTTTGCCCTAATGCTTCAGCAGGAGACACGTAATGTCATTATCCTGCTGTTCATGATGTGAGGTTTGATGACCTGGTTAAGGTGGTGACCTGAATGTATCTTCTTCTCTGCCTCCAATCGCCTCAGTTTTAGGCGTTAAAGCAAAAGGGAGCATATACTCTTGCACACCTTGGAGGTTTCGTATGGAGAACTGCCTCTATTTATTTTAAGTAGCTGCCTAGTAAGGATGTATCACAGTGTATTTGAGTCCTTTAATGACAGACACTTGAGCTGCTCCGTCATTCTCTGCTCCCAACAATGCTGAAATGGGTAGATCTTTTACCCATATCATTTCCCAGTTGTACACCTGTAATGTGGGATAAATTCCCAGAAGTAGGACCAGAGGGTCCGAAGGTATGTGTATTTATACTTCTGATGGTTAATGCCAATTGCTCTCCATAGGCTGGAACCAATTAATACCCCCTCCAGCAATATTACAGCAGTGGCCCTGTTTCCAATAACTGCACTAACTTTTGGATTGTTTCCAATCTGATAGGCAAATATTGGCATCTTAATGTAGTTTGAATATGCATTCATCTTATTGTGAATGAGGCTGAGTGTCTTTTCATATGTTTTAGGGACCATCAGCATTCCTTGTGTTTGTGTGTAAATTACCTATGCATACGGCTGGCTCGTTCTTCTTGTCTTGTCTTGATTTCTACGAACTCTTTAGGGAAATTGCACCTCATCTGTAAAATAAGTGGAAATACTTTTTTACCATTTGCCTTTTGACTCCTGTCAGTTTTGCCAAGCAGAAGTTTGCTTTTTGTAGTCCAAGTCATCAATCTGCCCTTTATGGCTATCAGATTGTGAATGAGTTGATATGGCCTTCCCCACCCCAAGGTTATAAGGGAATTTACATGTTTTCCTCTAGGGTTTTTATGGTTTTGTGTTTTTTACATTGAAATCTTTGATCTACTTGGAGTTTATCCTGTTGTAAAAGTAAAAATCTATTTTATCTTGGTTTTTTTTTTTAAGTTGTCAAATATTTCCAGGAACTTTTGGAGAAAGGTCTCCTGAGGGGGGCCATGATGGCTGGTGGAGGAGACACCTCTTCTCCGTCTCTCCCTCACTCCATCTCTTCTTCAGATGACTTTGACAACGCTCACTTCACACTTTTGGGTGTCCCCAACAAACCCCTGCAGTGCTTGGTGAGTGTCCTTTGCTCCTGGCCCCGGGGTTTGCTCAGGGGAGAGGGTGTGAAGGTCCTGCCCGCTCCCAGCCCCAAGTACCTCGGGTTCTTCAGCTGCCTGCTTGGGCCCCTGCCCCCTTCCCATCTCCTTTGCGGGGCTTCAGGCTCTCCGCCAAGCGCCTGGGTCGGAAGGGCCAAGTTAACAGCCCCAGGCTACAGGATGGTCTGGGTCGGCCCCCCAGGCTTCTGCACCTATCACAATGCCCTGACTCACATCACCCTGGCAGGACATCACGGCGACCGGCCAGAGACTCCGCAACAGGTGCCGCGAGGGAAAGCTGGTACCCATCGTGCCGGGCATCAACCGGGTCGACTGGCCCTGCTTCACACGCGCCATTGAGGACTGGTCCCGCTTCGTGTCCTCGGCCGGCGAGTTCAAGCTGCCCTGCCCGAGCAAGAGGGGTCAGTCTACTGGGCCCAGAGGATGCCCTAGGGCGGGAGAGACCCGGAGCGCCAACCGCGGGCGGGGGGCATCGGGGTGGGGGGCTGCGACAAGGACGGCGGGGAAACCAAGGAGCAGCTGGGGCACTTAGAGCGGGCAGGACCGAGATGGGCTGAAGGACAAAGACGTGGGGCTCGTCTTGGAGTGGGGGCAGGGGCCAGGTCCCGGCCCGAGAGAGTCATTGGGCGGAGGCTGAGTGCGGGGCGGGTTCTGGGACGGGTGGAGCAAGGTTTAGAAGCGGGGCTTGTCCTGGCGGGGCGGGGCAGGCGGGACTGGCTGACCCAACGGGTGTGGGCGTGGTTCGATCCAGGGGCGGGGCTCAGGTACGGGCGGGGGCGGGGCTTGTTCGGGGTGGGCTGGGGGCTGGAGAAGGGCGGTCTCTCCGCAGTCGAGAGTTTCAGTGGCTACGCGGTGCGGTACTTGAAGCCGGAGGTGACCCAGAACTGGCGGGTAAGGAGGGCTGCGTGCTGACCTGTTCCTGGGGACCAAGGGGTCGGGGAGGAGAAGCTAACACGGGGAGCGGGGTGGGGAGAGGGCACCCAGAGCAGGGTTTCCCGGTCCCCAGGGCCAAGATCTCTGGCAGAGAGCGCTGTGGCGGGCCGGGGCGGGGGGGGGGGGGTGTCAGTGTCCCCCCCCCCTCGGCTCAAGGATCCCCCATTCCTCTGGCCCGCGCCAGTACTGTCTCAACCAGAACCCCAGCCTGGACCGCTACGGACAGAAGCCCCTGCCTTTCGACTCCTTGTAAGTGATGCCACAGGCCCCGGGACCCCATACCTGGAGGAGGGAGGATGGGGTCTTGGCCGCTTTCCTCCGAGCACCTTTAGTGACTCTTGAAAGTGTGAGACCCGGGAAAACTGCTGGGTTCCAATACACCACAAGGAAATTGCAGTTTCAAACTGAATAAATGTTTAATCAAACGGAGCATCCTGTCGTCCAGTCCCTGGCAAACCCCACCTTTCGGAGTGGAGGCATTAGGTGGGACCAGGGTGGAATGTAATCCTTCTGGTGGGATGGCGTCTCCCGAGATGGGAGTGAGGTTCCCTGAGAGGGTCACCATTCCCCACCTCGGGCTCACCATCCTCCTCCCTTTTTGGCAGGAACGCCTTCCGACACTTCGGCTCAATCTACAGGTAGGGGAATGACCCCACTCCCGCTCCACACCTGGCCACTCCTCCGTCGGGCTGTGTCCTGGCTGCCTCTGGGCTCAGGCAACTCTCAGACCCCTCTCCACCCCACCTCAAGCCAAGGGATTGGTACCCTCTGGGTGATATCCAGGGGGCCGACCTGCTTCCCTCCGGAGAGATCCGCGCCAGGCAAAAGTGCAGCCTACTGGGAGATGGGGGGAGCAGAGTGCATGTCCCACCCGATTTGGCTCAGACTAGGCCAAAAGGAGGGGGGCTTACCAGGGAGGAGAGCAAGGGCTGATGGAAAGAACCGAGAGTCTGCCTTCCAGGATGTGGATAGGTGGGAAGGGCTGAGGCTCCTGTTTCCAGCAGGAAGATGTAAGGTATTCAAGCATCTTCATCTTTCAGCCCTCTCCCAACTACCAGGCCCCCTTTCCTCCACCGCAGCAGTACCACACTCCTGGATGTCCCCCAAAGCACCAGCACAACGAAGCATGCCACACTTTTGCTGGTGCCGTTTTAGGGCCTAGGTGATCCTTCCTTCTCTGCCTGGAAAATTCCTCCTCACTCTTGAAAGCCCAGCCTAGATGTCCCATCCTCCTTGAAGTCTTCCCTGAGGCTCCCCTGAAGCCTCTCCCCTCCAGCTCAAACCCCCTCGGGTTGGTCCACCACAGGTGCATCCCTATCTGATAGCACGTAGACTATTGCGTTATAATAATTGATGGGAAGTTTGCCTCCTCTCACCCACTTTGTCCACACACAGGGGAAAGCTTTCTATTTTACTGTTACGTACTATTATATAATGCCTGCCAGCGTGAGTGCACTAAATGTTTGAAAAATGAGTAAAGCGGGCAGGACTGGGGATCAATGAGAAACAAAGATGAGGCAAACTGGAAGGGGGTGATTGAAAGTCAAGCAGAGTCTCTGCAAATATATCATTGAAAGGAAATAGGGAGCCACTGAAGGCTCTTGAGCCATAGAGAGATAGGATGGAAGCTGTGTTTTCAGAGCTTCGAGGACAGGAAGGTGGGTTTGGGGGGCAGGCCTATAGAAGGACAGCTTGATATTCCCCAGGACACCCTGGAAGCCCCTGCCTCACCCCTGTTTCTCTCCACAGTCGTGTCAACTATCTGACCCCCTGGCATTAATCGATGAAAAGGAAGCCGAACCTCAGGCTGCTGGACTATGCCACTCAGGTTCTCCAGCAGGACAGAGGGTGTATGGTGGCACCACTCATTTCCCTATGAGTTCGGCCTGACTGGAAATAAATCTAATAATAATAAACCAGGTCTCTCTCTCTCTCTCTCTCTCTCTGTTGCAGGGATTGGGAGAGAGGTCAGTACCTCAGGATGATGCTCTTACCTTTACCTGCCCCCCGCCAACTCCTGGAGGAGTTGGGGGGGGCTGGAGAAAGATGTTTCGTGACCGCAGGTGAAGAGTCAGGGTCTAAGCCCCAAGGCTCAGCCGGGGGTGAGGTGTAGAGTTAGCCTGGGAATTGGGTTTTCCCTGTGCCCCTGTCCCCTGCTTGCAGACCCACAACCAGCCCCCCTCCACCTCAGACTTTGAACTTGGGCCCTAAAGAGAAAAGAGGAGGTTTGAAAGGAATTTTAGATACTGCTCTCAGAAGCTTTTACCATACCAGTATACTCTGGGGGCTTCCCTGGATCTGGCAGGCTCTGGTGGGCTCAAGGCAGCCTCTGGGCGTGGAGCAAGAATCACCTACTCCCTCCACATAGCTTCAGGACTAGCCCTCACATCTGTCCACCAAACTACAGAAAGGAAAGCATGATGTCCTGGGGATAGCCATGGGCTCTCCTGGGCCAGGTCCGGAATAACCGCACTCAAAGGGCTAAGGAAGACTGTCTCTGGCATGGTTAGGGGGAGCCAGGATCAATGCACAGCTCCCTTCCAGATAGCCCACCCGCATCCCACTTGTGGTCAGTCTGCAAGGACAGATCCCAACCAGGATAAATAGCCACCAAGCTCTAAGACTATCTGAACAAGAGCCCTGCAACTAGGGTCTGGGGCCTCAGGGATCCTTGAAACTTCTGAAATCATGAGCAAAACTGTATGTGCCCCCCACATACACATTTTCCCATGGAGAGGCTCCTTGTTTTCATCTGATTCTCAGGAGAGTCAGTGCCCACACAGGTTAGGAAACCTTGACTTACAGCTTCCCCATCCCCTTCCACTAATAATTACTGAGCACTTACTGCATGCAAGCTAGGTCTCAGGTGGAAGGAATTTAAAGAATAATACCAGGCTCTTATTTCTGGACCCTATGTTACACTATTCAGAACACACTGTCATGTGACTTATTATCTCCTCCATGCCTCATATCCCATAAACACTCTGAAAAGTGACCAGAACGAATGCTATCCTATATCACAGATGGGAAAACTGAGGCCCAGATCAGGAAGAAGTTCACTTCGGCCACACCCAGAACTCAGGACTCAAAGCAAGTCCCAGCACTTGACACAGTGTTCACATACAGTTTGCGCTCAATGTCGTAGAATAAATTATTTCCCAGAATGGGAGGTCTTTTGTTCAATCTTGGGTAAAAAACAAGGAGACAGCTTTGTCGTTGTCATCTGATAATGCAGACAGAGCCTGCCTTACAGACTCTGGGCTGACTTTAATTTCTTTTAGGGGTGGAGGCGATGGTTACTATCCTAATCCGGAGATGAGGGACCATGGTGTCTGTCTCTCTGTCCTCAAGGGTGGGGTTCTGCTGACAACAGAGCAGGAGCATGGGGAGGAGCAGATGGGGAGTGGTAAACAGATCATGGAGCCCCTCCTTCCTTGGGGGCCTATCGCGAAGGTATCCAGCTTCCTGCCATTTCATGCAGGAAGAAACCCTTTCCTCCAAGCCCAGCGGGCAGTCCACCTTGCTTGAACCTCAGGAAGCCCCTGGCAGAACCTCTTGGGGTATCAGAGCCACATTCTGCAAAACTGAGTGCCTCCTCCAACATGACAGCTCAGAGAAGGGATATGTCTGCCCAAGGCTCCCTTCACAGCAGCGATGCTGGAGTCCTGGCCTGTGTGGGCCTGGGACAGCCCGAGAGCATGCCTCAATGTACCAGAGGGAATCAAGTGCCTGGGTTTTTTTTTCCTGGCCCTGCTTCCCTGACGCTGAATGACTGGGCAAGGCCCTCCGGGAATTTGCCCCAGCAGACATTTGAGGCTTACCCGGCCCCACGCTGAGTGCAGGAAGGACACAGACCAGACGCCCTCCCTTCCTGGGAGGTGCTCCCAGTACGGCAGGAGGAAGGCAGGCCCAGCTGATTCAAACTTGAAAGCAGAAGGTGAGAATGTGGGCACACCTAGACCACATTCCTCAAGCCCAAGACACTGAAAGGTACGGTAACCCACACCAGCAATGTAATTAGGTTCTTGCTCACCAATTGTACACTGAATCCTGACTCCGTAGACCTAAAAATGTGTGTCCAAGAATAAAGGAAATGCAGAGTGGATGAGCATTAACAAGCCTGATTCAGTATGTACTTTCTTTTTTTTTAATTAATTAAGTTATTTTTAATTAATCTCTACACCAACACGGGGCTCGAACTCAGGACCCCAAGATCAAGAGTCCCATGCTCTTCCAACTGAGACAGCCAGGCACCCTACCACTTTCTATTTTTTAAGCGTAAGATAAGGTATTAAACACTTCTCAGACACCATGAGGTGGGTGATTTTAGGCCCATTTCATGGGTGATGAAATGGAGGTTAAGTGCCTGGCCCAAGGTCACACTGCTGGTGATTGGCAGAGCTGGGACTTGAAGCCAGCCTACCTGACCCTTGAGCTTGAGTAGCCACCACATTCCACTGCCTTCCTGCTATGAGAGAGATACAAGCCAAGAGTAGGGAGGAAACCAGAGGGGGCTTCCTGGGGGTGGGCATCTGATAATCCTACACAGAGGCCAAGAGATGGGAAGAAGCCCTACTCCCACCTAGCCTGGGCCACTGTCTCCTGGCCTCAAAGTCTCCTCAGCCTCAGGGGACTCTTTACTCATCATAAATAGATCATTAGAAATCCTCCCTACGGCCACTACCTTGGGGACAGTCCAGCCTCCATGGCCTCACCCACAGGTCTTCCTGGTCAGTCCCCCAATCCACATCCCTGGCCCTGGGCCTCAATGCATTGCCCCGCACAATTCTCCCCACCAGCCTCCTTGCTATTCTGAACACCCAGGCTCTTGTCTGCCTCCTCGCCTTTGTTCAAAGCCTTCCTCCCCCCTGAAATGCCTTTCCCATCACTTCCAACCCAAATCCCACCATTTCTCCCAGGCAGGCCTCTCTCAAGTGCTCCCTCCCCACCCACCCCCACCCCCAATCTCCCCCAATACTACAGAACAAACTCCTAGCCTCCGGCCTACAGTTGGCTCTAAGGAAATACTGCACTTGGAGGCTCCCTTTATCTCTCTGAGCGAACACAGGGGCTCAGGAATGGGGCCTGGGGCCGCCCAGAACCCACACACAGATCTAGACTAAATGAAACAACTACTACAAAGTAACAGTTGTGTTCATGACAAAGTAACACACCAAATACATCCTCACCCAGGGCCTGGGGCTGGCAATGCGGATGGATCAGGGGTGAGGTGAGGGTCAGGGAGGACTCACGTGTAAACTTTTGTGCTAAAAATCAGAAGCTTTGACATTTCTGACCTTACCTTTTGATACACGAAAACCTCAAACCTCTCTCCTCTAAAGTTTCAGCTGCATGCCCCGCAGCACCAGCTCGTGGATGAACAAAGGCAGGAATGCAGACCTAGGTTGGGGAAGCACACACAGGGAAGAGGGAGACCCCCGTGGGGACCCCCTATTCCCACCCCTCCCGTTGACCTCCTTTTCAGGGACCTGAGGAGGACTGGGCATTCCGGGCCTGGAATCTTTGTAGATTTGTGACAATCAATAGCGGCCAAGGCTTTTCCTGGAGGCATGACCTTCAAGGAACAAAGAAATCCCCCGTTTGAGGATGGGATGTGGAGCTTATCACAGGCCAGCCTGGCCCAGCCTGGGAGGCCCCGGGGCCAACGTCCAAGGCCGGAGCAGCCGGTGGGCCTGACTGAGGCCTGCTCTGGAGGAGGGAATGAGGTAGGGAGGCAGGAGGTCAGGATGGAGGACTGGAGACAGACAGAAAACTTCCACAAAGGCGTCTGAGGAGGTCTAGGCTCTTCCTGGAGCCGCCTCTGCGCAGATGGGGAGACAGAGCCCGGCGGCTTTAATCCCTCAAGGAGTCGAGGGCCCACCGGAGGGCTGGCCGCCCCCTCTGCCAGCTGGTGAAGGGCTTTCCCGCCCCCTGGCCGGACCGGGTGCCGGCACCGGGCCCAGCCATTGTGCCCAGCTTCCTGGCCCACAAAAAGTGGGTTGGAACCAGAGCCCCAGGCCTCAGTGGCCGGAGCTGGGGGCCTGGGAGGTTCAGAGCCCAGGGCTGACCCATCCCCTCTGTCTGTTCCCCACCAGGCCAGCCCCCACGATTCCAGGCCTCCTTCACCACCAAATGCGTGGCCTTCGGCAGCCCCAGGACTTCTCAAGCGTCAGCCCAAAGGGAATACTCATGTCTGTCCTGCCCTGCCCTCCTGGTAGGAGGCTCTGACCAGCGGGTGGAGGGGACAGGGCTTATGAATGGGGTGTCGGGGTGGGGGTGGGGAGAGCCCCGACATTCAGAGGGAAGTGTTAGGGCAGCCCCCTCTGGCCTCTGACCTCCGACTGCTCTGCTCTCCCGAGTGGCCACGACATGCCCAACCCTCCACAAAGGCCATTGCACTGTGCCCTCACCCTCCCGAATTACCAGCTCCGAAGCAGGCAGCTTCTGTCCTCCTCTGTCTCTCGATCCTCCCCAGCTCTGGTTGTCATCCCGATGTCATGGCTCACCCCAAGCTACCACCTTCTTCCTACGTGTCAGTGGTTGGGGCAAAGCACTAAAGATTCCCCAGAGACTAAAGGAGGTAGAATACTACCTCCTTTTACGCCCCGCGTCACAGCGTCCCAAGTCCCCTGGTGAAAATGCTCTGCTCTACAAGAGGGAGACTCACATCAGCCGAGGGACGCAGGAGGTTGTGGGGGCTCCTGGGCGGGTGGGCGGGCGGTGTGGGCAGCCGCTCAAGCCAGTCTGCGCCGTTTCTGTCGCTTACAGCTGAAGCCAGACTGACACAGGAAGACCACAGGCTGGAGGCCCGCGGAGGCAGGGAGAGGAAGAAGACACAGGTTGATCCTGTCACCCTCCCACAATCAGAGTGTCAGGTCTCTAAGGGCCCTTAGAGATCAGGGTCAAGACCTCTGCTTCAGATGGGGAACTGAGGCCCCCAAGAGGGGCAGATAACAAGTGCCTGGGGTCACTTTTTATCAAAAGGCTGGGACTTGAACCGGAATATCCAGGCTCCCCTCACTGCCCTGGGTGGGGCGCAGGCTGGAGCCCAGAGGCAGAGGGCCAGGTGGGAGCTTTGTAAGAGGAGAGGATGGAGACAGAGCAAAAGCACGTCACTGTAGGCTTCGTGTGAGCTCAGCCCCGCCAGGGCTCCTCCTGCGCCATGCACACAAAGACCATCGAACATTCAGGAAGGGCAACCTGAAGCTCTAAAGCACCAAACACACGCCAGTGCTTTCCAGGAGTCTCTGCAAGGTGTGTGGGTTTTGCCTAAGGTCACTCAGCTAGCAAGGAGGGCAGGATCGAAGCCTGGCCCAGACACGAGGGGCCCTGGGCGTCCTCCGGCTGGCAAGTGGACACCTGCAGGAAGGGACCACGCAGCTCCTCAAGGGAGGTCCTCCCAGGGGTACACACAGAGGAAGTAAGTCCTCCTTAGCCTTTCCACTAGCTGTCTGCACCCAGTTTTGAGCCCCCCTGTGGCATGGGCAGCTCCTCGTCCTCTTGACTTTCTACCCTCCCCACCCCCACCTCCAGGGCAAGGTGCTGACCACCCTCCCCTGGCCTGGGGAGGCCGTTTCTCCCTCTCCCGCCTCCGCCCCTGCCTTTGAGAAAATGGAAGGAGGCTGAGTCACAGCTGGCCCACTGGGGGCCTGGGGCAGGGAACAGAAAGGTGGGTTGGAAGGCCAAGGAGGGAGGCGGCTGGCTGGACACGCAGATGGATGGCGACGGGATGGGGTGAGTACAAGTGGGCTGAGAGCAGGCAGCCCTCTGGGGCAGGGCACCTGGCTGGGGCCACTGCTGCTCCGGGCAAGCCCTGGTTTCCCACGGGGGCGGAGTAAGCCCTCATGCTTACCAGGCCGGGCTGCCGGCTTCTCCCCATTCACAAGCTGCGTGTCCCTCCCAGCCCAGCTCGCAAGCCTATCCCCCAGGGCCCCGAGGACTGTCAGCACCTTCACAGCTTTCCCCCCAAGCCCAGGGCCTCCATACAGAACGTCATGAATCCTCACAGCAACTAAGCAAGGCAAGGGAGGCAACTGAGTCCCAAAGAGGTTGAGTGACTTGCCCAAAGTCACATGACCAGAACATTCAAAACTCAGGATTTGAACCCAGCCTCACGTCCTGATCCCAAGCCTGCCACCCGAGCCTGTACCCCTCTGTCTCTCCCTCCACACCCCATCACCCCCAGGGGAAGAATGACCAGAACAAGCAGAGCTTTGGTCTGTGATGGTCAATGTCTTTACTTCTAAAGCATACATTGGACTCACTATATATTAACATCAAAAGGGGCTATCTAAAATGGAGTCATTCTTTTTAAAAATCCAAATTTTCACATTTTTATATAAGATCCAAAATGACATGAAATTAAACTATACAATGTTATGAACAGTATAACAACTGCTTTTAGAAAGCAAAAGGAAAGGGAAAAATTTGCAGTTGGGCCTGTTGTCGGCCTGGGTTCCATGTCTTTTGAGGCATTGTGACTGAGAGCCAGCACCGAGGGGAAGGACCGGCCCCTCTCTGCAAGCGCAGGAAGGGAGCCGGGTCCCATAGAGGAGGAGGCGGATGTGGGCTGTTCAGCCTTCCCTAGGTGGGAGCGAGACAAGGCCCTCCCTGCTCCTCTGGGCCCTTGGTGCAAGCACTGATTAGTCTTTCCAGACCCACGCCTAAGGAGGGCTGGAAGAGGGCGGGGCAGGGGCACAGCTGGGTCCACAAGAATCATTTTGATAATAAAGGTCCTTCGGGCTTCCCCAGGAGGGCCCCCACTGGCGAGTGATCTCAGTCAACTCCAGGCACCTACCAGCTCCCTTAACAACCCTCTGCCCTGGCCTGCTCCCTATTGCCCTGGACACCCTTGACTCCATGAGCCCCGGTGGGCAGGCAGAGACCTACAGGGACCCCAGGAGGACCCCAGAGAGAATCTCTAGCCTTGGAAGTCACTGGATAATGTCCAGGCCATCTTGGCAGTGCAAGACCCCGGGGTCCAGGCCAGGAGCCAGATTGACAGGGAAGGTTCCCAGGGGCTGGGAGAGCACTGTGGAGTCAGAGTCCTTTAACACCCCCACCCCCACCCCCACCCTGGGTGCCCAGGCCCGGTCTTGGCCCAGAAGGAGAGCTGGGGCAAGCTGTTTGGAGCCGCGCCCTTGACACTTTGGTTCACACATTCAAGGGGGAGGACACTTGTTTGCATCCACTGGTAAGACCGTGGACTTGGCCCTGCTTCCTCCCAGGCACCAAGGTGGTCTAACAATCCCCTTCTTTCTCATCAGTAGTTCGGTCTGGCCGAGAACACATTCCCCAGAGCTTGGAACCATGCTGCAAAGGTAGGAGGGGCACTTTCCCAACAGCAGGATTACGCCTCAGTACAAAAGCTGCCTTTCCTCCCTTCCCTGTGGAGGGCACTGTCCCTGGCTGAGTGTGTCACATGAGAGCTTCCCTGCCTCCTCCCTTCTAGCTGGGCCGGTTCTCTGCAGGCACACCCAGCTCACAGATGTGCAGCCGTCCTGTATGTCTCCCTGGTGGAACCCGGGAGGCCACACCACCCCTAGCTGGAGCAGACAGAGAGGCCTGTGGCTCAGCCTCACCGACTGCCCTCCTGGTCCCCAGGGCTATATCACAAAGCCGGCCTGCTCCCTCAAACGGCGACCTGAAGGAGGATGCCCTACATTCGGCCCACCTATGGGATCCAGCCCTTCTCCCAGGCCCGACCATGACCATCCTCTTTCCTAACCAATCTGGTTTCTAATTAGGCTGAAAAGTTTGGGAAGGTAGGGCTGGCACCAATCCCTCCTTGGGGTCGAGGGAGGCCACTTGACTTCCAGCCTGGTTCCAGGGCACCAGAGACAAGGAAGGCTGATGGCTCTCAAGTAAAGGAATCCTATAATGGGAAAGAGGTTTGTGGGATCAGGGCCAGCCACAGCAATCTGGCTCCCCCCACCCCCTCCCTCCAGGCCGGTACCAGGAGCGCCAGGCACCCCCACCTCCCCTCCCCCCCCCACGGCTGCCCGGGTGCCCTCGGTCCTCAGACCACCCAGCCGGGCGGCGGGGGAGTGATGGGAGGCCCAGTGGGCCGCGCGCGGGCCGGGCCCGGTGGGGACCGCTCGGAGGGGCGCACTCAGGGCTGCACTCAGGGCCGCACTCAGGGCAGGCAGGCGGCCACCTGGTAGGCGCCCTCGGCGGCGGCCGCGGCGGCGCTGTGCTGGGCGCTGTGCTCCTGCAGCAGGGCCACGTCCAGGAAGCGCTCGCCGCACCACACGCACTTGAACTGCTGCTCGCGGGCGTGCACCCCCTGGTGCTTGTTGAGATGCTCGCGCTGCTTGAAGGCCTTGTCACAGCTGGGGCACTTGTAGGGCTTCTCGCCCGTGTGCACCCGCCGGTGCCGCTGCAGGTCTGACGCGTACTTGAAGCGCTTCTCGCAGTCCGGGCACTTAAGCGGCTTCTCGCGCGCCGGGTCGCAGCGGTGCTGCACGAACTCCGAGGACGAGAAGAAGCGGCGCTCACACAGGGTGCAGCGCAGGGGCTTCTCGGCGGCGGAGCAGTGCGCCAGCTGGTGCTTCTGCAGGGCCGACGCCCGCTTGTAGGCCTTGGTGCACACGGGGCACTTGAAGGGCCGCTCGGCGGCGCCCGGCAGGCACTTGTGCCGCAGCAGCTCGGCCGACTGGTCGAAGCCCTTCTGGCACACAGGGCACTTGAAGAGGGTCTCGAGGGTGTGCACGTGCTGGTGGTAGAGCAGGTGGCTGGGCTGCCCGAAGCCCTTCTCGCAGAGGCCGCACTTGAAGGGCTCCTCGGGCTTGTGCGTGCGCCGGTGCCGCATGAGTGCGTACTGCTGCTTGAAGCCCATGGGGCACAGGTCGCACTTGAAGGGCCGCTCGGCGCTGTGCGTGCGCTCGTGCTGCCGCAGGTCCGACGGGCGCTTGAAGGCCTTCTGGCACTCGCCGCAGCGGAACGGCCGCTCCCCGCTCGGCGTGCACGGGTGCTGCAGCAGCTCCGAGGACTCCTTGAAGTGCAGCTCGCACACGTTGCAGCGGAAGAGGTGGTGCTCGCCCGAATGCGCGTACATGTGGCGCACCAGGTGCGAGCGGTGCTTGAAGGTCTTCTCGCAGACCGCGCACTTGTACGGCCGCTCGGAGCTGTGCGTGCGCTTATGGTGCACCAGGTGCGAGGACTGGCTGAAGCTCTTGTCACACAGCGTGCACTTGTACGGCTTCTCCCCGGTGTGGATGCGCTCGTGCCGCGACAGCTCTGACAGGTGCTTGAAGGGCTTCTGGCAGATGGGGCAGCTGTAAGGCTTGTCGGCCTGCTCCGCGGGGGCCACGGCCGGCGGCGGTGGCGGCGGCGGTGGCGGCGGCGGTGGCGGCGGTGGTGGCGGCGGCGGTGGCGGCGGCGGTGGCGGCGGCGGTGGCGGCGGTGGTGGCGGCGGCGGTGGCGGCGGCGGTGGCCGCCGGCTCGGCCGCCTCGGCCGGCTTGTAGGTCTTCTCGCAGATGGAACATTTCACCAGGCCGCTGGCGCCGCTGTGCGCGCTGTGGTGCTGCGCCAGCGAGGTGAGCAGCGAGAAGCCCATCTTGCAGACGCCGCAGACGAAAGGCTTCTGTTCGGCCTGCACACACTGGTGTTCCAGCAGGTCTGTGGCCTGATGGAAGATCTTGAGACACTGCGTGCACTGGAAGGAGCGGTCGTGGCCCGCCAGGCACTGGTGCTCGTGCGGGCTGGACAGGTGCGCCAGGTCGTGACCACACACGCCGCACTTGGGGCCCGGCTCGCCGGCCGCCTGCAGGGGCGCGTGCTGCGGGGGCTGGAGGCCGGGGTCTGGCTGCAGGAGGATGCCGTAGACAGCACAGCCCAGGGGGTTCTCAGCCGAGCCCGGGGGCAGCGCGTGCTCGGCCAGGGCGGGTGGTGGCTCGGCGTGGTGCTGGGGCTGCGGCGGCGGTGGCTGCTGGGGCTGCGTCTGCGGGGGCTGCTGCCAGCTTTCTGACATGCTTGGGAAGACGAAACAGGGCTTGGAGAGTAAGGGCTTCAGTTTCCCGCCGAAGGTGATCCAGCCCAGAGAGAAGCTGCCCAGGATCAGGGATGGACAAAAACCTCAGACGAGGCACACAAGGGGGACTGGTCAGACGGCTGGCGGCATTAACCAAGACGGACTGCCAGGCTCTGCCTACCGGAGGCGGGGCTCTCGAGGGCAGGGTGCCCGGGGCTGGGGGGGGGAGGCGAGGCCAGAGGGGCTCTGCCTTCCCCGATGACTGGTTCTGGAGGGAAGAGAAAAACGGTCAGCTTGACGCCGAGATCCGTGGCTGGTCCCTGGGCCCCTCTCCCCGTTCTGCCCACACTCGCCACACAGCTGCCACATCAGGGAAGAGAGAGGGATTCAGGGCTGGAAAACCCGCTCTCTTCACACACGACCAAAGAAGTCTGCTGGTGGCTCAGCCCCTCCAGCAAAGACAGCCTCCCGGCTCCCCAGCCTACTGCCAGCCCTCTGTAGCCAGCTGTCTCACAGATAAGGGTCTGGGATGATCTGCCCATAATACAAAGAAGTCATAAATTCTGCTCATGTTCCAAAGGAAGAGGGAGGCCCATGGTGTCCAAACCGATTTCAGCAGCGTAACTTGTTTTGCAAATAAAATTCTTACTTGGAAGCCCAATATGTTATTACATAAAAGCAGAGAGGCACTGGTGGAGGACGCCCCAAGGCCTTCGAGCTCCCTTCCCCCTGCTGCCCTGAATCTCAACCCAGGACATCCCTGCTCAGGGTAACAGCCTGCTGAGACCGAGAACCAGACCTCCCAGACCTGAGGGGCTAAGAGCAAACGGCCTCAGGCAGCCAATATTTAAAACAACTACAGAAACCGAGGACCATCTCAAAAAACTGATTTTGTGAGGGGCTGACCCACATCCCTCTCAACTATCCCCTAGGCCCTCTTTCCTGACCACGTGCCTGTTCTTCCTCCACCCAACAGTTAAGATGGCCTTGTGGAGACCTGAGCCAATGTATGATGGGGTACCGATGATAGGTCCATAGACCCACCCAGCCTGGAGGGCTCCACAGCAGAACATCCGGGCTCTAGTTAACTCCCAGAGCACCCAAAACTCCTAAATCCTCTGAATCTGACGGTGCCGAGGCCCGCAGGAAAAAGTGGGCAATCAGGAGTTTGCCTCGGCAATGTGGGAAGTAACATGCTAAGCACAGAGAATTTCTCCTCTTCCCAGGACAACCTGGAAAAGACAACCTTTCCAGAGGCAACCCCATTCCCTTGCTCCAAGTCTCTAACATTTTGGGTAATCCATGGAAGGGAAAGACCACCCAGCCCAGGCAAATCTCTAACTCACCACTTTGTGGCAGCAGAAGGTAATGAGAGCGAGAGGGAGGAACTTTTAGAATTACATGCAACCCACTTTCAGGTTTCCAGCTCCTCTGCCTCAAACACTGAAAAGTTTCTAAGTTTTCTCCTGAGGGAAAGAGGAGAAAAAAAGGGGATGCCTTCACAGGCCAGCCCCGCCTCTAACTGTTCTGCCAAAGAAACCTGAGAGTCAGGCGAAAAACTGTCACCCACAGCATCTTCCGGGAAGGAATGAAGGAAAGGAGCCGCTGCTCGTGGTGGAATCAGCAGGTTGCATGAACAAGCAGGTAGGAAGCCTCCCCAGAAAAGAGGGAAGAGGGGCTACTCTGAGCGCAGTCTGGGTCCGGATGAGCCAACCCAGATGATTTTTTTTTTTTTTTCCGGTATGAATGGCTGCCAGAACCAGGGTCCCGGATCCTGGGCCCCCAGCTCAGCTGCCCACCCCTGCCCACTTCCAGGAAGGTGCGACCCGGAGGCCTCTCTGATCATTCCGCAAAGAGGAGAGACTAGGGTAACGGAGGCAAAGGGAGCCCTCCTCCCCCTGCGCCCCACGCCAGCCCTTCCTCCTCCCCGGGAACCCGAATGAAAGGCGATCACCTCCCCGCCGGCACTGCCCGCCAGCCCGGCTGGGCTGCCTCCTGTCAGCCCTCACCAGGAACGGCCAGGCCGCTACGGGCCGGAGCGCCGGCCCCGCGGGCGATTGGGCCCGAGGAAGGCCCCAGGGCCGCAGGCTGGGCCCGGTTAGTAGCTACGCGCCCCGGCTGGCTTGGGGCCGCCCCAGAGCTCAGGAGGCCGCCAGGTCGGGCCGGAGGTGGAGGGGGGGGAGGTGGTGGTGGTGGCGGGCGGGCCGGCTGGGGAAGGGGTGCGGCGGGCGCGGGAGTGGCCCCCAGACGCAGCCCCGGGCGCCCCGCCGCTCACCTGCTCCAGGCCGCCCGCGGGGTCAGGCGCGGGGCGAGCGGCGACCGGCTGCTCTCTCGGCCGCCCCTTTATTCCGGCTCCAGCGGCGGCGGCGCGGCCTACGCGCACTGCCAATCCCCGGCCTCGAGTAGCGGCGGCGGCCGGCCCGGGGGCGGGGAACGGGCTAGCGGCGGCCGGGACCGAGGAAGCGACGTGCGTGGCCGGGATAGCGGGGCCAGGGCGGAGGAGTGCCGGGAGGGCGGGCGGACGGACCGACGGCCTTGCAGAGACCGGCGGACAGGCGGGCGGCGCGGGGGCCAGGGAGGCGGGGCCGGGGGAGGAGCGGCAGCCGGGGCGGCGGCAGCTGCGGGAGGAGCGGGCGGCACGGAGCGAGGCCGCCCCCTGCCGGGGACCCCGCGGCCGGGCCGGGTCGGACAGTCGGGCGTGCAGGGTGGCTCTCCAGTTGCCTGACCTGCACGCCTCAGCGGACCGGGGAGGGCGCCCGGCTTCCGACCAACCTGCTCGGCCTTGGGGGAGTGGGCTCCCGCAACCCGACCTGAGACCCGACGCCCGCGCTTGAGAGGAGGGGCTTCCTAGACCCTCTGATCTTCTGGAACTGACCCGCTTCTGACTGCTCAGCTTGCTCTTAGGAGACGGGCCCCTGGAGCTCGGGCTCTGGACCGGCTTGAGGAGGGGGGTCCCGGACCTCTGATCCCGTCCGGGCCTCGAGGACAGGGATCTCCGCTGGGTCTAGCGCGCTGACCGCTGACCTAGGGACCGTCCGTGGCTAGGAGGTCTGGTCGCGGATGGCTGCTGACAGAGGAGGGAACAGAGAGGTCAGGGCCCAGAGCGATCTGTGAAATGGGCACACAGAGGCTAGGGGTGGGGTCCCGGGAGGCTCCAGGTAGCCGTCAAGGCGCTGCGAGCTGGCAGGCAGCGTGGTCTGGGTGTAGAGTCCCGCCCGAGTCCGGCGGGGCCCCGCCCCTCCAGGCCCCGCCCCGAGGCGGTGCTTCTCTGGGCCCCGCCCCCGGGAGGGCACTTCCGGCGCAGCCGAATTCCGGGTGCGATCGCTCGCGGCTATGGACTGCTGTCGTGGAGGCCCCATGAGTGCGGCGCCCCTGGTGGGCTACAGTAGCAGCGGCTCGGAGGATGAGGACGAGGCCGAGGCCGGGGCCCAGGCGCGGCCGGGGACTGGAGGCTGCCGGCGGTAAGGAGCGAGGAGATTTTTCTGGGGAGGGTGCTGGTTCGCACGACACCCCGACAGAACCCGAGCGTCTGAAGGGAAAGGGGCGATGGTGCGGAGCGGCTCTCCAGGGAAGGAAGAGGGGCACAGCGGAAAAGGAGGGTCCGGAGGACAGCCCTGGACACAGCCCCAGAGTGCCCCCACCTGGCTAGGCCAAGGTTAGGAGGCAGGAAACGTGGGCTCGGGTCCCCCCTCCAGCGCTGGCCGCCGCCGGGATCTCCTGGCGCGCACCACAGCACCACCCTAGGTCTGTTTCCACATACAGAGGGTGTTTTCATCCATCCAGTAAATGCTCATGGAGCACCCGCTCTGCGCCAGGCTGGGACACTCGGCAATGAACGAAACGGTCGAAGTCTGACTTAGTGGAGCTTCAGTTCTCAAGTGCCACCCCTGGTGCTTTGAAGAGTGCCTTTCAAGCAGTAGTATCTCTGTTGATCTCACAATAGCTCTGTCAGGTAAAGTACACTTTACAGATGAGGAGACTGAGGCCCACAGAGTACACATGACTTGCTCAAGACCCCAAAGCTAGGAAGCACTACTCCAGTTGTCCACTGTTCAGGGAATGTGACCTCTGAACCACACACTGCTGCCTGCCTAGTTGTTTCCCATGCTCCCAGCTAAAGTCAGCCTCCTGGGGCTGTGGGGAGACCCCAGTGAGACAGTACTGGGGAAAGAGCTTTGTGGTTTTCTAAAAGCTGCTCCCAGCACCTGGTGGGAAATTGATGCGCACAGTCACCCTGGTTAAGGGGTTACGACTTTTGCTGTAGGCACAGAGGTGGAGAATGCCAGAAGGTTAAGTGTGCTCATTTCCTTTTTCTCTCTTGCAGTACCCAGAGCCCCCTTCCCAGCCAGAGGTTGCCGGTACCCGACAGTGTGCTGCACATGTTCCTAGACACTGAGGAGGAGCCTGAGGATGACCGGGAAAAACACGGGGGCCGGGTGCGCTCCTTCCCCCATGAGCGGGGCAACTGGGCCACCCACGTCTATGTGCCATGTGAGTAACGTGTAAAGGGCGAGTGGCTGAGATTTGATAGGTGCCTCTCGATGGGAGGAAGCTGGCCCCAACCAGGAGGAACAAGCCAGAAACCTCTGACATGGATGGTAGGAGAGAGATGGACTTAGCAGAGAGAGAATGAGTTTCAAGAATTGGGGAGTTTTTCTGTAAACCTGTTTTCAAAAAGTTTCGAATTCGTTGCCTGAAATATTTTTTTAATTAACCCTGGGTATAATGTTTTCCCACTCATGAGGAGGTGACCAAGGGAGGGTCTAGGGCAGTGTCAAGGCCATCCCGGAGTGTGGCTGCAGCTGGCAGTTTATTCCTGAGAGGGCCCTGGGTGTGCTGGGACAGGTCCCCCTCCCGCCCCCACCAGCCCCCATGAGTGAGTGGCAGGCAAAAAATGCCCAGGCGTCGGAGTCAGACCTCACTTCACTACCCAGTACTCTGGGCACCCTTTAGTAAGTTACTGGACTTCCCAGAGCTTCGGTATCCTTATCTCTAAAGTGGGGATTATAGAAATCCGTATATCCTAGGACTGTTGTGAAGATTAAATCAGATCATTTATGTCAGGCTCTTAACACAATACACAGAGTAGGTGGTGGCTCTTAGTATTTTGTGTTCGATCAGGTCAACTCTTAGAGCCTCCATTTCCCCATCTACAGAATGAGAATGATTCTCTGTACTGCCTACTCACCAGGGCATTGGAACAAATTGACTAACAGACTGGGTGCGAGCAGACCATTACCCATGCAGCTCCAGTCCCACAATTGGTTAAAAAAAGAGAAGAAGAATATGTGAACATACAGTGGTGGTCATTGTAGTTCTTCGTCTTTGTGAAAAATTAGGAGCATTCTAAACATTTATCAGGAGATTCTAAACATCTAATAGGTGACTGATAAAGGAAGTGCTGTTGGTGATTATGGATTACTGTGAACCTGTGATCAGCTTGTCCTCTGCACTGAGAGGAAGCTATCCAACATGTAGCGTTACATGAAGAAAGCCAGTGGAAGGGACACCTGGGTGGCTCAGTCGGTTAACCTTGTGCCTTCGACTCAGGTCATGATCCCAGGGTCCTGGGATCGAGCTCCACATCGGGCTCCCTGCTCCATGGGGAGTCTGCTTCTCCCTCTGCCTGCCGCTCCCCCTGCTCATGCTCTCTCTCTGTCTCTGACCAATAAATAAATAAAATCTTTAAAAAAGAAAGAAAGAAAGAAAAAAGCCAGTGGAAGAACAGTTTGAATGGTACACTCTCATTTTTTCAACAAATAAAATGTATACATGAGGATATGCACTGAGAAGAGGCTAGGGAGATAGGCATCCATCTCTGACTGTCTTAAAACTGGGGTGTATGCCCCCTGGGGGAGAGGTCAAGATGATCCATCCAGAAGAAAAGTATTAGAACTTCTTTATATATCCCTTTTTATTATCTCATCTTTTAATTTTTTTTTTTAAAGATTTTATTTATTTATTTGAGAGAGAGAGAGTGATAGAGAGCATGAGAGGGGGGAGGGTCAGAGGGAGAAGCAGACTCCCCGCCGAGCGGGGAGCCCGATGTGGGACTCGATCCCGGGACTCCAGGATCATGGCCTGAGCCGAAGGCAGTCGCCCAACCAACTGAGCCACCCAGGCGCCCTCATCTTTTAATTTTTTCTAATTTTTATTTTTTTTTATTTTTTAGAGATAGAGAGAGGCACAGCAAGAGAGGGAACACAAGCAGGGGGAGTGGCAGAGGGAGAAGCAGGCTTCCCGCAGAGCAGGGAGCCCAGTGCGGGGCTCGATCCCAGGACCTGGGATCATGACCTGAGGTGAAGGCAGATGCTTAACGCCTGAGCCACCCAGGTGCCCCATCTCATCTTTTAAAAGTTTCTGTTCTTGGGGTGCCTGGCTGGCTCAGTCGAAAGGGCATGCGACTCTATCTCGGGGTGATGAGGTCGAGCCCCACATTGGGTGTGGAGATTACCAAAAAATAAATAGACTTTAAATAAATAAATTAATTAAATTAAATTTCCATTCTCGAGAGTGTACCTTTTACAATGGACATAATTTTGTAACATGCACATTTGTAACTTATAAATAAATACACGTTTGTTGCACATATGCGTGCAAGTTTGTTTGACTAATGGCCCAGGTGATCACAATAGTTTGGAGACTGCTCGATGCTCTAGGTGATAGGATTTTGGGGGGCCCTGCTTTCTTCTTGGCATATTTCCTTTTTTTACTTGAATTCTTTACAATGAGCATACGTGTGTTACTTCTATAACCACAAAATCATATTAAAATAGATAGAGCTAGGCTGCTCTCAAAGTAATTTTCCCCCAAAATCCAGAGTAATGAAGGCCTTTCTCGGCCTTCTGGGATTCTTCATTCAGCCACACGGCCCTGGCTAAGAGAATGGCCCGCCCTCTCCACTCTTCCCTCCAGATGAGACCGGGGAGGAGTTCCTGGACCTGCTGGACATGCTGCTGCCCCACGCCCAGACCTATGTCCCCCGGCTGGTGCAGATGGAGGCATTCCACCTCAGCCTGTCCCAGAGCGTGGTGCTGCGGCATCACTGGATCCTCCCGTTCGTGCAGGCTCTGAAAGACCGCATGGCTTCTTTCCCGCGGTGAGTGCCCGGCACTTCCTCTGCCTCTCCCCTCTTTTCCTCCCCTTGGCTCCTCTTACTGTCCTAAGCTACTGTGGGGGTATAGGTGTGGGGTGTGCTACCCCAGCCAGCAGGCCAGACCTGAGGGTTAGAACACTGAACATCTCCTGGAGCTGCCAGCCGTATACCCCATCTTGTGCGACTTTGGACAGGCCGCAGAAGCTCTGGAAGCCTTGCGTCCTTACCGGCGGGCAGGTCATGGTAGCTGCCTCCAAGGGGACCTATGGAGAGTGAAATGAGGCAGGCCCCGGCTTGGCAAAGGATGGGAACTGGCCCCCGCCTCTGGTTTGGTCTGCCAGCCTAGGACTTCTCCTTCCTCAACTTTGCATATCTCTTCTTTCTACCAGAGTGCCTTTCCTCCTACACTTGGCCAGATCGAAGCCCTGCCCCTTCCTTGAGGCTCTCCAGTTTGGCATCTCCCCCAGAGTTCCTCAGTCCTGGGGATCATCCCATGCTGGGGCAGTTTATACCCTCGTGCTCATTTCATTCATATCCAGTCCTTGGCCCCTTTGGAGCCAAGCGCTCGCAGGCCCAGGAATGCGACTTCTCTCTGAATACCCCACGTGTCTTCTCCAGATGCTTTGCTGACTATAGGCATCAAATGGATGTTTGTTGAACAATTGAGCAGGAGAGAGGGATCCTCTGAGTGTTAGTTCCAGAAGGAGCCCAAGAAGCCATTCAGGTGGTGGTTTTATTTGCAAAGCCCTTGCTTCAAATGAGGTGTTACCCAAAAGCCTGGATGTGTAGATGTGTAGGAGAAAAACAGAAGTCTTCCAGAGCGCAAGCCCCACTCCCACAGTGCAGGAGGCCTCAGGCCCAAGATTTCCACAGACGCACTCAGCCCAGGTAGGGAACTGCCCATTCGGTTCAGCCCTTTCTGGGGGCCACAAGAGGAAGGGACTCGCTCCAGCTCAGTCAGCCGGAGAAATCAGGACTATCTCCACCTCATTCAGTGTCCATCCCACCCCACCACTCCCGTTTTTTTATCATTGCTACCAAATTGACTGAGCAATATGTATATTAGTCAGGACTCCCTTGGTCACAGATACCAGAGATCCAACCCAAAGTGGCTTAAACTGAGGGGGAATTCATAGGCTGGTATAACTAAAAAGTTCAGAAGGCACGCTGGCTTCCTGCATGAGTGGATTGGGGTGAACAGAAGATGGCACCTGACTCTCACCGTCTCTTAGCTCGGCACCTCTCCGTGTGGGCTTCCTTCTCACAAAGACAAAGAAGGCCACCGGCAACTTGGAGCTGCCAGTCCACCAGCCTGGGAAGCCAGCCCTCTTTTCTAATAGCTTCAGCAAAAGTCACAGGAACGACTTTGATTGGTCTGACTTGGCTAGTGTGCTCTCCGTCTGTGAGTCCAGTTGGCAGAACCCTTTCCCCTTCTACGTGAGGATGTTTCGGTTGCCGGCTTCCAGCTCTGTTCTCTGGGTAAAGGTGGGATGTCAGCTGTGTCTGGGGCCACCTGACTTTGGTAAAAATGACTTATCATCTCACTGCATGCATCTGGGCGGCAAAGACCATGCGAGAACGAAACCTCTGGCGGGAAGCCATGGCTCTGGGCTCCTCGGCGTGCAGTGGTCCTTTGACTGGACAAGTCCCTTGCTGGGACCTCTGCAAACTTTGCCCACGGGCCATTGCTAGAAATAATGGTCCCTGGGGAGCCCAGATGTAGCTCATGCTCTTGCTCTCTGTGGGACCAGGAGCAGCGCCTAGATCACCAAGCTGGCTCCCCTTGATGTTCCCCTGCTAGTGCATGTGTCTCCTCCCCTGTGTCCTGGAGAAAGCCGGACTAGGTGGCCTCTTCGGGTTTGTTTGGTTGAGCCTGTGACCAAGAGTGGGCAGCAGCACACCTTCGATTCTGTTGCTGCAACCGAGGGAATGCTGTGTTCTGATTGGCCAGGCCTGGGTCAGGTGTGCCCCCCCGGGGGGGGGCAGGAGGGTAGAGACCCCTCCCCCAGCACAAAATGGGGGGAGCAGCCCTCCAATACAAGATTCCTGGGAGAAGGGGGGTTGCTTGGTGTCTTAGCCAGGGTTCTGTGAAGTCTCGAGTAGTGGCTACTTCCCGCTCACTAGGTCCGATCAACAGTGTCAACATCAATGTCATGGACCAATGTAGTGTCTTGTATAAGCAAAAAGTGATGAGACCCTGCAAAATAAATGACGGCGTAGGGCTGGAGACGATCTACCCAAGAGGCAGGGCAGTGAAGGCGTGTTGCTGGCCTTGCCTGCTGAAAGCCCGCTGACCCTGGGCCTCGTGGACGGGGCTGGAGAAAAATGAATTGCCAGGCCAGTAGCCACATTCCAGGAACCAGGGGCTATGTTGATCTGCTTGAGCAATAAAACCACATCTAGAACACCAGCTGCAATTGGGGTCACCTCTTGGTTAAGCTTCTTCTAACCTGCCGCCATTCTCTTCCTGTCTAGTTCACTTCTGCGAACACCACCGCGACAATTAGCCAGTGCCCTAGGCCTGCCCGAGACTCTGCTGTCAATCATGGTAACTACACCCGCCTCTCAGCTCGGGTGTTTCCAGCTCCCTCACTGGAGCCACCTGTTGGTTTCAGGCAACTAACCCAGCAAACTGTGAGATCCCCTTCCTAACTCCCCGAGCTGTGGCATTCATGCTGGATCTCTATTTAGTGAGCCCATATCACGAAATTCGGCCTGATCCAACTCTACGATGCTTGCACCACACCTTTAAAATCCATCCCCACACACGTTCCGTGGATTTCTGCTCATGTAGATTAGAAAACTGAGGTAGTAGTTTGGAGCATGGCACATCTCCTCACGAGTCACACTTTGTACCTCACCTTAAGGGGTCTGCTGGGACTTTATAGGTCTAGAAGCAAAAGCGGGGAGCGCGCCTGGGTGGCTCAGTCCGTTAAGCGTCTGTCTTGGGCTCAGGTCATGATCCTGGGGTCCTGGGATCGAGTCCAGCTTCGGGCTCTCTGTTCAGCCAGGAACCTGCCTCTCCCTCTGCCTCTGCCCCTTCCCCCTGCTCCTGCTTGCACGTGCGCTCGCTCTCGCTCTCTCTAACAAATAAAATCTTTAAAAAAAAAAGATTAAAAAAATAAAACAGCTTTTAAAGAAAAATAGAAAGAAAGAGGGGTAATGGGGGTGGCTCCTGAGGAGACTCGCCATCCTCCTGCAGGGCAACTGCCTCAGTGCCAGGTGAATCCCCTCGGATGGAGGTGGAAAGGCCCAAACCACTGGGAAAGAAAGCTCGTGAGAATTTAGGGGCTCAGTGCCCCAGCTTCATCAGGACTTCCCACATGTCCCCGTCCCAAACGATCCCAGTCTTTCCCAGGCAGTGTCCTTACTTGAACTGCAGCAGCCGCTCAACTAGTTCAACGGGTGTAATTCAGCGGATCACAGGTTGCGGTTCTGCCTTTGAGTTTCTGCAGTTACAGCCCTGAGGCTATGGGGCAGGAGGCTCTCCCTTAGGGCACATCTAGAGGTTCCTAGGTCCTTGATGCTGCTTGAGTTGGGAATTCGAATCCCTGAGCTCACCTTGTTCTTTTACCACTTTGTCCAGCGACATTAAGAGCAACTAACCAATGTCATTATATTCCATAGTTTCCCCCAAATTGTTTGAAAGTATTACAGTACTTAGCTCCTTCTAATAAATGGCTGACTGGGATTATGCATTGCAGATATTGTACACATCTCTATAATCGGTTCCCACGTGGACTACCAGCGCTCACTTTACTACTAGAAACAGAGTCAGTAGTGTCTTTGAATCTAATCAGAGAGCCAATTCCAGAAGCCTCCAGAACCAGTTCAGAAGACTCAATCTTAAAATCCTGGTTTAGAACCACTCTTGGTACCCAAATCTGTGTTGGGGTTCTCCAGAGAAACAGAACCAATAGGATAGAAATAGAGACAGAGGTAGAGATACACAGAGATTTATTATAGGAATTGGCTCACACAGTAATGAAAGTCGAGAAATCCTACAATCTGCCATCCTCAAGCTGGGGAACCAGGAAAGCCGGTGGTATCATTCAGTCTGAGTCCAAAAGCCTGAGAATGGGGGTGGGGGGGGAGACGACTGATGGTGTGAGTCCCGATAGAGCCTAAAAGCCTAAGAACCAGGAAAGTCAACGTCCAGTGTCCAAGGGCAGAAGATGAATGTGTCCGCTCAAGCAGAGAGTAGGAGCGCCAATTTGCCCTTCCTCTGCCTTTGTTCTGTCCAGTCCCTCAATGAATTGAATGATGCCCACCCAAACTGGGGAGAGCCATTTGCTTTATGCCGTTCACCAATTCAAATGCCAATCTTTTCCAGAAACATCCTCACAAACACACCCAGAGATAATGTTTTACCAGCCCTTTGGGCATCCTTCAGCCCAGGCAAGTTGACACATAAAATTAACCCTCACAGTTGGGCACAAACCTCCAATGTCCACTTCAGGATGTTTGTCAGGTCCCTTGCAGAACTCTGGGTAAACTTGACACTTGACCAAGCTCCCGCTGGTTCTGTCATCCCTTACATTTTCCCCAAAAGGGATGCATTGGAAGGCCGAAGACTGACAGGGAAGCCCAATTTGACTGAGTCTGAGCCCCAGGACAAGTGAGATTGTACCCAGCATGCTGGGGTGTTGTGTTCCATCATACGGAACCTTGGCCCGGAGGCCGTCAATGATCATTTCTTGCAGTGGGATTTGCCAGGTTGGTCCGTCTGAGATCTCCCTAGTGTCTCAGAGAACACAAACCGGAACCAGCCAGAATGAAAGCAGTTACCTGACTGAACTTGATGGGCCCTGTGTAACTGATCTGAAGGATGGGTGGGTACATGGGTGGGCAGGTGTTTCTGCCCCATTTCCAGACAAACAGAAACCCACTTCCCCTCATTAAAGCATCATAGGTGACAGCAAGGGCTTTGGAATCAGACAGACTGAGGTTAAGATTGTGGCTCACCAAATTCAACTTCACCTAACCTCAGCTTCCGTGTCTATAAAATGGGCATAGTTAAAGTGTCTGCATCACAGAGTCACATGAGGATGCCCTCAGCTCAGGCCCTGGCACATGGGAAATGTTCATCTGTTATCACCTTGATGAAGAAGACTTTCTCAGTTCCCATTGGTAAAATTAAAATAGTCTCAAATTGTTCATTGGGATGAACTGCTATTAATATAGCATCTGAATGAAGCTATGTGTTACTGCAACTGGGTGATTATGTAAGGCCTTGTCCAGCTCTAATATTTTAGGGTTCAGTTATACCACCTGTATAATAGGGTAACAAAATGAAGTGTGCAGTGAGTTAACTGTATTTTCAAAATCTTCCTTTTTAATATAAACTTTTTTCAGATTTTTTTCCTCTTATTATTCTTCCTGAAACGTGGTCTTTCCTCTTCTAAACTCCAGATTCTTCTTTACTGCCAACCGGGTAAAGATTTATACCAATCAAGAGAAAACCAGGTGAGTCTCCCCATCTGCCCCCAGTTTGCTTCCAGAAGATTCTCTGGAGTAAAGACTGAAAGGGTGCTTTGCTTCCAGCCTTGTCTGCCCCATTTTTTTCTTTGTGTTCTAACCAACTCTATGACTACAAAAGCAGCTATTCCCAAATCTGAACCTTTCATTAAGAAAAATAACTAGAGGAACATGGGGGGAGGGGGGCAGAGATAGAGAAAAACATCTCAGTAAAATGAACAAAAGCCTGCCACTGGAAGAAAACGCGGGCCCCTGCCCAGCTCCGTCCCCACTTGAACATTTAGCTCATACCGTCACCTCCGTGACCTCTCATTTCCACGCTGTCACACGCTTGCCCTTGACAGGTCCATCACTGGGCAGTCGTGAGGCGCCAATGAGGCCAGCATGTTCCAGCAGTAGTGGAGTGGGTTGAAGCTGGGAGGTGAGGGATTAGAGAGATAGTGACAGTGGGCAAGTCATCTGATAAGTTTCACTGAGACCAGGAGGGTGTCTGGCTGAAGATGTGGGCTCACAGGAGGGTTTTTAAAGATGAGGGAGCGTGTTTGAGAGCTGAGGGGAGGGTGGCCGGTGCCCAGGAGCCACGTCCCCGAGAGAAACAGTCCAGACTTAGGAGTCATGCGACACTGGAGAGCAGGGCCGCAGAAGCTTGGGGGTTGTAGACATGTGGCAGGGGCCCATGAAGAAGTTCCTCAAGGATCGTGAGCCCCCCGGGAAGGAGGAGAGATGTGTGGTTAGGACTGGGGAAGGAAGGTTTAGGGACAGAGGAAAGAGCCAGCTCAGAGGGCAGGCAAGCGAGGCAACCAGGAGAGGGGGGAGAACCAAGGCCCCCTGACCTGCTTCCTGTGTCCTCCCCGGCCCCCAGGGCAGATGGTTTAGGTTCTCAGGGGCTGCATCTCATGCTCACCTTGTCTCCACTTCTGCCTTCCCCAGGACCTTTGTCGGGCTCGAGGTCACCTCTGGGCACGCCCAGTTTCTGGACCTGGTCTCGGAGGTAGACAGAGTCATGGAGGAATTTGACCTCACCACTTTCTACCAGGTAACAAACAGCCTCTGCCTCTCCATTGGCCCGCCTAAAAGTGGAATCAAACCATCCTCGGAGGAGCCCTTGTTAGAGGCAAACTGAAGAGCCCTCCAGAACTTGCCCCCGTGAAGTGTCCTGCAGGCCAGCCTTCGGAGGACACAGGCCTCCAGGAGAAAGGGGAGTGGAGGGGCCCGTGGCAGAGTCAGGTTCAGCCCATCGGAAGTCCGACGCTTCATAGAAATCTCGTTTTATCTTCAGTATGCACAAGATTTACCCATTCTGCTCCATATGGATCCATGTTCCTCTCTTTTTCAAGAAGTAGTAGTTCTCCCAAATTTTTTTTAGTAAAATTGACACACCAAGAGGAGCGCTAGCTTTCCGAACCTTCCTGCACCTCGCCCCGCCCCATGCCCTCCGGGGGTATTTGACTCCAAACTGAGTCTCAGGTCCTTAAAGGGCCCTTGGTTTTGCTTGATATATTCTTTTAAAGCCTTGCTGAGGCATAGGAGTGTGAGTTTCAGTAGAGATTATTACTCATAATTTTAGACATTTTGGTTTTTGTTCATTTCATCTTAGAAAGTATGTCATCTATTGAAATGTTCTAGATCAGAAAATAGAGCTGGAGCCTGCGTTCTCATCCACGTCCCAGATTTAATGACTGTTAAGGGAAAGCCTCTGGAAGCAGGACTGTCTTAGTCAGCTGAGTCCACCATAACGAAATACCCTAGATGGAGTGCTTTAAACAGCAGATATTTCTTTTCTCATAATTCTGGAGCCTAGAAGTCCAAGATCAAGGTGCCATCATGGTCCGTTTCTGGCTCGGACTCACTGACTGTGTCCTCATGGTGGAAAGAGAGGAAGCCAGCTTTCTGCCATCTCTGATACAGGCATGAATCCCATCACGAGGGCCCCCGCTTGGATAAGCTCCTCTAACCCTAATTATCTCCCAGAGGCCCCATCTCCAAATACCACTGCATTGGGAGTTGAGGCTTCAACATAGGCATCTGGCAGGTGGGGAGGGGGGCAGGTTATGGACACAATTCAGTCCATAGCCGGGGCCAACCCAGAGCTCTTTTATCTATCTGCGGAGGGTGCCTGGGATCAACACTGATCAGCACTGAGAGTCTAGTCTCTCCTGGAGCAGGCCAGGGCTCCAGGGATACCGTGACAAGGGTCACAGACCTCCTGTCACGTCTGGACGGGCCAAGGCATCCAGGTGATCGCCTGCCTCCCTGCTGTTCTTCCACAGGACCCTTCATTCCACGTCAGTCTGGCCTGGTGTGTGGGTGACGCGCGTCTCCCCCTAGAAGGGCGGTGCCTACGGGAACTACAGGTGAATTCGCGGCGGGAGCACAGAGGATGCCCAACGTCGGGAGTGACGGGCCGCATGTTGGGGAGGGGAGGGGGAGGTTTGCCTGCAGGCCCTGAGGATTATGCGTGCAAACCAGAATCTGGGGGAGGAGACCCCCATCGCCTGACCTTGCTACTCAAAGGGCAGGCCCATGGTCACAGCCCCGGGGAGCCTATTAGCAATCCAGACTCTTTGGCCCCAACCCAGACCTAAGAAATCAGAATTGCATTTTAACAAGATCTCTAGGGATTTGTGTGCACGTTAAAATTTGAGAAGCACTGCCCTACACCACTGATCTGAGAGAATGCTGTAGGCCTCTCCTGAAGTCCTAGCCCTTCGCCCAGAGGTCGAAAGCTCGGGTGCCCAGCAGGGCCCGGCAGGTGTTGGAAATGAGTGAAATGTGCCATGCGTAAGGCACATCCACCCCGTACCCTTCCTGTTCTGATAAGCAAATGAGATGGTTCACTTTCCCGTCAGTGCCTTCGGAGGAGCTGATACTCCTTCACCGCTGGGAGAGTTTAGAGTGGGGAATGTTGCCGTGTAGGACTGTGGACCAAGTGTCGCTAGCACTTCTGTTTTTCAAGGGAGACCAGAGATCCAGATTTTTATGTGCAGTCTCTCATTTTCAAATGTTAGCACTAATGTGAATTTTTTTTTAAACATGTTGCAAGCCAAGCAGAGTGTGTGCAGGAGGATAGAGCCCCTGGGCCATCAGTAAGCAGCCACTTCTGCTCTTGGCCTAATCACGCTATGGGGGCAAAGAGCCCTGGGTTTGGGCTCCAGCAGACCGATCCCAGTTTTTTCGGGTTCTGAGTGTCTATTTCCTCCTCTGCAAAGTTGGGATGATAGGACCCACCTCCCCAGATGGCAGAGCTGATGAGACAAGACACCTAAGCGCAGAGTCTAGGGCTTGCACGGCCCTCAGCCTCCCTGCACGGTGCCTAACTCCTGGAGGATTTTAGTAGGGCTGGGCTTGTTCGCAGTGCCCTCTGGGTCCCTGATTCCCCTAATGCGACTGTCCTTTCTCGGCTCCTGGTGGCAGAACATCGTGGATGAGTTTGAAGACCCCGAGATGGTGCTGCGCGCGCACGCCGAGCAGGTCCGCTGCAAGTCTGGGAACAAGTTCTTCTCGATGCCTTTGAAGTGAGCACGAGAGACCCTCGGCCCAGGCCCCTCTGCAGGCCAGGCAGAGATGGAGAAGCCTGCCCCAAGCCCTGGGGAGGCTTTCAGCCTCCCAGTGCACTGGGAGGCCTGGTCTGGAGCGCAGCCACTGCCTGTCCTCCCTGGGGGCTGGTTCAGGCTGGTTCGTGCCTGGCCGGTTTGGGTTGCAAGTCCGGCACTCGGGTGTGTGGTCATTGTCAGGAATCACCAGTAGAGGGCAGCCTGGGCTTCCTAGTTCTAGATCTGTGGTCTGTGGTCATGCCACACACAAAAGAACGTCAGGGTCACCCCAGCGAGCCCACCCAGACTCAGCCAGCAACCCCACTCTAGCCCCTCCAACAAACTGCCCCTCCCCCACACCCTCCTCCCATCAGCTCTTTGCATTTGGAGGCCATTGGCCTCCATCGGGGTTCTTTAAACCCTCATGCCCTGGCTCTTCCCGACTCGCGCTGAACATACGGTGTTTTAATGGGTCTGTCACCCTCCCTCCCTGAAGCACATCGCTTTTATTTATTTATTTTTGGTCTCCCCCTCCAGTGCCAACAGAGGCCATCTCAGGGCCAAGGTGGAGAGTGCTTATTTGTGCTTCTGCCTCAGTTTTCTCCACCCCTGCCTGCCACTCACACCCAGCCATGTGCCTGGGGAGCCGGGAGCAGATGTTTCATTTTGGCCTGGCCGGTGGCGGCTCTAAGCCAGCCCTCCAATGCTCTGTGACCTCTGGCTTCTCATCGGCTTTCCCAAAGCGGCGGAGAGGCAAGGCCTTCCCCGCACTTCTCTTTCCGCCACCTCCAGCCGCCTGCTGCGGGCATTCTGAGAGGGGCTCGGAGGACAGGTCAGGGGGTGCCCAGGGCTTTTATTTTCCATCAGGCCTTCACCAGAGCAAAAGACCAGTCCCCTCCAGTTGTCATCTGCATCTCTGGTGACAGAGAAAGATATTTTTATGTTACAGGTTTCAATTACGTTCAAATAAAAATTGCAGTTTTAATTTTGGATTTTGTTTGGGACTGCTGTTCAGCTAGGTGACAAGATGACTGTCCTCTGCCTGCACCTTCTCCCACGTACCTCACAGTGGGGGGAGGGGGGACTCTTGGGAGTCCCCGTTATGGTTTCTGAGGCCATGAGCGGCATTAATGGTGCCTCAGTAAAATGACGGTGGGGTCACCGGCCTGCCAGGCCTGCACCCCGGACAAGTGGCACAGACCATATCTAGCCCAGGGCAGGGCCTGTGGCGGGGGGTGGGGGGGAACCCCGACTCCTCATCGGTGTAAGCACAGACATTCAGACCTGACACTGCTATAACACGTCCAGAGTACTTTCTAGAACCATCTCATCTGTCCTCCCAGTAACCCCCCCCCCCGGAAAAGTAAACCGGGGAGGAAGGAGTATTCCACTTATGCAGAAGAACAGCTTAAATGCCTTCTTTCTCTGGTCCACCCTGACCTCAGTTCTGCCCTGGGGCTCCTGGTCAGGACAGCTGTCCCCCACCTCACCCCACGCCTGAGGAAAGGGGACCCATCACTCTGACTCCCACTCTGCTTCCCGCACCTCTGCGCTCTCTGAGGCAAGCTCCCAGTCACCGCCCAAAGATGCAGGGAATCACGTTCCGTACCTGGTTCCCCAGCCCCAGTGCACTCAGCTGCTGATTCAACTCCAACCGGGCAGTCAGCGGTGCCTATGGATTTTGAGGTCACGCTGGAAAGGGAGAGGAAGCCTGTCCTCCCTCGTGGCATGCAAGGAACACAGCAAATGTGCCGTGCAGCCAGCACTGAGGGCCACCAGCTCTGTGTCAGGATGTTTGGGGGCAGGGGCGGGGGGGGGGCAGGCAGGGCGTGCAGAGAAGGATCCCCATCCCCACCTCAAGAAAACGTCACCCGATCTCCTGCAGGTTCCAACCTCAGCAGGGAAGCCAGCCTCCACCAAGTCCCACTTTGTCGGCCCAGACCACCTGATTTTCCTCATCAGGGGCACTGGCTCTCCCCAGGAGGGCAGCACCACCATGAACAGACCCAGGTGGACTGGCCGGGCCAGTCCCAGCAGAGGATGTGGTCCGGATGGAATTACAGTGCGGCAACTTTAAGAAATGGGCCAAGATCAATAAGGGGCTCATCAGTGGGGAATGGCAGGTGGCGACAGAGGAAGGAAGCCGGAGAGTCGCTGAGGGGGGAGGCTGGGCAGGCCGGGGCCGCAGGAGGCTGGAGGGGGGGGCCTGGCGGGAGCCCAGACCCTGAGTGTGCAGCCAGAGCCGGGCTGCCCGCTCCCCAGCGCTCCGCTGACAGAGCAGAAGCAGCTGGGGCTCTTCCATAAGAGGAGATGTGATCGGAAGACAGAAGACAAGCCCAGCACAGGCCCGGGGTCCCACCCCTTGGCAGGCTTGGCTCAGAAGAGAGAGATGCTCCTGATGGGGATTTTATCACACCAAAGAGAGCGCAAAATCCACACATGTGGCCCGGGTGTCCTCAGATGTTCCCTGCAGGGCAGGGAAGTGATCTTCGAGGCCGCCTTGGCCCCTTTCCACCTGGCACTCTTGACTCTCCGCACGCCTCTCCAGACCACCCCAGCTTTGTTTCCAAGGAAGAGGGACATTACCTCGGCTTGTTTGTTTATTCCTCGTCTTGGTACGGGAGCCTGAGGGGCCCATGGGAGTGGGGTGGGTGGGTGGGTGGCAGCCAAGGATGGGGGTGGGGGCCCTGGGCCTAGTTCCAACCCACAGCACCTGGCTTTTATGAGGGACCTCGGCCCCTACCTGAGCCAGAACCCCCCTTTTACCAATGAAGAGGCAAATCCAAAGAGGGCAAACAACTTGCTCCAGATTGTCCAGTAAGTCAGTGCTGAGGCAGGCCCCCTCCCCCTCTCCAAGCCTGACTTCTAATCCCCACCTGTTTGTACAACCCCTCACAACACCTCAGGGGCTCAGAGCGAAGCTGGGCTATGAAACCACACACCTGTGCTTTGATTCAAAAAGGCTCCAAGAAAACAAGAGGGGTGGGGTGGGGGGAGGTTCTAGATGAAATGATATTAGCGAAACTGGGTAAGGTTTAATGCAGGGTGACGGAAGGCTAGGGCCCACAGCGGCTGTCCTGCCAGTACCCTCAGGCCTTGGGTGCTGGCCAGACCCCGCAGAGCCACACACCCCCGTGATGGATGGGTGTACAAACCCACCTGGGAGCCCAGAGGTGCCCGCAGGGGCCAGAACCCAAATATTGGGAGCTTCAAGTTCAGGTCACAAGGGATGCCTCCTCTTTAAGTAGGATTTACCCCAGAACAGGAACCTCTAACAGACAGAAAATAATTACCAAGCTGACCACAGGCCTCTAAGAGCATTACTCAGGGTTCTTTGGTCCCTCTCTTGACTAGAAACCTCCTAGACTCAAACTCTTCTTTTTATTTTTTTTTTAAGATTTTTTTTTTTTAAAGTAATCTCTACACCCAACGTGGGGCTTGAACTAACAACCCTGAGTCCCAGGCTCTACGGACTGAGCCAGCCAGGCACCCCTCAAATCCTTCTTTTTAAATTGACCAATTGGCGATAAATATCGTGAAATACTGCAGTGTGTTCAGTTAAGCCAAGATGAGCCTGTTGTCCATTTCTGACACCCACTATACATTTCAGAGTAAAAACTTTAGAAGTCTACCCTGCTTATCACAGTGAGCACCAGTGAATGTACAGAATTGTTGAATCACTGTGCCGTACACCCGAAGCTAATATAACACTGTGTTGTCAACTATACTTCCATTTTTAAAAAAAATTTAGAAATCCATTTCTCAAATGAGGGGTCCCACAGAAAAGGTAGTGGAAATGGATAAAATTGTCCCCACCTTTTCCCTGAAGAACTGAGGCCCCTCTGCATACTTGCTGCTAGAATCTAGTTTTAGCAAGAAACCTACTAAATCAGTTTAGTGAGAAATCCCCACCCCTGATAAATCTGATCAAACTCCCCATCCCCACTACCCCCAGGTGATACCCAATCGCCCTGGCCTGCCTTCCCCACCCCACTCCCTAGCTACCTCCTTGGCTACAAATTCCCCCTTGCTCTGGTTGTATTGGGAATTGAGCCCAGGTCTCTACTGGAGTCTCTTTCCCTATTGCAATAGTTTGTGTGGGTTTGGGGGGTTTTTTTGTTTTGTTTTTTGGTGGGTTTTTTTGTTTGTTTGTTTTTGGTAAAATCTATCCTCACTGCTTTAACTTCTCTCCGACTCTGTTTCTCCTTAATGGTTTTTGGTGCTGTGACCCAGAGCTGAACCGGAACCACCATCGGACTCACAGACATGACAACCAGGCTTTGCGGTGTCCACCTACACCTTCTGTCTCTAGTCTCTTTGCTGGGGCTTGAGTATCCAATGATGAATCCGACTCTAGAGCCCATTGCTCTGAATAAATGTCCCCTGAAACACAGTGAGGATTTCGATTCTTAGGATTCTGGGTATACTCTAGAAGCTGGGTCAGAGCCCTAAGCAAGCAGCTGTTTTTAAGAAGCTGTGTTAGAGTCCTGGGTAAACAGAGGCTAGGTGAGTCCTACGCTTTTCTGATTCAAAGAGGCTAGTCTCTGTAAGGAACAGAGGCTGGGTTAGAGTCCCAGATATTTCTGTTCATAAGTATAAAGGTACTGTTAGTCAAGAACATGGGAGCTTTTCAACCCACTGAAAGCTCTCCTCAAACTCCTGCTGACAATATCCTTCTAAGGCCAAATGCTGTCCACTTTCTTTCTCATTAGCAAAACTTTACTAAAAACTCTCTTTACAGTGGGCCCTCTGGGGGGCTCTTGGGATATGCCCAAATTAGTCCACCTAAGGGGAGCCCTCGGGCCAAAAGGAACAAAATTCTCTGATGCACAATGCTCTGCTTAGTTCACTCGGTATGAAGAAACCAAAAAGCAACTAAATGATTCAAACCTCAAACTATAGAAGTTCTTCAACAATGTCTTCAGAGAAACTGTTCTGACTCAGTAAAGCCCCCTAGAACCCGTCATAGCACCCCGTTTTCCCCTCACAGTTCTCCCTCATATTCATCCCTCTCTCCCAAAATGTCCTTCACCAACACCACGCCCAGCCCCTCAACTCCCTGCAACTGGAAGGTGCACCAGACCCCCATCTCTTGCAGATGAAGCCCAGGGTGTGACCCCCCTACCGGTTCTCAAGCCAGGCTGACAGAAGAGACGCCATTTAAACCTTGGTCTCAGTCAGAATTAACATGTCACCATCGAGGACTTTCCTGACTCCTGAAAGAAAAGGAAAGGATTCACTAGATGCTCTAGGATTGTTCTGGGAGCATGCTCTCCAGGTTCCCTGATTTAGATCAACTTCTCCACCTATGGTTTGGCCTTGGGGATGCGTCCCTTCGGTTTGGAAAGGTCAAAGGAACACCATACCTGAAGACCCTCAAGGGTACCAGACGATGTCTAACTCCCATTAGAAAAGGAGGGATGTAAGGAAAAAAGGAAAAATGACTAGAAGCCATTCTTTAGGTCTCTCTCACCAAAATTGCCTGGTCATGGATTCAAAATTAAAAACAAAGATGAAATGTGTCTAATGATCACCATCAATTAGAGACAACAGGAAGGAGCTCTCGGGGCTGGAACTGACCT